CTGCCCAGAAGCCACATTTATCCAGGAGACTGATCCCTGAACACCAAGTAACTCCAATGTTTTCCTTGTCCCTTTTAAAATTTTTCTCTTCCTTCTTCATTTTGCACAAAAACTTGCCTCACACACCTCACAGTTCTCTGGACTCTTGAGGATGGAGACTGCATGCTTCCTGAAGTCTTAAAGTCTGGATCGCCTAAATTGTTTTCATCATGTTAATACTGTATGTGTGTGTAAATTAAGAATCTGGTAAACCAGGCTACCAATAACTCATGGTATCACTTCAGTTTCCTTGTGCCATTCTCTTGTTTAAGAAAGGCTAGGCTGGGATCCCTGGGTGGTGCAGCAGTTTAGCACCTGCCTTTGGCCCAGGGCGCGATCCTGGAGACCTAGGATCAAATCCCACGTCGGGCTCCCAGAGCATGGAGCCTGCTTCTCCCTCTGCCTATGTCTCTGCCTCTCTCTCTCTCTATGTGTGTGACTATCATATTTAAAATAAAAAAAAAAAAAAGAAAGGATAGGCTGAAGGACCTAATTCAGACAAGAATTTTATCAGTGCTTAGCTATGTAAACATCTGTCAGGACTGTCTCCAAAACTGATGCTTTTAAATCACTAAATCTGAGCCTTGATTTAACTCTTTTCTCTAGCTTGGGAAGTGTCCAGCTCTTTGAAGAGTTGGAAGCAAATCCAATCTGAGCAAGAACACCAACTGGTTACCAATTTCATAAGAGGACAGAATTGCTGTCCTGAAAGTACTGATATTATAAAGTACAGAAGCTATTAACACTAATGAAATTCTGAGCTTATGCTCAAACATGCACATCATTTTACGGTATAATAAAAATTTGTCTGGTCTTTGACCTGGGTTCCTGGAAGATCTTCAAAAGCCCTTGGAATTCTCTAAGTAATAGGATGTTTTGTTTTGCCAACGAGGTGACTCATGATGGGTCTCCAGACAGCTTTAGGCTGGGGGTCAAATGTGTAATGTAGTACACTTTGGTCAGCACAAAGATGAACCAACTGATTAGAAGACTGAGGCTTGGAGCCACAGGATATTAGCTAGTCCTTGCAACCTCGAGAGAAGAGGGTAGGTTGGAGATTGAGTTCACTTACACACACAAATACACACACAGTCGATGATTTAATCAACCATTCTTACATAATAAAATTCTAGTAAAAACTCAGGACACTGAAGCCCAATGGAGATTCCTGGTTGGTTAACACATTAATGTAAAAAAAAACAAAAAACAAAAAACAACACATTAATGTTCCAGGAACATAATGTATCTGGACTCCACAGAGGGAGGACATGGAAAGGCCAAATCCAGGACTCTCCCAGACTTCACCCTATGTGAATTTTTTTTTTTAAGATTTTATTTATTTAGTTGAGACAGAGAGCACAAGCAAGAAGGAAGATCAGAGGGAGGGGGAGAAACAGGCTCCTTACTGAGCAGAGAGTCCAACATAGGGCTCAATCCCAGGACCCTGAGATCATGAATCATGACCTGAGCCAAAGGCAGACGCTTAACTAACTGTGCCTTCCAGGCACCCTCTATGTGAATATTTAATATTAAAACTGTAATGGTAAGCTTCCTGAGTTCTGTAAATCATTCTTGTGAGTTATCAAACCTGTTGAAGGCTGTGGGAACCCCTGAATTTGAAGCCAATTGGCCAGAAGTGTGGGTAACAGAGAACCCCTAAAACTTGTGGCTAGCATCTGAAGTAAAGGTAATTTTATGTGGGATTCTTAAGGTTTCTGGATCCAATTCCAACATGGCAAGGAAAGACCCCACACACATATTTCCACCACAACACCAAGCAATTCCAGACACTAGCAGGGTGTCTAGCAGGGCATCCTAAAATTCAACTTAACTCTGATCCTATCGACCCAGACATGGTATCAGATTCCACAAGTTAAAGTTTTAGTCCTACAAAACTGTCCCCCAGCCCCACTTCAGATACCAGTCACAAGCCCCAGGCTGCCACCTGTGCTTCTAACCAAAGAGCTACAGATTGGAGGTTCCAACCACCTCCTCCTTGGGTTTGATTAATTTGCTAGAGTAGCTCACAGAACTCAGGGAAACACTTACTTACATTTACCAGTTTACTAAAGGATAGGATAAAGGATAAAAATCAACAGCCAGATGACCAGATATGAGGGTAAGGTCCTGAACAAAGGAGCTTCTGTCCCCATGGGAGTTGGTGGTGTTTGGTGACACACGGAAGCATTCTGGTTCCCCAAGTGTGGAGGTTCTCTGAAAATAAAAAGACCCAAAAATGAACTCTTGGGTTTATATAGATGCTTCATTACAGGGTCATGATTGACTAAATCTTTTTTTTTTTTTAATTTTTTTATGATAGTCACACAGAGAGAAAGAGGCAGAGACACAGGCAGAGGGAGAAGCAGGCTCCATGCACCGGGAGCCCGACGTGGGACTCGATCCGGGGTCTCCAGAATCGTGCCCTGGGCCAAAGGCAGGCGCCAAACCGCTGCGCCACCCAGGGATCCCATGATTGACTAAATCTTTAGCCATTGGCTGTGTCAACCTTCAATCTCTCGCCTCTACTGAGGTTGTGGGGCAACCAGCAGCATCCCTTAAGTGCTCTCAAAAGTTGCCTCATTAACGTAACAAAAGACACCTTTACCACTCTCCGCATTTTCTCAAGGAAACTCCAAAGGTTTTGTGAACTATAAGACAGAATCTGCAGAGAAAGAGCAAGTATATATGAGAAATATACTTTGGTCATCCAAAAGACCAAATACATACAGTTCTTATCCATAAGAGTAGACGACAGAGGTTTGGACAACAGAGGCATCTTCTGAAGTCATAACTCACAGAAGAAAAAAATTTTCTTTTAAGCCAAACTGTATCCAGCTTTATTAGAGATACTTTTCATAAGCAGTCATGGTATTTCAGGCAGGACATGGGCAGACGATCGTTAACAGTATACAACAACTTTCAAACTCCCTTCTTCAATAGACTACCAAAATCAGAAAGCCACTATAAAACCCAGTGAAGTCTTCATGTGATGCTCTCAACAGGGAAAGTTTAGAGTGAGGGTTGACAGTTCACATTTAGCATGTTAACAACTTTTCACAAGCAGACCCTGACTTTCAGGAAATGAAATGAAAATGGCAGAACTATCAACCTGAAGATACGCAAGCTAAAAAAAAAAAAAGGAACTCTTGTGGGATGTCATCTCAGTGGTGACACTCTAAAGTCCAGATTGCCTGACATACTGGGAACCATTTCTTAGGGTCAGGTCTCTGGGTTTAAGGGAGTCAAGTCTATGTTGAAGGCAGAGAGGAAGTGAAGAAACCTCCCCCCTTGTAAGTAGGGCCAGCCCTAACCCAGAGGCAGTCCATCCAGGCACCTTCCTGAAATTTTAGCAACTAAAAGCATTCTGTTCACAATAAGAAAACCATTTCCCCCCACACCCTGATTGGAATGTCCCTGAATAGGTTCATGTGGACCCTCTGTGAAATCAACCTGGATGCCATGGGACTCCCGCGGTTCTTTTGCCTTTAGGCGGTTTCTTTCCTTTTGCCTTTAAAAGATAATTGGAAAAAAAAAAAAAAGATCCCTCTAATTGCTAATCGGGGCTCTTTTCCTCCTCGGAGGCGGAGAGCCCGTTTGCGCAAACGTTCAATAAACCCTCTTCCTAATTGCATCTGCCTGTCTGGGGTCTGGGTCTCTGGGGCGTCCACCGGGCCACGTTGGCACCCGTGAGCCAGGGTCCAACATTTGGGGGCTCGTCCGGGATCTGAGACGCCCCAGACTCAATCCTAAGACCGGTAGGAGGTAAGACCGAGCTCGCTAAATGTCATATCTGTCTCGTCCGTTTGTCTGACTGGCCGGGTCTGTTTTGTGCCGGGTCTGTATTGTGCCTGCAGGACGCCGTACTCTGTATTCTGTATTTGGACCAGCGGGGGAGGCAGACGTGCCCGAGACCCCTGGTCCCCCTCCGGAGTCGGACTCCGGAGTGGTCTGGAAGAGGAACGGAGCCCCGGCACTCCCTCCTCTTCGGGGAGGGTCGTGTTCGCGACCGCTCCCATCTGAATCTGCCGCGCCAGTCCTGTCGTTCGTGTGCGTCTGTTCGTTCCGTGTTTCTCTTCCTTTCCTGCCCTCCTCCCACCGCTCACCCCTTCTCTACACCCCTGGGGCAGACTGTAACCACCCCTTTAAGCCTCACTCTAGATCACTGGAAAGAAGTCGCCGGCCGGGCACACAATCTTTCGGTCGAAGTCAGAAGACGAAGATGGGTCACCTTCTGCTCCTCAGAGTGGCCGGCTTTCAACGTCGGGTGGCCCAGGAACGGAGCTTTTAATATTGACATTATCTTGCAGGTGAAGGCCCTGGTCTTCCAGCCAGGACCCAATGGACACCTCGACCAGCCGACCCGGGATGACCGCCAACAGCTCCCGCAGACTCTCCTCACCACGGAGGAGACACTGCGCGTCTACCTCGAAGCTCGCAAAAACGTCCCGGGGGCGGATGGGAGGCCGACCCAGCTGCCTAAGGAAATTGAGGATGTTTTCCCCTTGGTTCGCCCGACCTGGGACTACGACACTGTTGCTGGTAGGGAGCGGCTCCGTCTCTATCGCCAGGTACTCCTAGCGGGTCTCAAAGGGGCAGGGCGTCGCCCCACCAATTTGGCAAAGGTACGTGCTATAGTGCAGGGAAAAGATGAGACGCCGGCAGGTTTTCTGGAGAGGTTAATAGAAGGCTATACTGGCCACCGTAGTACAGGGCTCAGGGCAGAGTAAGTCAGGACAGAGTAGGGACCTGGGAGACAAAAGAGGACCACGGGTTGAACGAGACCAGTGTGCCTACTGCAAAGAAAAAGGACATTGGGTTAAAGATTGCCCAAAGAGGGGCCAAACGCAGGGACCTGAAAAGAAGCCCATTCCTGTTTTGTCCCTAGAAGATGAAGATTAGGGGTGTCAGGGCCAGGAACCCCCCTGAGCCTCGGATAACCCTTAAAGTGGGGGGAACAGCCGGTGACCTTCCTGGTCGATACGGGGGCTCAACATTCAGTTTTAACTGAGGCAAAAGGACCCTTGAGCTCTAAAACGTCTTGGGTTCAGGGGGCAACTGGAGGCAAGTTATATCGATGGACAACCGAACGGAAGGTCCACCTGAGCACTGGGCAAGTAACGCATTCCTTCTTACTGGTCCCAGACTGCCCTTACCCTCTCCTAGGCAGAGACCTTCTTTCAAAAGTAGGGGCCCAGATACATTTTCAGCAAAAAGGGGCCACTATTACTGGCGCGGGAGGGCAGCCCCTCCAGGTACTGACCTTGCGCCTAGAGGATGAACACCGGCTGCACGAGGACTCTCCACCGTCCGTGCAGCCCCTAGATTCTGAATAGCTCACTAACTACCCTCAGGCCTGGGTGGAAACGGCCAGAATGGGACTAGCTGTAAACCAGCCACCCATAATTATAAACTTAAAACCCTCGGCCACCCCCATATCGATCTGGCAATATTCAATGAGCAAAGAGGCCAAAGAAGGCATTCGGCCCCATATACAGAGACTATTACAATTGGGCATTTTAATACCTTGTCAGTGACCCTGGAATACTCCTCTACTACCCGTAAAAAAACCCGGCACAGGAGATTACCGGCCGGTACAAGATTTACGAGAGGTTAACTGGAGGACAGAGGACATACATCCCACGGTGCCGAATACCTACAACTTGCTCAGCACCTTACCCCCAAGCCATGTCTGGTATATGGTGTTAGATCTAAAAGATGCATTCTTTCGCCTAAGGTTAAGCTCTCAAAGCCAGCCTATTTTTGCCTTTGAATGAAAGATCCTGAGACGGGATTCTCAGGACAACTCACTTGGACAAGGCTGCCACAGGGATTCAAAAACTCCCCCACTTTGTTCGATGAAGCCTTGCATCGGGACTTGGCAGATTTCCGAGTTGGCCATCCGGACCTCGTCCTCCTGCAGTACGTGGATGATTTGCTCCTGGCGGCTAGGACAGAACAGGATTGTGTAAAAGGTACGGGGGCCCTGCTTGAGAGACTGGGAGAACTGGGGTATAGGGCCTCCGCCAAAAAGGCCCAAATAGGCCAGAGACAGGCCAGAGACAGACCTATCTGGGATATCTCCTGGAAGGAGGCCAGAGGTGGCTGACGGAGAGCCGCAAAAAGGCTGTAGCCCTGATCCCAGCACCCACTAATGCCAAAGGACTACGAGAGTTCCTCGGCAGTGCTGGGTTCTGCCACCTCTGGATACCCGGGTTTGCGGAGATGGCAGCTCCCCTATATCCTCTCAGGAAATCCAACACCCCCTACCACTGGGGAAAGGAGCAACAATTGGCTTCTGACAAAATAAAAAGGGCCTTATTGACCGCCCCTGCCCTGAGCCTCCCAGATGTAACCAAGCCTTTTACGCTATATGTTGATGAACATAATGGAATAGCCAAAGGGGTCCTAACTCAAAAACTGGGACCCTGGAAAAGGCCCGTGGCATACTTTTCAAAAAAATTAGACAGCGTGGCTGCAGGATGGCTCCCATGTCTCCGAATAATAGCGGCTGTGGCAGTCCTGGTAAAAGACTCAGACAAGTTGACTTTCGGCCAACCCCTCACTGTGGTGGCCCCCCACGCCGTAGAGACAGTCATCCGCCAGCCTCCTGATCGATGGCTCTCAAACGCCCGGGTCACCCATTATCAGGCCATGTTACTGAATTCTGAGCGGATACGGTTTGGAACGGCTACATCTCTAAACCCGGCCACCTTGCTTCCAGAAACCGAGTCCCCCTCCCTAGTAATGCATGATTGCCACCAGATCCTAGCTGAAGTCCATGGCACCAGAGGGGACTTGACGGACCAGCCTTTGCCAGATGCTGAAGCAACCTGGTACACGGATGGGAGTAGCTTTCTACGAAATGGTGAGCGTAAAGCCGGGGCAGCCGTGGTAGATGGGAAAGCTGTCATTTGGGTCAGTGCCTTAGAGCCTGGGACTTCAGCTCAAAGGGCAGAGCTTATAGCCCTAACTCAGGCCCTAAGAAAGGCTAAGGACAAAAAGGTCAACATTTATACTGACAGCAGATATGCTTTTGCAACTGCCCATGTTCATGGAGAAATATACCGTAGAAGGGGTCTCCTAACCTCAGCAGGTAAAAACATCAAAAACAGAGAAGAAATACAAGATCTTCTCCATTCCCTCTTTCTGCCGAGAAAACTGAGTATAATTCACTGTCCTGGGCATCAGCGAGGCAATGACCCAGTAGCAGAGGGGAACAGGATGGCCGATGAGACAGCACGGGCCGCTGCACTAGGCCCACAGGCCCTCTCCCTACAAGTACCAGAGGCTGTCCGGACACCGGGGCAACTCTCTCTCGAGTACTCAGACAGCGACCTAGATATCGTCCAGCAAATAGGGGCAAAATATGACGAGCAAATGAAGGTCTGGAAACACCAAGGGAAGACGGTCCTGCCCCAGAAAAGGGCCAAAGAACTGATGACTCACCTCCACCGATGGACTCACCTCGGACACACACAAAAAAAATTAAAAGCACTCCTCCGGAGAGAAGGTCAGACCTATTACATTCCCAAACTCCCCTCCCTGATCCAACAGGTAACCGACGCTTGTGTACCTTGTGCTAAGGTAAATACCAAACACTTCAAGATGCCTGAGGGAACCGGGATGAGGGGAGAAAAACCCGGAACTAATTGGGAAGTAGACTTCACCGAAATCAAGCCAGGTAAATATGGTAACAAGTACCTCCTAGTGTTTATAGATACCTTTTCAGGCTGGACAGAAGCATTCCCCACCAAGCGAGAAACCGCCCAGGTGGTTGTCAAGAAAATCCTGGAAGAAATTTTCCCCCGGTTTGGACTGCCCAAGGTAATAGGGTCGGACAACCGCCCCGCCTTCGTCTCCCAGGTAAGTCAGTTGGTGGCCAGATTACTGGGGATAAATTGGAAATTACATTGTGCATACAGACCCCAGAGCTCAGGTCAGGTAGAAAGAATGAATAGAACAATTAAAGAGACCCTAACTAAATTGACATTGGAGACTGGCACTAGAGACTGGGTCCAACTCCTCCCTATGGTTCTGTTCCGAGTCCGGAACACTCCCGCGCGCCATGGGCTAACTCCTTACGAGATTCTCTATGGAGGTCCCCCACCAGTAACGGACTTACTAGATTCTGCTCTTGACCCTCTTGCTAACACTCCCGGTTTACAGGACAGGCTAAAGGCGCTCCAGATTATCCAGCACCAGATCTGGAAACCCCTTGCGGCTGTCTACCGCCCCGGAGACACAACCGGCCCACACCCGTTCCAGATCGCTGACTCCGTCTATGTCAGGAGACATCAGTCCAGGACGCTTGAGCCCCGCTGGAAGGGCCCATATACTGTACTACTGACCACCCCAACCGCCTTAAAGGTAGACGGCATTGCTGCTTGGGTCCACGCCTCACACGTCCAGCGCGCCCCATCAACGAGCACCGCTGACGCCAGCCAGGACGGACCGGACGAGCCACTCCAATGGAAGCTCCACCGCACCCAAAACCCGCTCAAGATAAGACTTTCAAAAATTGTTCAATGACAGTTGTTATATTCCTACCTCTCCTAGCGCTCTTCACCTCCGCCAAAGGTGACCCTCATGCCCTCAAAAGGTTAACCTGGCAGGTACTAACGTCTGGGGGTGACGAGGTCTGGTCTATAACTAAGCCCGCCCCCCGTGGGAACCTGGTGGCCTGACCTATATCCTGACCTATGCAAGCTAACCATAGGGGCCCCTAGCCCATGGGGCCTAGAGGGATACTTCGACACCTCTAGAGCCCCTAACCAAGAAAGCCCTCCAGGGCGACTGGGATTAGACCCATGGGGAGGATGTGGCACGCCTGAAAGAAGGGCCATGCTAAGCACTCTTCCCTTTTTTTTTTATTTTTTTAAAATTTTTATTTACTTATGATAGAGAGAGAGAGGCAGAGACACAGGCAGAGGGAGAAGCAGGCTCCATGCACCGGGAGCCCGACGTGGGATTCGATCCTGGGTCTCCAGGATCGCGCCCTGGGCCAAAGGCAGGCACCAAACCGCTGCGCCACCCAGGGATCCCCACTCTTCCCTTTTATGTCTGTCCCGGGCACCACAGAGATCGCAGGCTAAATCCCACCTGTGGAGGAGGGTAATACTTCTATTGTAAAAATTGGGGGTGTGAAACTACGGGGGATACAGAATGGAGGCCCTCCTCCTCCTGGGATTATATCACTGTCAAGGCTAACTATACTCACCCGACATTTAGCAAACGGAAAACCCTTAATTATGGGCCCTGCCAAGGGTGGTGTCATCCCCTACGGATATCCTTCACGGAGCCCGGAAAAAGGGCTACTTACTGGCCAATGGATATACTGGGGACTCAGGTTATACAAAGAAAGAACAGATGATGGTTTTATATTCAGAATTAAACTAAAAATAAAATCCCCAGACCCCGTGGCGATCGGGGAACAAAGAGCTCCTGCTAAACTAACAGCCCCAGCCCTAGCCGCAGGGAGTGCCACACCCACTAACTTCGCGGTCACTCCAACCCCTCGGTCGTCACCCGAGACGGGACAACGACTGTTTAATCTTATCATAGGGGCATTCCTGGCCCTTAATCGAACCAGCCCCGATGTAACTAAATCCTGCTGGCTCTGCCTTGCATCCCCCCCCGCCTTATTATGAGGGAATTGCTACTTCAGGGACCTATAATAACATCACTAGCACTCAGGGATGCACACCCGACTCCCAACCACAACTCACCCTTACAGAAGTTTCAGGACAGGGAACCTGCATAGGAACACCCCCCCCCCCCGGGGCTACCAGAGACTCTGCAACACTACCACCCCGATTTGGGGGACTGATTCTTACCTGGAGCCCCAGCCGGGAACTTGGTGGGCATGCAACAAAGGCCTCACCCTCTGTGTGTCGGCTAAGGTTCTAAATAGCTCAAACGACTTCTGTGTCATGGTGCAGATCATACCCAGGGTGTTCTATCACCCTGCTGAAACTCTAGAAAATCAGTATGATAAACCTCCCACCCGTTTTCGGCGCGAACCTGTCTCCCTAACCTTAGCCGTTATGTTGGGACTAGGGGTCGCTGCTGGGGTGGGTACTGGCGCAGCTGCTCTGATCCAGGGCTCACGGCGTTATATAGAACTCCAAACAGCTGTAGATGAGGATCTACGGACACTAGCGCAGTCCGTTTCTAAGTTAGAACAGTCCCTCACCTCACTTTCAGAAGTAGCACTTCACAACAGGAGAGGCTTGGATTTACTTTTCCTGAAAGAGGGAGGACTGTGTGCGGCCCTGGGAGAGGAATGCTGTTTCTATGCAGACCATTCTGGAGTCATCAGAGACTCCATGGCCAAACTCAGGGAAAGGTTAAATGAAAGACAAAGGGACCGGGAGGCCCAGCAGGGCTGGTTTGAAAGCTGGTTTAATCAGTCTCCCTGGTTGACCACCCTAATCTCTACCATTCTGGGCCCTCTAGTTATCCTGCTCCTGCTGCTAACTTTCGGCCCCTGCGTCCTCAACCGGCTGCTCCACTTCATCGGAGAAAGATTGTCTATTACCCAAGCTCTGGTATTAACTCAGCAATGTCGGGCCCTCCAAACTGAAGAAATAAATGTTCCCTAAGATTTTAAGGTTAAAATCAGCCCAAACAAGAGGAGGGAATGAAGAAACCTCCCCCCTTGTAAGTAGGGCCAGCCCTAACCCAGAGGCAGCCCATCCAGGCGCCTTCCTGAAATTTTAGCAACTAAAAGCATTCTGTTCACAATAAGAAAACCATTTTCCCCCACACCCTGATTGGAATGTCCCTGAATAGGTTCATGTGGACCCTCTGTGAAATCAACCTGGACGCTACGCGACTCCCGCGGTTCTTTTGCCTTTAGGCGGTTTCTTTCCTTTTGCCTTTAAAAGATACCTGTAATTGGAAAAAAAAAAAATCCCTGTAATTGTTAATCGGGGCTCTTTTCCTCCTCGGAGGCGGAGAGCCAGTTTGCGCAAACGTTCAATAAACCCTCTTGCTAATTGCATCTGCCTGTCTGGGGTCTGAGTCTCTGGGGCGTCCACCGGGACACGTTGGCACCCCTGAGCCAGGGTCCAACAGGAGAAGAGGACATTTAAAAAATGAATTTTAGTTTTTTCACACCATCAAGGTGACTCATGTGTGTCAACATCAAGGAATCCCCCCACCCCCCCCACCCCCTCCCGGCCGGGATGCCAAGAGGAGGTTTCTCAAAACTAGAAGGGAAGGGTGTTTTTCCCCTTGTTACCAATCTAGCTCCAGAGATATTCTATTAGTGACATATATACCCTTTCCCCAAAACAACAATGAAGTGTTCCAACATAGCTTTAAAAGAAAAGTAAAACAAAATTCTGCATTTTTATAAAACTTGATAAAAATAGTATTTCAAACTGTACAGTCACCAGAAGTACACAGTTATCAAAAATACACACATTTCACTTGGCATCTCCAGCACCTTCAGCTTTCTGTGCCTGATCTGTTTTGGCATCTCCATTTTCTGCAGGGTTATTTCCATCCTTGCCAGCATCAGCTTCCCCTTTTTCCCTTTGGGTACCTTCTCTCCCTTCTTTGCAGAGGCCTTTTTTTTTTTTTTTAAGGTTTTATTTATTTATTCATGAGAGATCCAGAGAGAAAGAGGCAGAGACACAGGCAGAGGGAGAGGCAGGCTCCATGCAGGGAGCCCAATGTGGGACTCTCCAGGATCATGCCCTGGGCCAAAGGCAAGCGCTAAACCACTGAGCCACCCAGGCTGCCCTGCAGGGGCCTTTTTAGGCTTGGGCTCTGGCTTTGGAGGAGCAGGCTTAGCAGATAACCTTGCAGATCTTCTCTGTGGCTTTATCTCCTTTAGCATCCCCTTCAGCCTTTCTTTTGGGCATGGTGGCGATGGTGGCAGGCAGGACTTTAGTGCTGGACTCCAAGATGCAGCGGCATGCGGGCTTTGGCCAGTCCAGAGGTCGTTCTTGCCTCTTCTTCACACTGCTTTGAAAAACATTTTCTAATATAGATTTCTGTATCTCCCTTCCTCCATATTAACTTTATTCTTTTTTTTTTCATATCAACTTTATTCTTAATATTCCATAGTCCCTTAAAACACTCATAAGCTTTCTGTAACTATTCTAATTATAAATATCCAATTTTATATGATGTTTCAGCAATACATCTAATACTGACTAACTCTAAATTCCCAGAGGAAGGAAGATAAATGTATGTCTGTGATTACTTGCATTTGTCAAATAGACAGAACGTAGGGGAAAATACTCATTTTTCTTTTCTAAACAGAGCACTAACTTTGATATCATGTGACAACCCAAGAGAGTCCGGGAATTAAGTGGAGAAACATGTAAGGTTATAACATAGTGGAAGTCAGAGAAACACAAAGAAAAGGAAGCAGATTTCTTTTTTCATTTTACAGATCAAGAAACTGATAGCCAGATTAAGAGTTTGAGTCATGGGGCATCTGGGCAGCTCAGTTGGTTAAGCTCTTGATTTCAGCTCAGATCATGATCTCAGGGTTGTGAGACAGAGCCAAATATTGGGCTCCACACTCAGCAGATTCTCTCTGTCCCTCGCCCTCTTTCACCACCTTTCTTAAAAAAAAAAAAAAAAAGTTCGAATCATTTGCCCATTTGCTGTTTCTTGGAAAAGTTGAGGTTGGAGGTTCATCCCTTGACATGGCCTGGCGTCCCTCCAGTAAGTTTGGAGATTATGCTACTGAGATAACAAGTCACTGAAAACCCAAATACAAATAAAAATACTTTATCTATTGGCCTTCCTAAATATTTAGAGAATCGATTAGTCAATCTACATAATTTGTAATTTAATATTGAAATCAGCAGATTAATTAGAGTTTTATTTTTATTTTTATTTTTTTTCAATTAGAGTTTTAAAGAAAGAGAAAGTTGTAACTGCATATTTCTGCCCCTGAAGCAGGAAAGGTGTACTTTACATATAACTGGACCTGCTGCTCCCAAAAGGCCCGATTACTATTATGATCAAGTACAAATTCCTTAATTTAGCATTTAAGATTTGCCATCAAACTATCAAACCAGTCTTTCAAGAAAAATCTCCACTACTCATTAACAGTTCTCCAGGGTGATCCTTCAGTAAACCTGCTTTCTCCAAGAACGACCTCCTCCAGGCTCTCCCTCAGTCCTGTCTCCTTTTGCCCCTCCTGCCTCTTCCCTTGGCTTTGGAGTATGTCCACACCACACCCTCACCACCCCTACCCCTACCCATACTAGGTTGTGAGCCACTCCCCAGTGGAGGAAAGGACCCCTGACCATGTAACTGGCACTCTTCACTGACACCCCCACCCTCCTCACCTGGGCTATGGCTAAAATGGCACTTTAGGGGGATTTGGGCAATTTGTGAGGCCCTGGGAATTCTCCTTTATTCTTCGTAATAGAATCTACCCTGGGCAGATCACCACTCTGGAAGAAAAAAGTCTAACTTACAAAAACTCTAAACCTTGTGTGCAGGTGTCATGAGAAACTTTCAAAGCCACTTATTTAAAAATTGCTATGCCAGTAAGGGAGAGATCCACCCCCTTCAAGGCCCAATTCAAGTTCCACCTTCCTCATGAAGTTTTATGTGACAGAGAGTCCCCATTTACCCTCCCTCCTCTGGATCCCCTGATAATCCGAACAGTAATACGGCACCTAATACACATGTATACCACCTTTAAATAGTATCTATGACTGTGTCTTCATCTCCCAGACAAAGCTCCTAGCTTCTTAAGGAAGGATCTGTTTGAGTCTAACACAAGATTGTAATTAGGTATTAGGTGTCCAATGACACCTGGTATACATATGATGGATAATCAACATTTCCTAATTGATGATGGAGCATCTTGTCAGATGCAAGTTGAAAACCTAAATGAGGGGATCCCTGGGTGGCTCAGAGGTTTAGCGCCTGCCTTCAGCCCAGGGTGTGATCCTGGAGACCTGGGATTGAGTCCTGCAACAGGCTCCCTGCATGGAGTCTGCTTGTCCCCTGTGTGTGTCTCTGCCTCTGTGTGTGTGTGTGTCTCATGAATAAATAAAATCTTTTAAAAAATATTTTAAAAAAAGAAAGCCTAAATAAGTGCAACAATCTATTAATTCCTGTGATGGTTAGCAGAACCTAACATTTGCCTAAAGACCCCAGAGTGAGCACCCTTTCCATTTTAAGGGCTACAAATCGGATTCTTTTGTAGATTCAAATAGGTCCACACTCTGGAAGGAACCCTTGACTGTGAGAGTCAGGATTTCCAACAGCCACTATTATTATTATTATTATTATTATTATTTTTTTAAGAGATTTGTTAAGGGCTCTCAGAGAGCAAACACCCACACAGCTTCTGCAAAAGGAAGGTAATCGGATTAATAACTCTCTGTATTTACTTGCACTGTTATGTGACTTTTGAAACAACCTGAAGAGGCAGGATGGGAAGTCATTAAAGTCCAAGGGGCAGAGGAGCTGAGGCAGACTCCTCCAATTCACTTTCAGGCAGGAAGTGATCAGCAGACTACATATTCCTTCCTAGACATCTGGACTCCTTCACAAGTCCCTTTGTTTATAATTCTCCAGAACTTGAGTCTCCAGAGCTCCCAGTTCCACAGAAGATGTTGAAAGTTTCCTTGTTGGCATCCTACAATCTACCCAAACTCTTCCATTCTTATTTTAATCGCCATTTGGATGCAGGAAACAGCCCCCTCCTCCGCTCTGGGGCACCCCTACAGCCTTTCAGATGTTACATCAAGCCCAGAAGTCTGCGAGGGCGCTAACCCATCATTTTCATAGGCCACGTGTAATCTTTTTTTTTTTTTTTAAAGATTTTTTTAAAAAATTATTTATTCATGAGACACAGGGAGAAAGAGGCAGAGACACAGAGGGAGCAGCAGGCTCCATGCAGGGAGCCCGAGGTGGGACTCGATCGGGCACCCGGGATCACGCCCCGGGCCAGGGCACTAACCAGCCCTGGAGCGCCGACCGCCGCGCGCCGCGTCGCGGGGCTCCCCCTCTTTACGCCGCACGACAAACGCCAACCAGCGCTGAGCGGTCTGCGGGCTCACTGCGGGACTCGCGGCAGCGCGGGAGCGGGAGGAAGCAGCGGCGCGCCGGGGGGAGGCGGGACAAAGGGCTCCCGGCAACTGCGCCGGCGATTGGCCAGCCCGTCTGCAGCCGAGGCCAATCGCCAGACGCCGTGCCAACGCTCGTTGAGCCGAGTGCGGCTGCGCGGGAGATTCAAATCCGCGGCGGCTCGTCGCTGGTGCCGCGGTGTTGCTGCGGGCCTGCGTCCTCTCGCCATGGATAACCCGGGAAATGTCCTTCAGTAAGTGTGGGTCTGGTGGGATGAGGCTAGGCGGGGGCGCAGTCTCCGTCTGCAGGCTGCGGGGTGGGCGTGACCTAGGATTCGGGGTGTGCAGGCCCCCGCCCCCGCCGTGGCTTTGGAGTGTCTCCTCCCCGCCCTCACTCCCACCCAGCTAGGCTGTGAGCCACTCGTGGGTCGTGGATAGGACCCCGGACCGTGTAACTGGCGCTGTCCGCTGAGACCCCGGCCCTCGTCCTCCAGGCCGCCAGCACGGTGGCAGTTTAGGGGAATATGGCCAAATTCGTGAGGCCCTCCCTCCGAGCTCTCGGTTAATCTCCGCAGGGAATCCGCTCTGGGCGGACCGCCGCCCTGGGAGAAAAAAAGTGTCTAACCCAACAGACACCCGAAGTTCTTGGGGCTCCTGGGTGGCCCAGCGGCTGAGAGCCCGCCCTCGGCTGAGGGAGTGACCCCGGGATTCCGGATGGAGCCCCGCAGCGGGGTCTCCGCATGGAGCCTGCTTCTCCCTCTGCCTGTGTCTCTCTCTCTGTGTGTCTCTCATCAACAACCCTAAGCTTTGCGTGTAGGTTTCATGAGAAACGTTCAAAGACAGTCAAAAAAAAAAAAAAAAAAACAACAACCCGAAAACTGCAGTAGGGAGAGAACTTACAATAGCTCTTACCCGTAATCCCACAATCAATTTGAAAAAAGTCTTGTGAATAACGTGAACTTTTTTTTTTTAAAGCTATGTTTATTATCATTTATGTCAACCTGCTAGCGATTTCTTTAAATTCCCACACTTTTGCTTTACGACTTCAGGTGATTTATCTAGATTGTTTCAAACGCATTTTAAAGCAGTTCAGTTATATGTGACAGGAAATAAAACCGGTTAGTTTTATCAGCACCAAGGTAATGTACTCTCTTGGGGATCAGAAGGCGGAGATCATTAAGTACAGCCAAAGCAAAAACCTGTTTGCTTTAAGACTTCGTTAGCCTTCAGTCTAGCCGGCAAAACTTTCACTTTTAGAAGCTTGTTTTCCCCCACTTTAAAAAGGGAAATCAAGTATTTCTGACCTTATTTTGACTTTGTAAAGACTAATTTGCTCCAGTGAACTGGATGTTTTCAGTATTAATTTACAGTGTATTCAGGCCATTTTACTAGGAAAATGTGGTTGGTATGGGAATATGAAGTGTTTATTTGGGGCAGCTTATTTATTAACATATTTTGGGGAAAATTTCCTCACGTCTGAGGCATGAAAAGGAGATTAAAATTTAGAAGTAATTACTTCTTAATTTTTAAAAGTAAGTAATACATTTATTTAGTTTTTGAAAAAGATTTAGAAAAGTATTCACTGAGATTTATTATACCTATCTATTCACCCACCCCCTGATATATAACCATTTTTCTAGTTTATTTTTCAAATGTTTCTTTTTGCGATATATTTATATTATAATAATACATGAGTATATCTATATGCATACATGTATGTGTGTATATGGATGAGTGTTATGTATGTATATGTGTGTGCAATTCCTGCCTATATTTCGTGTAAAGTGTAGCAGAGCATATATACACTGCTTTTTTTGTTTAACAGTATCCTTGGAGATTTCTATCAGTTTATAGAGCTCTTTTTCGATCTGTTTTACAACTACATATTTCATGTACCATAATCAATTCAAAAAGTCTCCCATTGATGGAACCTTGGATTATTGACAGTCATTTTGCTAAATAGAGTTGCAGTGAAAAATCTTGTACATGTGGCATTTTGCACATACATGTACAGATGTATCTGTTTTCTAGAGTCCCAGAAGTAGATTTGCTAGGTCAAAGTAGATCCATCTGTAATTTTGGCAGATATTACCTGTTCCCTTGGGAGGGATCAAGAGCACTCTTACCTGCAAGCAAGATGTGAGAGTGCTTGTTTCCATTGTTTCATCTATACATGGTTGCCATGTTTTTTTTGTTGTTGTTGTTTTGTTTTGTTTTTTAGTTTGGCCAATCTCATAGCTGAGAAATTGTATCTGAATGAGGTAAATTTCTCTTATGAGAGAGGTTGAGTATTTTCTTGTGGAATGCCCTTTTTTTTTTCATTGTTTTCCCCCCAATTTCTAAAAGCTCTTTTTTTATACCAGTTTATCATTTCTCTTTTGACTCTTAATGTTTTACTTGACATGTAGAAGCTTTTATATGTGTGTGTGTATATAGTTTATCTAGCTTATCTAGCTTTTCTTTTTTGGCTTCTAGATTTTGAGTCATAAGAAACATTGATTTCATTGGTATACTGATATGATAGCCAGAAGAAAGTATTGCTTTCAAATCCTTTTTTTTTTTCTTTTCGAAAGTCATGTAATTTCTCTAATGGAAAACCTGACGTCTTTCTTAGCTTGAATCTCTCTCACACCCAGTGAAGCAATCCCAAAGGCAAGTCTCATTGTTTCTTTCTCCAAAACACCCCAAATTCCGTACTTGCTCTCTTCCCACCCTGGTCCAGTTCACACCCACTGGGATTATAGTAGCTCCCTGACTGGTTGCCCACTTGTGTTCCCATTTTCTGTCCCCTTTACTTGGAGGGACAAGAGGGATGTTTTAAAATGCACATTACATGTTGTTACCCCATCCTTCCAGCTCAGCACACTTTAATAGCTTCATGGCCCCCTGGCACTGATCAAGTGTCACCCCCTCAGAGAGAGTGGTCTTCCCTGACCACTCTATCTAAAAATTGTGACTCTTGACACACTCTTGCCTCATCTCCCATTTTGTTTTGTTTTTTTCCCCTAAGTGCTTAATGTCACCTGACTTTATTTTACTTGTTTCTGTTTGTTTGTTCATTTGCCCCCATCCTAACACTGAAGTGCCCCTAGAGAACTTTCATTGCCTGGCTGATTTTTTTTTTTTTTTTTTTTTAAGCTGTGGTTGGATATGCAGAAGTAGCAGCAAGCAGAGGGAGCCATGGTGGCTGATTTATGAACATTGCCATTATGTGTTCTTCCTCAGGGATGCTGTGTTCCATTGAGGCCCAGAAAACAAACTATCTGGGAACCTGATTGGTGGTGCCCTAGGCTCCCACACCCACTCATAAGCCCCCTCAGGTCTCCTAGCAAAGTCTTAGCCAAGCTCCTGAGCAGCAAGAGGAGGGGTTCATCATGTGAGGAATAGCAACTTCTGGACACTGCCCCTCATGATGGTAGCAACATTGGGCATCAGTGACAGGAGAAGGAGATTCTTAGGGATAGAGTCCGAGACCCTCTTCTAGCTGCCTCTTTCATAAGGGCTAGCTTCAGGGACTTTGGGTCTTGCTTTCTTCTGGAAAAACACTGCATCTAAGTTTTCTGACCACTTCCAAGTGAATAATCTTTTAATTTTTAATATAGCATCTGAACTAGTATTTAAGATTTTCATGTTAAGGTGTATAAATGAGACATATAAAATGAAAAAAATATCTTTTGCTTTTAGGAATCATCCCTAATAAGTTATGTGCATATTTTTCTCTTTTCTAGAATGTTTGAAGCCCATATGCAGAGCTACAAGGGCGATGACCCACTTGGTGAATGGGAAAGGTTAGCATTTAGTTTATTTTTTTTCCTCTAAACAAACTATATGCTGCCCTGAAAATTAATGCTATCTATATTTTTCTAGTTACATGCGGTGGGTAGAAGAGAATTTTCCTGAGAATAAGGAATACTTGACAACTTTATTAGAACATTTAATGAAGGAGTTTTTGGATAAGAAGAAATACCACAATGACCCAAGATTCATCAATTATTGTTTAAAATTTGTAAGTATACTTTCAGATGTATAATCAAACTGTAATCATATTATACTTTTGCTTATTTCCCCAGATTTTAAGATCATTTTAGATCGTCTTGTTTTAATTCTTCTGTTTGTAATAAAAAATTTTTAGAAGTTGTATGGGCTGAGATGTGTATTTTAGAAGCTTTTGGCTTCTGTATTACAGAGTCAAGAATTTGATTTTAAAACCCTCCTCCTGGGCAGCGGTTTGGCGCCGCCTGCAGCCTGGGTGTGATCCTGGTGACCCGGGATCGAGTCCCACATCGGGCTCCCTGCATGGAGCCTGCTTCTCCCTCTGTCTGTGTCTCTGCCTCTCTCTCTCTGTGTCTATGAATAAATAAATAAAATCTTAAAAAAAAAGTTTAAAAAAATAAAGCCCTCCTCCTCTATCAAGTAAGTATTATGACATGAGATAGAAATCATTAAATTAAAAGTTTTTTGAATAAGAGGTATGTGAGGATGGAAAGATAAGCTCCCACTGCCAGGTACTCAGAGGGTTCCTGGGAGTAAATTAGATTCATTGTAAATAATTAAGAAAATATTAATTCTCAGGAAGTAAATTTAGTACTAAAAGAATAAGGCTATTTCAGGTTAAGCTTTAAAAGGTTGGGTCTCTTCAGTCTTGAAATGAAGGCTTTGAGGGCATGAGTTCTAGTAATCATGAATGGATAGAGTTAAAATGGATTTGTTCACTAAATTACAAAATACCAGTATTTGAGGCACCCTATGGCACTTGAGCAAGCTTGATTAAGACAACCATAACACTTATATCATGAGTCATTACGGAAGTCACTACCCTGGGAAATAGTGTGGGTAATTTGGGGGACACTGAATGTTAAGAAAAGGAATAAGTTTAACTTTTAGGTTTGCTGTTAGAAAGCCTCCATGAAGACTGAGCATAGAAGGTGGCTGGGCTCTGGGCCATACCTAGACCAGCAATTCCTTTGTTCTTATATCTGTTTGCTTTGGGTTTCTGTAGGCTGAGTACAACAGTGATCTTCATCAGTTCTTTGAGTTTCTGTACAACCATGGGATCGGGACCATGTCATCTCCTCTCTATGTAGCCTGGGCGGGGCATCTGGAAGGTCAGGGAGAGCTGCAGCATGCCAGTGCTGTGTTTCGAAGAGGACTTCAAAACCAGGCCGAACCAAGAGAGCTGCTGCAACAACACTACAGGTAGTTTGAAAATAAAACTCAGGGTACCTGGGTGGCTCAGTTGGTTGAGCATCTGCCTTTAGCTCAGGTCATGATCTTGAGGTCCTGGGATTGGGCCTGGCATCTGACTCCCTGCTCATGCCCTCTCTCTTTCTCTCTCTCTCTCTCTCAAATAAATAAATAATGAAATCTTAAAAAAAGAACAAAATACACCAAAACAAAAAACTCTGCATGGTATTTCCTACTTGAAAATGTCATGTTTGCTCTTAAAAATCCTTTATTGTTATCTGTTTATACAGGGAAAACCTTCTCATTGTAAAAATGTGAATAGTGCAGAATAGTATAAAGAAAAGGAAACTGCCCAGAAATATTACAGTCAACATTTTGGTGCATTGCCTTCCGGTTATCTTTTATCTTTTCCTATGCCTATGTATGCATCCTTGGATTTGTATATTTTAACAGTAAATCATACTGTATTATCTGTTGTGTATATTGAGCTTTATCCTGCCCTTAAGAAATTATGAATTTTTATACTACTTATAAAGTAGGTGAAAATCTGTCCCAGAGTTATGTCATATTTGAAGTGGTCTCTAGGGATCCCTGGGTGGCGCAGTGGTTTGGCGCCTGCCTTTGGCCCAGGGCGCGTCCTGGAGACCCGGGATCAAATCCCACATCGGGCTCCCGGTGCATGGAGCCTGCTTCTCCCTCTGCCTATGTCTCTGCCTCTCTCTCGCTGTGTGCCTATCATAAATAAATAAAAATTAAAAAAAAATTATGAAGTGGTCTCTAAATGGGCGTTAAAGGTGTTTCCACATTTTGATTTTTATAAAGAGCAACATAGTGAATATTTTAATGAATAACTTCATTTTTCACAACTTTTATTGTTTTCTGTGATTTAATATACCTCATTTAGGAAATTTTTATTTATTTTTTTAAGATTTTATTTATTTATTCATGAGAGACCCAGAGAAGAGAGAGGCAGAGACACAGGCAGAGGGAGAAGCAGACAACATGCTGGGAGCCTGACATGGGACTCGATTCTGGATCTCCAGATCATGCCCTGGGCTAAAGGTGGCGCTGAACCGCTGAGCCACCCTGGCTGCCCAGGAAATTTTAAAAATACAGAAAACCAAAGAAACAGAAGAAACCTGGCATTTTAGTTGGCATGTTTTTCTCTGCTTGTTAAAGGATTTACACTGCTTTAATACACCTGCAGTTTTGTCTCAGTCTTTTTCCTTTATTATAGAGTTTTCTCCCAATATATTTCCTATTTTTATCTCGTTCCTTCTGATAGATTCTCAGAATTGAAACTAATCAAAGGATGTATGAGTTTTTGAGTTTTCTGGTACTTATAACTACATTACCTACTCAAAAGGTAATACCAGTTTTTTATTGGCCCCCTCTCTAGCAGCATATGAAAAAACTTATTAAACCAGCATTTAATACACTCATTGTTTTCAGCTTTGCTACAGTGTTCATGTTCTTTTTAAAGTTTATTATGAGAATTTTCTTTTCTTGTTTTTTTAGAGATTTATTTATTTATTTATTCATGAGAGAGAGAGAGAGAGAGAGGCAGAGACACAGGCAGAGGGAGAAGCAGGCTCCCTGAGGGGAGCCCGATGTGGGACTTGATCCAGGGACTCTGAGATCATGCCCTAAGTCAAAGGCAGATGTTCAACCACTGAGCCACCCAGGCGTCCCTATTATGAAAATTTTCAAGCATACATTAAAAAAAATTAGTATAATGAACTTCCTATTTACCTATCACCTATTTTTAATAAATATTAACATTTGATCATGACTTTCTATGCAGAGGAATTTTAGGCAAATCCAAGACAGCAAAATATTTTACCCCAAACACATAAACATCTCTAAAAAGTGATTTTTGTTTTACAGAATGTTATGCCATTTTCAAACCTCCAATTTTAACTATAGTTCTTTAATATCCTCTAATATTCAGTAATTCCTCATCATGTAAAACATTGTAGATTTTTTTTCTTTTTTAAGTTACTGGTTTGTTTGAATTAAGACTCAAAAGATTTGGCATTTGGTTGTACATCTTTTCATCTCTTTATGCTATACACTCTTGCTCACATCACCCAAAAATGTTAGGTTTGGAAATTGCATATTACTTGGCAGGTGAGTTGGTGTGCAAAGGTGCCATGAAATGACATATTTAAAAAAAGTTCTCACAGATGAGCAGTAATATATCTGCCTTTTGGAGTATAGTCTAAGTTTTGGACTTTTTTCTTCTAAACATTATATGTTCATTATGTTCCAGATGTGTAGAATGCTTAACATAGGGAGCTCAAGCATCCCATGTTGTAACATTTGTGCTTGATACACAGAGAAAGAGGGTACATTGGTTATGTGAGGTTTTTGTTTGTTGTTTTTTAAAGATTTTATTTATTTATTTATTCATGAGAGACAGAGAGAGAGAGAGAGAGAGAGAGAGAGAGAGGCAGACACAGGCAGAAGGAGAAGCAGGCTCCACTCAGGAAGCCTGATGTGGGAGTCGATCCTGGGACTCCAGGATTACACCCTGGGCCAAAGGCAGGCACTAAACCGCTGAGCCACCCAGGGATCCCCTATGTTAGTATTTCTTAAACTCACATAACAGGAGATCCCTGGGTGGTTCAGTGGTTTAGCACCTGCCTTCAGCTCAGGGTGTGATCCTGGAGACCGGGGATTGAGTCCCACATCAGTCTCCCTGCAAGGAGCCTGCTTCTCCCTCTGCCTGTGTCTCTAATGAATAAATAAATAAAATCTTAAACAAAAAGAAATACTAACATGAACTAGGCAAAAGTGGGTTTTTCTAATGTAGTGTATTGGATATGAAGAAAATCCCAGAATTTTTTTTTTAATTTTGAAGCAATTCTAATGTTCAACTTTACGTTCTCTCTTGACCTGTCTTTTTTTTATTATTATTATTTTTTAATTGGAGTTCAATTTGCCAACATATAGCATAGCACCCACTGCTCATCCCGCCAAGTGCCTCCCTCAGTGCCCATCACCCAGTCACCCCAACCCCCCCCCACCCACTTCCCTTTCCACTACCCCTTGTTCGTTTCCCAGAGTTAGGAGTCTCTCATGTTTTTTTTTAACCTCAGTCTTAACTAGCTTATGATTAGCTATCTTGATAGGTTTGTTTGTTTGTTTATTATCTCTATAGGTTTAGATCGATCTAGATAGATATAGTTTTCACTTTAATACAAATATGTATTAAACTAAATTTATAATCCTTATTGATGCCTTCACTCCTGTCATTCAGGTTATTTCAGGCACGCCTCACCGAAACGCATTTGCCAACTCAAGGTAAAATAGTACTTTCTAAATGTCTAAGTTGTTAGTCTCTGATATGCACTGCCTTTTTTTCTCCCTAAAAAAAATTCATCTGGTATTTATTGACTGTATTGTCTTAGATAATGGGGAAGGCGCCCTGGTAATAATGCCTTGCAAAAAATCTCTGGAGAGCAGAACTCTATTGTAACAATTTAAATAAGCAAACCCACAAGAAAACTTGATTTCATTATATTTTTAGGACTTAAAAAAAAATTTAAATTGCCCAAGATAGAGGACAAGACTTACTCGAGAATCTGAGAATCCGTCTATTCTGAATTGTATCATAGTGTTTAATGCAACTTTTAAAGAAATGTTCTTTATAGAAATGTTGTTCTTGACATCAATAAGTATCAACTATCCTATCCTGTTGTTTAAATTATCTCTACAATGTTTCTCTTATCTAAAAAGTGTTTTAGGGCAGCCTGGGTGGCTCAGCAGTTTAGAGCTGCCTTGGGCTCAGGTGTGATTCTGGAGACCCGGGACTGAGTCCCATGTCTGGCTCCCTGCATGGAGCCTGTTTCTCCCTCTGCCTGTGTCTCTGCTTCCCTCTCTCTCTCCCTCTCTCTTTCTCTTTCTCTCTCTCTCTCTGTCTCTCATGAATAAATAAATCTTAAAAAAAATGTTTTAGTTACAATTTTCTGAGACAGTGGTCAATGAGTTGTTTTATTTCTTATGCTACTTACTGAAAGACCAGGGGAAAGTATTTGTAATAATTTTATTTAATATGATCTTACCCTTCTTTCTCTTTATTTCATCCTTTTTCCTCCTATAGTGAGAACCTCAGAACCTCTGCATAATGCTCAGATTTTAAACCAAATGATGACATCAAAATCAAATCCAGGAAATAACTCAGCCTGCATTTCTAAGAATCAGGTAATAATAACATTCGTGGGTTATGTGGAAATGGGGAATGGCATTTAACGGTCATCTAGGTGCCTTTCACATCCACTTTGACATTTCATTTGTTTGACATTATCCCTCTGATTCTAACCTCTCTGTCAGCCACCTGCACCTGTGGCCTGTCGTCATCTACCACTGCTCACTTCGAATATTAAATTTAAATAACTTACAGTCTGGCCTTAGCTTCCTGTGTTTATTTGGCCTAGGGGCCCCCACTATGTAACCTTTTGTCTTCACTTCCTCCTTAGCAGCTTCTCTTCTTTGTCTATCAGCCTTCCTCACTTAGGCCCCGGAATCCCTCCTGCACTGGACAGTACCCACCTAGAGGTTCCTGAGCTCTGTTTAAAAAACTCAAGAGCTTAGAAAGATGGTGCCTATAACCTCAACCAGGGCTTTACTCCTCTCCAGAAATTATGTTTCCAATTTCCTGGTTTATTCTTTATGTTTTATGTATTTATGTGTCCCCTTTCACTCTCTAATGCCACCTTGTAGTGATTTTAAACTTCACTTCTCTCAAACTTGGGACCTAGAGGTCTCTAACCTCTCCTTCAGGAGCTGACAATAAGAGTGTTTAAATGAGACAACAAAAACCATTAGATGACATCTGTCAATTTTCTGCCACTAACCAGTAAATGTAACTGCATCCCTCCCTGCCATTATAATTGGGAAAAATGGTCTTCTACTTGTACTTGTCCTTCATCCTCCTTGAGATTTTTGCCCTGCTATGATCTCTTCGGCTCAAGTCTTTGCTTCCTTCAGCCTTGTTTTCTAGAAGCTTTCCTCTTTGTGGTACAATTGCTCTTTCAGTTTGCTAAGGACCTCTTCTAAGCTAAATCCACTAATTCTTAGTGCACATGTGCAAGTTTTATTGATGTAACAGATTCCTAGACATGGAATATGCATTTCTAACTTAGATTCTCAAACGATCTCATTTTACATTCTACACATTTACCAGCCTCATTGCTTCCTGTTGCCCCAATTATGTAAACTTTTAGACAGCAGAGATGGGTCTTATTTATGGTCACATTTCCAGGACCTAGCTCAGGACATGACATGAATGAGATATTCAATAAATATTTATTTAGTGAATCAGTACTAGCATTGGGAACTCCTGAGAATAGAATAGTACCAGGAGGAAATTTTTGTGATTTTTTTTTTTAATTGATAAAGAATTTTAGAATATTAATCCCATAACACATTGGCACTGGTCCAGCTCCTAGTCTGTCAGTTGGAGGGAAATAAGAGCCCTTCTCTACTACCAAGTAGAAATTTTTTTATCGAAGAGGTGGTGGAAGGAGTGAGGCAGGGGAGGGGCAGAGGGAGAGAGAATCTTAAGTGGGCTCGATCTCACAACCTTGAGATCATGACCTGAGCTGAAATCAAGAGTCAGATGCTTAACCAACTGAACCACCCAGGTACCCCCCAAGAAGAACTTTTTTAAATCACTTTCTTATTGGACTCTTTAGTTACAAAAGTTATAAGATTAATAATCAATAACTAATAATTAAATTAAAGAACATATATAAATTTAGTTGATGATTGGTGCACCTGAGTGGCTTAGTCGGTTGAGCATCTGCTCTTGGTTTCAGCTCAGGGCATTATCTTAGGGTCAAGAGATCAGGCCGCACATCAGGCTCTGTGCTCAGCACAGGGTCTACTTGGGTTCCTCCCTCTTTGCCCCTCCTCCTGTGCTTGCTTGGTAGCTCTGTTTCTCTCAAATGAACAAATAAAATCTTTTAAAAATAAAAAATAAATAAACCTAGTGATGATTAAGAAGCTCCTCCAATACTTTCATATTGTTCTGTGAAATAATTTGGGTGCTAGTTTCTCATCAGTTAAGTGAATACTTATGTTTCTTTTCTGTCTTTTTAGGGTTCAGAAATTTCTGGGGTAATGTCTTCAGCTTGTGATAAAGAGTCAAAAAAGCAAGTATATATAACCTGTGCAGTATCTATTACTTAGTTTCCTTCAAGAGCTATTTTAGTAGTATACTGTGGTAAATAATACATTTTTCCCCATTATAGGGAACAAAGGGTGATCCTGATTTCTAAATCAGGTTATTCTGCACAAGCATCTGCAGCAGCCAGAACTGATGTTCAGCAGGTTGTTATGTATTGCAAGGAGAAGCTTATTCGTGGAGAATCAGAATTTTCCTTTGAAGAGCTGAGAGCCCAGAAATACAATCAACGGAGAAAACATGAACAGTGGGGTACTTGCACTCTTATGATTTAAAATACTCTATTGTCATTTAAAATAATAACTGTTGAGTAAACTACCTTTTTAAACAGGTAACTGACTAAGCTGAAAGAATCTGTAAAGTCTCTAGCTCATCTGTGAGAAGCCTAGAAATCTTTGTTAAATACGAGTAGCCACATTTGTCTAGGGACTCAACTGCTGTCGTGACAGCAAAGCTCAGAGTTGAAACAGCACTGATATAGATAAAATAGGTATACCAATGTTGCCTTTTAGTGATATTTTAAGCTTTTAAATATTATCTGTATGGGTTTGAATTTCTGAATATGGTAATTTTAAACCTATAAGTTAGTTATTTTTACTATGAAAGGATCAGGTGAGGAACTGGAATGGAGAAGAGACTGTCTAAAATCTGCAAGCATGACAAAGGAGACAGTCAGATGGAGTCCTCTGATCAAAGGGCCATGTCGCTTATGGCTATATAGCATGTCAGGTTTCATCCCTCGTGGGAAAACCCTGAATGCTAACACCAACATCTGAGCTCATCTTTACTGTAACAATGTCGACTTTAGAGAGGAAAGTGAACTTTTGTTCATTGAGGGCTTTTATACCATCTAAGCCATTTGGATAACTGCTTTGTTGGCCTTTTTTTTTTTTTTGCTTACCATTTTTCACTTGTTCAACAACTGAGAACAGGCAGCTAACACTCATGGAGAACCCATTTTGTGTCATGCACAGATTCATTTTTCTTTCACACAGTGACCTAATGTCTCAGCCAAGGGATTTGATTTGTATGTGGGGTGGTTATGTTAAGCAGTCACTGCAAGTGACACTGACCTTTCAATACATTCGGCTCCTGTTTCTTCTTAGAAAACACCTAGAGATTTTAGCTCTTTTAAAAACTTCCATTTTCAAATGACTTGCAGGACCATGACTATTTTAGAAGAACTGATTGATAGCATACTGTGCTATTACCAAATATTTTATTGATCAGTGTGTAAATTTTTATAACCTATATGCCCTGAACCTACAAGTAACCATACTTAAAGGCAGGTAAAAATTACAATTAAGAAGTAATACACCTTTCTGTTCTGATAACCTAATACACATGGAAAAGACCAGTAAAAAAAATTGCCATCCCCAAAATAATGTTTCACTCATTTTCTGTGTATTCCTCTGATGACCTGAGTTTAAACTTTGCATGGAAACCATGTTTTCTTTCCTAAAGTAAATGAAGACAGACATTATATGAAAAGAAAAGAAGCAAATGCTTTTGAAGAACAACTGTTAAAACAGAAAATGGATGAACTTCATAAGAAATTGTATCAGGTGGTGGAGACTTCCCAGGAGAATCTGCCTGAGTTCCAGGAAAGGTCTGAGGTATGTGTGTGCTCTTTGCTGGGTGCTTCCCATGCCCAGTGCAACTGATTTCATTTTTTACTTGCTCCTTTCTGGGCCATATTTTTAGACTTAATTCTGATGCCAATGTAGCTACTACCAGCATTGCAAATTTTTACAATTGGGCACAGAAAGATACTCAAAATGTAAAATGAGAAAAGGAAGTTACAGATTGTGTATGTTTTTATATGTACATATTTATGTTTATATATTCATATGTGTAGTCTTTAAAAAATTTTTTGCACAGTAACTCATATAATGAGAATTTGAATGTAATTATTTCAATAATTATCAAGATATTTATTTTTTTTGCCATTGTTTCATGTTGGAAGGGGGAAAGGTGATGAAATTGTTAGACTCATGTATTTTCTTAAAATTATTAATGATGGGGTAAATTGAGGATAAATTTAAGGTACATAATGATTGCTTAAATTTTCACATTGTACATATATACCTGTGATATAGGATACAATGAAGATTAACATCTTAATTTCTTCTTTTTTAGAATTTTCTTCTATTTAAGATATTCATAGAAATGTAAATGAAATACAGTAAATTACACATATCAGAAGTGTAAAATTTGTTAAGTTTTGACATGCATACAACCATAAACTATCTTCACAGTCAAGATAGTGAACATACATATAGGGGATCCCTCGGTGGCCCAGCAGTTCAGCCCCTGCCTTCAGCCCAAGGCGTGGTCCTATAGTCCCGGGATTGAGGCCCACATCGGGCTCCCTGCATGGAGCCTGCTTCTCCCTCTGCCTCTCTCCTTCTCTCTCTCTGTGTCTTTCATGAATAAATAAATAAAATCTTTAAAAAAAAAAAAGTGAACCTATACATCACCCCAAAAGTTTTCTTGCCCCTTTGTATTTGTCTTGCTTCCTGATATATTCCAAGCACACACCATTTCATTTTCTTTTTCTTTCCTTTACTTTTTTTAAATTTGAGTATAGTTGACATACAATGTTACATGAGTTTCAAAAGTGCAAGATAGTGATTCAATTTCTCTCTATGTTATGCTATGTTCACTAGTGTAGCTCCCATCTGTTACCATACAATGCTATTAAAATGTCATCAACTATATTTCTTCCACTATATCTTTTATTCCTATGACTTAATCATTCTATAACTGAAAGCCTGTATCTCCCACTCCTCTTCATTCATTTTACCTATCCCTTTACCTCCCACCCCTCTGGCAACTGTAAGTTTGCTCTGTGTATTTGTAGGTCTGATTTGCTTTTTGTTTATTCATTTATTTTGGTTTTTAAATTCCACATATGAGTGAAATCATACAGTATTTCTCAGTCTGATTTATTTCATTTAGCACAGTAACCTCTAGGTCCATCCATGTTGTCACAAATGACATGCTCTCATCCCTATTCTATGCTTGCATAATATTCCATTATAGATACATAGATTTATCTATATATATTACATTAGTGTTTTCATTTTTTGGATAAATAACCAGTAGTGGGATTACAAGACCATATGATATTTCTATTTTTAATCTTTTGAGGAACCTCCATACTGTTTTCCCCAGTGGCTGCGCCAATGTGCGTTTCCACCAACAGTGCATGAGGGTTCCTTTTTCTCCACAACCTTGCCAACACCTGTTGTTTCTTATGTTTGTTGATTTTTGCCATTCTGACAGATGTGAAGTGATATCTCATTATAGTTTTGATTTGCATTTCCCTGATGATAAGTATTTTTTCATGTGTCTGATGGCCATTTGTATATTTTCTTTGGAAAAATGTCTATTCAGGTTCTTTACCCACTTTTTAATCCAGTTGTTTGTTTTTTTTTGGTGTTGAATTGTATAAATTATTTATTTATTTTGGATATTAACCCCTTACTGGATGTATCATTTGCAAATATCTTCTCCCAGTAGATCGACTTTTTGTTTTGTTATGGTTTCCTTTGCTGTGTAAAAGCTTTTTATTATGATGCAATCCCAACAGTTTACTTTTGCTTTTGTTTCCCTTGCCTCAGGAAACATCTAAAAAAATGTTGCTATGGCCAGTGTCAGAGAAATTACTGCCTATGTTCCATTCTAGGAGTTTATGGTTTTAAATATCAGATTTAGGTCTTTAATCCATTTTGAGTCTATTTTTGTGTGGTGTAAGAAACTGATCCAGTTTCATTCTTGTACATGTAACTTATCCAGTAATACCTTAATTTCTTACATATTTTGAAAATTCTAAAAACGCATGACCAGGGCAGCCTGGGTGGCTCAGCGGTTTTAGTGCCACCTTCTGCCCAGAGTGTGATCCTGGAGTCCTGGGATCAAGTTCCATGTCGGGCTCCCTGCATGGAGCCTGCTTCTCCCTCTGCCTGTCTCTCTGCCTCTCTTTCTCTCTGTGTGTCTCATGAATAAATAAATAAAATCTTTAAAAAAAATTTTTTTAATAAGTAAATATGCATGACCATATGATTTTATAAAAGCAGTGGAAAGATAAATATATATGTATGTATGCATGTATGTATATAGTTACATGTATATAAACGAATGTTCTTCATTGCCAATATTGTAGTTTGCATTTTTCTAGAATTTTACTGAGAATGAACACATAAATATGTATAGAATTGAAGTTTCTATATAAATAAGACTTACTTTCTTTTTTTTTTTTAAGACTTACTTTCTGATTTTGCTATCTAACCCATCTTACAGATCTTTCCTTGTTATTACATAGAGAACTAACTCTTTTTAATAACAGTGCAGTCTTCTGTTCTACCTTTTAGGAAGGGCATGTGTCATGTGGAAACTTACAAACCATGCTGCAGTGAGCATTCTTGTACCTGTGACATTACTTCTCTAGGAAAGATACAGAAAAGTAGAATTGCTGCTGAAGTCTGTGTACCTAAGATACTATGTGTATCCCCTCCAAAAATTTACCAGTTTACACTCACATAATAGTGAATAAAAGTATGTGTGTCTTGTATACACTTAGCTAACATTAGCTATCCTAAATATTTTCAACCATCTGATGTGTTTTTTCCAATCACAGGTGAATTTGGACTTTAACAAAATATTTAGTGACTGTCTTTTTTTTAAATGATTTTGATGTACTTTGTTCCTTTTTCTGTTGGATTGTTGTATATTTTTTCTTATATAGTTGGATTTCCTTTCTTATATAATTTATCTTTTCCCTAGATAGTTCCAGGAAATTATTAAAATAATTGTTTAATTATCTTCTTTTGCTATGTTTTTGTGGTACTTATTTATCAGTTATTTCTCTAGACTCTCGGAAGTATTTAGAAATAATGCTTTCGTTATGTTCAAATGCATCAGATGTGCTCTTGTTTCATTTCTTTTGTCCACATGCCTCCCAGAGCCGCCTTTCTGCCTCCAGGTTGGCCTACAAGCAAGCTGCCCTCCCCTCACTTCTCTCTACTGGTGTATCCCTGCTTATTTTATAGTTCCCATGGCATCGTTTCCTTTTATCATCCCCATTTTAGTGGCACACAGTCTCAAAGAGATTTTTAATTTAATTTAATTATTTTAAGATTTTATTTATTTGACAAAGAGAGAGAGAGAGAAAGCATGAGCAAGGGGAGAGGGAGGAAGAGACGGAAAAGCAAAGCCTGATGCAGGGCTTATTCCCAGGACCCTGGGATCATGACCTGAGCTGAAGGCAGATGCTTAACCAACTGGGCCACTCAGGTACCCCCCAAAGAATTTTTTTAAAAAATTCACAGATGAATATTGATTTTTTGAGATCACTTGCATGTCTAAAGCATCTTCTACCCTCCCACTTGGGCAATAATTTGGCTGGGCATGATGTTCTGGAAGGAAATCAATTTTTGGGGTGTTCCTGCTTTTAGCTCCACTTTCACTTCCATTCTGAGATGTAGCTAAATATATGAGCTTTTCCACAAATCAGCTTTCTCTGCCTGCTATTTCAGGTGTTAGAATTTTTTTATTATCCTTTTGGGGAGGTTTCAGAGGGAGTAGATGAAAAAGCATATGTTTAAGCCACTGTCTTTAACCAAAAGCCTCCCTGCATTGGACTTTGTGTTTTGATAGCATAAGGATATATTTCCCAAATGTGTTACCACCTGCCCCTACATTTATTGAGCAACTTAGCCTTTCCCCTTGATTGAAAATACCTTTATCGCATACTAATTTTTAATATACAAAATCAGTTTCTAAAATGTCTGTACCTTTGTTTTGGTTAATATAAGGTTTCTTCTTGATGATTCCATATTGTACATTTACCATAGCTTTGTTGTAAGTTTTGATATCTGGTATAGAAAGTGTGATTGTTCTTTTTCAAAATAATTCTTCAGAATTGAATATTATGATTATTTTTAATCTTTTAGTTTGGTAGTGAGAAAATGGAATAGATCATTTCTAATTATGTTTTTGATAACTAGTAAAGGTGAACTTTTAATATTTTGTCCATTTGTTTATGAAATAACTATTTTTACCCTAGATATTTAGTGCTTTTCTTAACCATTTGTGAGAATATTTTCTTATGCTGAGGAATTAATAACTCTTGTATCCTTTAACTTTTTTTTTTCCTTTAACTTTTTAACATAAAAGTGCACAGTTATAGTCTAAGTACATGTAAGTAGAAAAACAAAGGTTTTTAGGTTAAGAGCTTGGTAACCTTCCCATTGTGAGCCATGCTTTTGTGGCAGCTATTATTGCAATTCATATTCACATTTTCTATCCATTCAAGAGAAAATAGTTACCAGGTGTATTTTAATGGAAGGAATACCATTATGAGCATTTGATGACATTGATTCATTGGTCCTCTCCCAAAATTAAGAGATATAAGATAGTTCTTAAATACTGATAAAACTGTAGGGGCTGGTTATTTCAGTGGCTAGAAGTATGAGCTGCCAGTTGTATCTGTGGTTAAGAAGCTACAGAAGCAAAAAAATAAATAAAAATAAATTAAAAAAAATAAAAGAAGCTACAGAAGCATCCATCATGTAAAGTGGTCTTTGTTGTTGTTGGCTGTTTATTTCAGAATACCTGAAGGGGGGATGGAGATACAAGGGGAGAGGAAGCCACTGAAGACCGATACCATACTTTGAAAAGCTGTAGTACTTAATTAGTAATATCCTGGATTTAATTGGCTGCGGTATTTTTGTTTGTTTGTTTGTTTGTGTGCTTAACATGAAAGGTTAATCCAGCATCTATGGGGCCAAGCGTAAGCTCCCAGCAGGAACTGAGAGTTCCGTCTCTTCCAGCCATCAATCATGAGACCTCAAAGAACATAGGAGAGAAACCCAGAGAGGTGACTCCTGTTATTCCTCCTATGGCAAATGCTGTCACTGCTGCTTTCGTGTCCCCAGCCATCAGCCAGAGTCTGTTTCCTCCTGTTCCTTTGCCAGCTCAACCAGCGACAGACTCCATGTTTACAGAGGCCAGAAAAGATGCCAGGTAAGGCAAAGGTAGTCCTCAAGACGATAGCTACATGAATGGCATTTGTTAGCTTCTTTAACATGTTCTGCAGTGTCAAGAACAGTATGTAAAAGATGAGTGCTTCCTGTTTTTAAAATAATTTTTAGATGGGCATGTTGTTGAAAAACCATGTTACCACAATACCCCAAATCTTTCAGACTTAGTACTCTAATTTTTTTCTAGGGTATTTACTTCATTTCATACTTTAACCTTGAATTAAAAATTTTCAGTACACTGAAACTTAACAATCTTTCTGTAACTGGAAAGTATTCAGTTATTAAACTGAAATTGCCTTTCCTGCTGGCTTTAACTGAATACATGTAGTTATTATTCCTGTCCAGACAGTCTCTTGACATGTGTTCTCATAATCCTCTGTCTTCACCAGGAGCAATTGGGGATTCATATCTATTACACAATATGCCAAAATCTTATCTTTTTCCTCAATTTTGAAGTATTTTCCTATATTTCAGAAATTATAATTAATGTTACAATAACTTGCTCTGTTTAAATTTTTACCTTTAGTGACTTTGGCATGCTCCCTTTACACAGAACAATTTTATTGATCCATTAGAAAAAAATGAGAGCTACAGTGTAACTTTGACCCTCTTCTTGAGCTAAACTCCTTAACATAGGTTATGATTTACAAGTACTAGTTCTTTAAGACTAACTTTTATCAATGATTTCTCCTGGAAATAAGATTTAAAATGCTTTTTCACTCATTGCAATAATAATTCAGACCTGTGTTGTACAGTATATTTAAAAAAAGAACTGTTGTGTCATTGGGGGGTATGACTTCATTAGTTCTTTATCATTAATGCAATTATAAAATAATAAAAACAGGAGAGCAGTTACAGGCCCAAAGAGATATTGAATGTCTAACTGCCCCTGCAGATGGAGAAACCAGACCCAGTTGACCCTATAAAACTGTGAAACTCTTTAATCTATTGAACACTTAGATCTCAGTCAGAAGCAACTGAGATTGACCCTGATCCTGGCCCAGGCAAGGGACCTAATGGACCCCTCTGATACTCTATTTAGCCAAGACAACTTACCATGGCAGAGAAAAGGTTCCTTTATCTAGAATCTCAAATAAAAACTAATGTTTTTAAGACATTTTGGTGGGGATTTGTAAAATTAAGTGTGCTGTGCTTTTTACTTTATATCCTAGCATGGTCCCTGCTAAGGGAATTCTAACAATGTTAAATCGATGAAGTCCACTGTCATGATTGTACTTCAAACCATGATATAAATGTCTTTTGTGCCATTTTTTAAACTTCTCGATAACTCTTAAAGTCTGAAGAACCAGAAGATTCGTGGCTACTGGTTCATCACATGAGGGGTGGCCCATGCAGCTAAAACATGCAAGTGCTTCCCATAACATGACTCTGGCTAGCTGCACTGGGCACCCAGGCCTGGACCTGGGTGTGAGTCCCTTAGCCTATGTAATAAATGGGATCGTTTGAATTGGAAGCCATTATTCTGCCCTACCACATATAGGAACGATCATCATAATGTTAAAATACAGGCCCACTGTGTCAAGCAAACATGTGGTACCTGGCCTTTACCTCAAAAGGAAATGAAAGAAAAAAAAATGTTTCGTTTACTTACACTATAGACCTAAGCACTTCCATCTGTATTTTAAGAACAGGCTTGTAATTGCAGACTTTTTCACTGTTCTTTTTTGAGAATTAGTATATCTCAAGAGTTTTCTCTTTCAGATGTGTGACTAAAAGCACTCATGAATTCAAGCCACCGAGCGGAGCAGAGATAAAAGAAGGTAATATTTAATTATAGTAAATTTGTTCCTGACCTTTTTGCCCAGAATCCTGCAGGTCACTGAGAGACCGGTTTGGTGGCAGTGGCTCATAAAGACTTCAAACCTTAATGAACTTAGGTGTTCACTTTCCTATTCTTAGCATTTAATGATTAGGTAAGCCCCAGGCCATCTCAAGTAGAGTAGAAATCCACTTCCTGATTACATCTTATTAATTAGAATCCTTTGGAAACTTGATTTGTGAAACCTTTTTTATTAAATTTCTCAGCAGATTTATCAAAAACAAGAGTCATCTTTAATATATTGTGAGGTAGGGAAGGTAATTAAAAGTTTAATTAGGAGTATTATACTTTGTTAGAGGCATTTGCATAAAAGGTAAGTTTTATGAACAAAATAAGATACCTCGATTGTGTATTGATTTCCCCCCCATCTGACTTTGGCATCCTCTCCGGTGACAGCCTAGTGGGGAGCAAACCTGCTTGAAACAGCTGATAACCCCCGCATTTAACCAAGACTTCCTGAACACTTGCGAGATGCCAGGCATATTCTGGTACTTAGGGACACAGTCATGAACAGAAAGAACAAAACCCCCATCAAGGCCAAGGCAGAGGAGTAAAGAAAGTGTTGGGAGGAAGGGGATTAAGGTTTCAGAGGTGACCAGAAAAGATGCTCACAAGGAAAATGATATTTTGGATAAAATCTCGAAGGAGGGAACTGCCTATGCAGCTAGCTTGGACAACCTGTTTCAGGCAAAGGGAAGAGCAAGTACAGAGCCCTGAGGCAGGACTCTGATGGCTCCTAAGCACAGCAAAAGAGGCCGAGAGGTGGCTAGAGTGAATCGGAGGAGAAGGAGGGAGGGGAGGTCTGAGTGAACATGCTCAGGTTTTGTGGGGCCTTGGGTGCTATTGTCTGGACTCTAGCTGAGTAAGATGGAAAGCCAATCTTAAGATTCATGGTGTAACTATAAACCTCTATTTCTTGGGATATAGTAGAGTGAAAGGTACTAGTTATGACAACCTGCTAAATTTGATAATGATCTTAGACCAAGCCACTTAATCTCTTTGAATTTTCATTTCTTTCTGTAAAAGGATAATTGTACCTTACCTACCTCATGAGAATATTATAAAAATAAAAATGAGAGCTATACAAGCACTGTAATAACAGAAGTCCTTAGTGATAATTATCAGCAATAATAAAATGTTTTGATTATAATAAGTTTCTTAAATTGTGTCCCTTCTAAATCACTCTGATTTCTCTGCTGGTAATGCATTTTGCCCCATTTCTTTTATAGGGTCTGAAACACATAAGGTTGTTAACGCAGGTTCTTTTCATACAACTCCAAACACGTCGCTGGGAACGGTTCAGGCGACCCCATCCAGGGTGCAGCCATCACCTACCGTACACACAAAAGAAGCATTAGGTAAAGCCTTTGGTTTGAGTGTGTAGCATCTGGCAACAAATTAATGAAAGCACTTTCCCACTCATGTTTACAGTTACTCTTTTTATTCTTCTAAGGTTTCATCATGAATATGTTTCAGGCTCCTACACTTCCTGATATTTCCGATGACAAGGATGAATGGCCATCTCTAGATCAAAATGAAGATGCATTTGAGGCCCAGTTTCAAAGTAATACTTTATTTAAACGCTACTAGGTACAGGCATTGTGGGTGGTTGCCACAGAAAATATCAAGGATTTATACAAGAAATTGCCCTTCCCTTGATTAGCTTGTCACATAAGGGCAGGGAATGAATGAAATAAAAAAAAAAAAAAAAACAGTGTTTGAAAAGGTACTCAGTGTTTGTCATAGATTTGTTTTGTTTCTTAAAACTAAGTACTACAGAAGGACAGAATCCTGGTAAGGGATGGCCAGGAAAACCTGAACGCTCGAGGTGTGACTTGAGCCTTCCCTGGTAGAGGAATGTCCTGGGTGGAGTGTTGGGGCCCACATTTGTTTAGAGTCCCAGGTTTCATGCTGGAAGCCAGAGAGAGAGATCATGATAAAGATAAATAGGATACCTAGACTCGGGAGACCTTGGAATCGAAAGTGAAGAGGTTAATTCTTTCTTATAGAAAATGGGAAAGAAGGCTGGAGAGAGCTTTTTTTTCATCATTGGGTGAGAGCAGTGTTTTAAGAGAATGATGAATACTACGCTTTGCATGTAGCAGGAACTCAAGACCTAGAGGCTTGAGAGTTAAACACTGTGACCATGGTTAAGTCACTTCATCTCACTACAGAGTGACTTATCTTATTACCTAGTATTTGAAAAATGTATCAGTTCTTTTCTGAAAGCTGTTATTCCATTTTCTTATTTGTAGGTGAAGTTTAGCATAAACCTTAGCGTTTTTTCCTACTATATTAATAAAATGCTACTATTTACTCCAATGCAGAAAATGCAAGTTCTTCTGGGGCTTGGGGAGTCAATAAGATCATCTCCTCTTTGTCATCTGCTTTTCCTGTGTTTGAAGATGGAAACAAAGAAAATTATGGGTAAAGAAACATTTGGTTATAGTTTTCTCCTATGTTCACCTGAAGAAACAACTAGCCAGTTTTTCCTCCAGTGTTAGAAGAAAGAGAGATGGTGGATTGGGGGAGATATCTCTTGTCACAGTGACATGAAATGCTTTAGAGCTTCCTCTGAGACTTGAGGTAGTGAGAAAATGTGGCCTGCTGATCAAATGGTCTGTGTCTCAGTGCCAGCTCTGCTGCTGGTGAGCCTTTTAATCCTGTAATGGGAAGATTGTTGCTGAAGATCTTCTCTAGATCCGCATTGCTACACAGGAGTTACAAGAAAGCAGACCTTCCATAGCAAAAGCATGTGTTGACAGGAAAACAATATGGTTATAAATTATCGGAGAATTGAGGGGTTCTATAGATTTGAAATTGTATTAGGTGTGAATGAGTTTACCAGTACAAGTATCCATACATGCTCTGTTTATTATATTTGTAGGATTGTTACAGAAAAGGAAGTGTCTTATATTGAGTCATGCTGCTGAGAGATGTTTCAAGCTGAAAGACATTACATTAGGGCGCCATATGTGGGAGTAGAGGGGGTAACTCCAGCAATTTTCAGTTTACAGTTTAAACCATGGAAAGAGAGGTGGTATGAATTAAGAGTATCATGATGTAGAAGAGATTCATCTTGAAGTAGAAAGGAAATAGTCTGACCAGCTCTCAGCGAAATTCCATGGCTAGACCTAGTCCTAGAGATAAGAAATAAAATATATGGCATCCATGACATTCTGTTGGCCGTGGCCCTACCTCTTTTTTTGTTCTTAAAATTTATAACTCCGTGTAGTAGAGATTTTATATTTTTCTACCCTCTCTTAAGTTACTGTAAATCTATTTTTATGTACATAGTCAAGTTAATTCCATTTGCACTCAGTGTTCTTACAACTACTGTGTCAAAGTAAGGAATGTGTATGTAAGTATTAATTAATTAAATAGGATAAGTGGATAATATTTCTTACAGTCTCAAGTGGTAGTATTTCCTGTAGTATATTACAATTTATAATTTTACAAATCTTTCCTTAGATTACCACAGCCTAAAAATAAACCCGCAGGAGCCAGGACCTTTGGAGAACGCTCTGTAAGCAGATTTCTTTCAAAACCCAATGTAAGTACCTCACTGCTTCATCCATGAAATGGATCTTACAGTTCTTTCCTCTTCATTTTACCAAGTGGTATGGCAATGAAATGAGATAGTGTATGTAAAACAATGCTGGAAAATACAAAGTTATATGAAGAGTGGGTTTTGGGGAACAGTATGCTAATTATTTGAGTATCGATTTTGTATCACACACTATGATAGATAAAGAAACTAAATAATGATAGGATCCTGACCCTCAAAGCCTTCCCTTGTGGTAGGAGGAACAAGTAGGGGATATATTTTTTTCTGAGACCCAAGAAGTAAGGCCTACAATGGAATATGAGAAAAACCAACAAGTCTGAATTAAACTGAACTAGTTCATCATCAGCATAACTCAGCAGACAAGTGTCAGCAGTGGACTGGCCCAAAGCATTCTTCTGTCACAGCAGCAATTGTATCCAACCCGTTTGCAGCTTCCACTCTAGCCCTGAGTGTAACCACGTGATGTGCTTTCTCCACTCACTCCTACCCAGCCCTCTGGCTGTGATATGTTAGAGAGCAGTACTGGAAAGCTGTACTAAATCCTGGCTCATAGTTTGAATTCCCCAGTGGATTCTTTTGAATGAATTATCACTCAGTTCACTAATACTTCTGATGAACTTCTTGACCTTCTTAAAAACTTCAAATAATGGACTGAATATATAAAAACTATGTACTATATAAGCCATGGGTGACACCTTATCAGCAAGTGAATGGTTTTGCCAAGTACAATTTTGACTCAGCAGTTTCTGTCTTTGTGTACTGATTCTAAAATGTGACCATTGCATTTTTGGAGAAATAGCTAGTTCTGGGGCTGAAGAAGGAAAATACAAGATGAGCCTAGAGCATCTTGTGGTGCCAGAAAGTAAGAAAGTGCTTTAAAAAAAAAGATGGCCTAATAAAAGAACTCAGGAGGCAAGCTGAATAAGCCCATGGCCAAACCTGGCACAATTCAAATAAGAAAATAAGTAGAATAAGGTAGTATTGGATTATAACCTTAGAAACAAAATAAATATCTGTATTGATATAAACAAATGGGAGAGAGGACAAAATAAACCTTCCTTACAGAAGAATTGTAGGTAATAAATGTAGAAGGAATGAATGATAATAGAAAATCACCACTGGAACACCATAGTAATCCTTGTTCCAGGCAAGATCCACAGGGAATGCTAAAATTCTAAAATTAACGAGTGAAACTTTAAGAAGAAGGATGATATTTGAACTATCTCACCCAAATTATTAATGTGGTGGTTTTAACATATGTCCACAAATACTTTAATATCCCTCCTTCCGGGAGGTGAATCTTAATTTACCTCCCTTTGAGTATAGGCTAGACCATGTAGGCTTCTGACAAATAAGGGTCAAGAAAGGGAAAAACAGTTCCTCATAGAGGAGAAACCTAACACATACTACCTTTACCAGGTGATTGGTTAACCTTATCAGTAATAAGTTATGTTGATATCATGTACCCCTAATGTGATGTAATAAGAAAGGGCACTTTACCCCTGATATTCTTCCCTGAAATCTATATCCCACTCTAAACATGAGAAAAAGCCAAAATTAAACCCAGATGGGAGAGACATTTTACATAGCTCCTGACCAGTATTCAGAAATGTCCATGTAAGAAACACTGGGACAGACCAATAAACTGGCACAAGTTTGAGGAGACCCAAAAAGACATGACAATTAAATCAACGTGGCGTCCTGGACTGGAGCCAGAAACAGAGAAGGGACATGAGTGGGAAAAGGATGAAATCCAGATAGCATCTAGAGTTAGTAGGATTGTTTAGTATTTACAAATGCACCAGGATTCTGTAAGATGCTAACATCAGAGGGAGTTTGACAAAGTGCACATGGAAACTCTGTATGATCTTCGTAACTCCTCTGTAATTCTAGACTTTTCAAATTAAAAAAAAAAAAAAAAAGTAAAAATTGGAAAATAAAATGCAACCCTTGAATACAGTGTGACTGCACTGGGGTGTGTTAAAGATGAAGTGTCCTGCTTCTGGGGAAAACAGAACTCTGATGTCCTTGACTTTGTGTTAGCCAGGGGTGACATCTATTTCCTCTGTAATTCCTCATTTTTTAAAATCTTAAATAGTATCAATGAGTTAAATTTTGTTGCCAAGACAGGGAGATTGTTTCTTTTTTTTTCAGTTCATCTTTTGTTGTAGGAAGTACCTCACACTGAAGAGTTTTCCGATGACTCAACTGTCTGGGGTGTCCGCTGCAACAAAACCCTGGCACCGAGTCCGAAGAGCCCTGGACACTTCACAGCTGCCGCACAGCTTGCATCCACACCTTTCCACAGACCACCAACAGATTTAGTGCCTGCTCTGGAGGATAAAGGTGTGTGTCACACCACTTGAGTGTCTTGTCTTCTGCCACCTTCAATTCATTCAGGATTACATTTTCTTCTTAGACATTCCAAATGGAAGTTTAAAGATCATCAAGAGGAAATTTAAAATCCATTTACTTATCCTTGCCTGTATGAATTTTTCTTTTGGCATACTGTTTTCCGAAAGTCTATGCATTTTAGAAACTTAGTAACTTAGATTATAGATAGAACGGGAGAAAAAAACCTATAGAAGCATTTAAAGGGGGGATCCCTGGGTGGCGCAGCGATTTGGCGCCTGCCTTTGGCCCAGGGCGCAATCCTGGAGACCCAGGATCAAATCCCATGTCGGGCTCCTGGTGCATGGAGCCTGCTTCTCCCTCTGCCTGTGTCTCTGCCTCTCTCTATCTCTCTGTGTGTGTGACTATCATAAATAAATAAAAATTAAAAAAAAAAAAAAAGAAGCATTTAAAGGCAGATATACAAAGTCCAACCCATTTATATAGGATATAGGTTTATGCTATGTTTACTGCAAACTACATGGCCGGGACAGACAGGTTATTTGAATGCTAAAAATAATGAACATTTCTATTTTAAGAGTAGCAAATAGCAAATTTTAGTCCTTGGTATATGTCTACAAATTTTATTACTTTATTTTTTATTTATTTTTTTTAAAAGACTTTTTTAAAAAATTTATTTATTTATTTATGATAGTCACACACAGAGAGAGAGAGGCAGAGACACAGGCAGAGGGAGAAGCAGGCTCCATGCACCGGAAGCCCGATGTGGGATTCGATCCCGGGTCTCCAGGATCGCGCCCTGGGCCAAAGGCAGGCGCCAAACCGCTGCGCCCCCCAGGGATCCCAAATTTTATTACTTTAGAGTTGTAGCCAAGTACTACATTCAGGAATTTCCTATTTTCTTATTTTTTTTAATGACGAACTTTAAGAGAGTAATGATAAAATGCAGATAGTTCTTATTTCCCCTAAACATAACACTCCTACATCAAAGTCTTTATCTGAATTGAACCTTAATACATGACATTGCCATTGAGCACAGATAATTAATTATTACCTATTAAGTACCAACCTACAAAATATATTGACAATAAGGTCTGGGACCATTTTACCATTTTGATGAGTTTTTTCCTAGACAAACTCCATCATTACTGACACTTTTATTAAAAAGAGTAATTGTTCTTCCAAGCAATATAATGAAAGAACTGTCAAAGAATTTCACTCCCCTACATGGAATCACATTTTAATAAGTCGAACTTGTAGACCTAAAAATTTTTAAGGAGTAAAAAGTTTTTCTTAGACTACTAAACCAGTATGTTACCTTTCTTTTCTGGATTTTAAAGGAGAGTTCAGTTGATACTTGGACAATTGCTAAATGCCATCATAAGCTTGCTATTTTAACAAAAAAATTTGGGAAAACTAGTTTAATCAGTTGAGTCAGAGAGTCAATATTGGCTGTTCTTGGAGTATTTGCACTTTGGTTGGATAAATAGAAGCTAATGTTCTAGTGCTAAAAAATATTAGCACCTGTTTGGTGACACAATATCTGATAAAATTCAGTTCAGTCTAATACTGGGCTATTTATAGTATTGTGTGTATATATATAGAGTATATATACTCCATAGTACCACCTATGTAGTTTATCTTTCCGTAGATAAACTTTGTTTGTTTTTAGTTAAAAGGAGTGTTGTTAAGAATTGCCAGGTATCTTCCTCATGTAAACACTCTTAAATCAGTTTAATCAACTAAATGCTAACCGACTAAATACTAAATATAAATAAAGCAGTTATAGACAGTAAGACACTCAATAAATCTCTGCTCTCCAGAAGCATTCCAGTGTTTGACTCTCCATGTCCTTGTCATCAGGTTCTCCTAAAGCATGGTGTGCCCTCCACCCATACCAGTAACATCCACAGGCTAGTCATCTTGCCCACAGCAGACCTGCCATCCTTTGGACCCTTTTCTCTTGAAGGATTGGATGTATAAAGTTGAAGTGCTCACAAATATTAATAGTAAAAAAATTTTTTAGTGATTTTTCCCCCACTTTAAAAATATTAAGGAAAATTTTACCGTGGAACACTTTTGAAATTATAATGGAAGTCCTTGTAAAAAGGAATTCTGGACTTTATAACCATATAAAATCATATGCATGCATAATGTCTCTCTAATTTTCTACATATTTCAGAAAATGTGGCAGCAAGAGAGTGTACCCATGTGACTTTGGATTCTCGTGAAGAAAACGTAGAACCCTCAAAAGAGAGAAAGTTCAGGTATTGTGAGGTGTGCATGGTTCTGTCATTCCACTGTCATTCTGGCTTTGCTTTTAGTATGTAGTGGAATATGTAATTCCAACACTTTGAGGCACATGAGATTTTATTGACTTGTAGGTAGAAGCCAGAAGGTAGGTACTCTCTAGAGATATACATAGAGTGATAAACCTCAACAGTGGATATGTCAGGGCAGTGAGAGAAGCAGCAGAGTCTCTGTGAGAGTGGTTCCCATGACTGACTTGTACTCATTTCGAGAACAGAACTGCACAGACTCTTACCAGCCAAAGACCCTGACATGTAAGGACTATTGTAGAACTGAACAAACACATATTTGTTTCTTTAGACCCATTCTAATTGAGAAAAGCAATAACTTTCCTTTAAGAGGAAGACAATAGAATGTTTAAGCCTCTAAGCTACTTAAACAAAATCCAGGTGTAGCATACACTAGTGCTTTGCAGAAGTAAAGTTCCACTGTATTTGAATAGTCCAGTGAATGTAACAGACACGGAAAGTAACTGTAATCTTTTGAGTATTTATTATATTCCATTGTAATGCTGATATTTTTTATGTACTATATACTTTAATTAATCCTTATGGTAAATTTATTTTTTTTTAAGATTTTATTTATTTGAGACAGAGAGAGAGAGAGAGAGAGAGAGAGAGAGAGGCAGAGAGAGAGAGGCAGACATAGGCAGAGGGAGAAGCAGGCTCCGTGTAGGGAGCCCGACATGGGACTCGATCCTGGGACTCCAGGATCCTGGGATGCTAAACGTCTAAGCCACCAGGGCTGCCTACCTTACAGTAAATTTAGTTGTAGGAACTGTTCTTTTCCACTGTTAACAGATGAGGAAACCATGTCTAGAGATTTAAAGTAATGACCTAAAGTCATACAACTTCAAATGTGCATCACTGTAATTTCTACCTGTATCTCTTAGGTTCAGAGGCCTTGCTGTCACCACTATGCTGTACTGCCTCTTGTTATTAAACACCTTTTCATAAACTAAGACTCCAGTAAATAAATTGGATAAAAGACTTGAGCAGAATTTACAAAAGAAAAAATGAAAAGCATGTAGAAAATAGTTAAGTCCCTTATTAATAAAATCAATGCAGATTAACAGATCTTGCCTTTAACACAGTCTGTTACTGCCCAACAGGAAACTTCTACATACAACTAATCTTCTGATTTACAAGAGTGCCATAAGCCACACTTGGCATAAGATTAATATAGAAATACATAGGACAAAAATCAGTTGCCAGGGGAATTACTGTCTAACACAATATTGTCTTTGGCCTGCATGAAACAAGTCAAAAGGAAACACTTAGGACCGAGGTACAGAAGTTTCCCTAGCTTAGAAGCCTTATTTCCATGGGTGTCAGTGGCTCTTGTAACCCTCCATAGATTTAGATCCAGAGTTCCCACAAAGGATAGGCCCATTACGAGAGTCCTCATATCTGGGGCCTGAAGCTGTGAATTCCCCAGCATGTATTTCTAATTTTCTTAGTCTAGAATTCTGTTACCAATGATGGTTATTTTTTACCATCAACATTGGTGACGGTGATACTCTTACCTTTTCAAGTTTTCAGGGGAGAAGAGCTAGAAAGTTAACCAAAACTCAAATCCTCAAGAAGGGAAAAGGGTTTTATTGATACCTTATGCACCCATAATAATTTGGTACTCCAGTAGCTAGTAACAATTTATATGAGTTCGAAAGCAGTTTTTTCTGTGTGCATGGATACCCCTAATATCTGTTTTGCTGTAATACAAAATATTGGAAATATTCCCATTTGACTACCACATTTTCTCCCAATAATAGATTTTGGTGGCTATGCTTATGGGATAGATTAAAAATTGCCATGATCTGAAGAGGGAGGATTTATTTGTGTCCTCTTCCTATATGAAATGACTGAACAAAAAATTAGTTGATTAAAATATTGGAAATATTTTTAATATCTAAGAATCAGGGAATTGTTCTATTCCAGCATACATCCACTGAATTAAATGGTTTGTAGTGATTAAAATCCATGATAAAGACTATAGAAAAACCCGACAGATACCACCTTTACCAAATGATCAAGGTTAATTTCACAAGCAATGGCTCATAATAGTCTTTGCGTTAAGAAGGGTACTTTTACCTTTGGAAGATTCTTCACATGAGGAAAACATCTAAGGAACCCAAATTGAGGGATACTCTACAAAATGCCTGGCCAGTACTCCTCAAAACTGACAATGTCTTGGGAAAGTAAGAAACACTAAGAAACCATCATAGATGAGAAGGGGGTAAGGAGACAACTGGATACAACATCGTACCCATGATTCGATCTGGGAGCAAATAAATGGCTCTGTGGGAAAACTGGTGAAATCCAAAGGAGGTTTGGAGGTTAATTAAGAGTTGTATAACAAATATTGGTTTATTGGTTTTGGCAGAGGAGCCACAGTAGTATGAGACAACATTTGAGGAAATTGGGTGGAGAGTATATGGGAATTTTCTATGATCTTTGAAACATGTCTTTAAGTCTGAAATTATTCCAAAACTAGTTTCTTTTTAAAGATCCCTGGGTGGCGCAGCGGTTTGGCGCCTGCCTTTGGCCCAGGGCGTGATCCTGGAGACCCGGGATCGAATCCCACGTCGGGCTCCCAGTGCATGGAGCCTGCTTCTCCCTCTGCCTATGTCTCTGCCTCTCTCTCTCTCTCTCTCTCTCTCTCTATCATAAATAAATAAAAATTAAAAAAAAATAAAATAAAATAAAAAATAAAAAAAATTCCTTGTAGGAAAAATGCCGCCTAGAAGTAAGAATGCAACATAAAGTTGCATGTATATATTTATTTTTATAAGGATGCACACTTAGACATGTGTTTGTGTTTATGTGGGTGTAAAAATGGAGGAGAGTTTATGTGAATGGAGATACGCACAGTTGAGTCTTACTATTTGCACTTCTTTTGTATAAAATCACTGCAAACTCTGAATTACCCAACACTGAACCATCATTCCTTGTTAGGTTTCTGTGAGCCTCTGTTCATAATATTTTGTTTAAAGACACCTTATTTAATAAATATTGTAGATTCATTAACATTGAACTCCAGGCCAACAGCACTATAATTCATACCTGAATGTGGCTTATCTAACACAGATTTTCCCCATGAGACACATCACGGCCTTGTTTCACTTAGGAACGTTAGACAACACTTTAGCACTGCGCTTCGGGGAACAGCAAAATCACAAAAACGGAAAAACATGTTATTAAATGCACTGCGAAAGGACACTCGACAGTGTGAGAGCTGACCAAGAATGCAGAACATGGCCTTATTCTACTTTCCCTGGGAATGTGTATGTTGGGTGACCAAAACTTTTCACCGTCATGTATGTCTGCAAAAGCACCATGAGTATTGATTCAGAGAGTACAAATGAGTCTTAGCATGTAGGAGAATTCACAAATATGGGATCCATGAATAATACAGATCAACTCTATGTGAAAGAAATTGGTACTAGATTGTTGGATTATGACATTTTCTGTTTCAGTGCTGTAGAGAGAGCCATTTTGGAATAAAGTTTGATATTCAGTCTTGATTCCCCAAGTTGATGACATCTTGGGGAAATAACCCCACCCCTTCCCATGTTTCCCTCTAGAGAATATCCATTCCCTCACCTATTTATTGAATGTTTCCATGTCTTTGATTTTATTTCTATTCATATTGTATAAGCTGTGTATTTGCATGTATTTGTCTGAAGAAAATGCTTTAATCGGCTCTTTGTAAAGAAGTTTTGAAATGTCCTCTGTAGAATGAAAAGGAAACTGTTTTGTGAAATATTGTGATCAAATTTAATAGTCTTGTAATCATTTGTTTTATTTCCTCTTATCTGTTCCTTGAACACATCCAGTCCAATTCAAGAGAAAAGCCTAGAGCCAGCATTCCCTACAGCTGTATCTTCGGCATCCCTGCTCCATGTGAGCCAGCCTGCTGCAGGTGACATGCTGACCAGTGAGGTAGCACAGAGTCTTGAGGCTTGTAAACTCACAGACCCTAACCTCGCCATTGCAGAAGATCCACCAGATGCCAGCGCTGGGCACCAAGCAGAACGGATGCAGACTAGTTCACTTGAGAATGTCTATGCTCCAAGTATGAACAGATGTTCAATCTTTATTGTGTCCCTGAATAAGAACAATAGGCTGGTGAAAACTGTTCCATAAAAGAAGCTTAAAGGACAGGGACTTGAATATCATGGAGTAGAATGCAACTTCAGACAAACTTGCAAACTGGATCACAGTGCAGTACAACAGTGGCACTCCTGGAGGGCAGATTAATTTGTTTTAATTTTAGAATGTATCAAAGTCACTCCTGTCGGAGGAGGGAGTTAGAATTGGAGAGCCTACTGTGCCAGGCATTTCATTTAAGTAAAGAGGCTCAGGGCTTAACTGCTCTACACTGGTTACCCAGAAACAGTCTTGGATATTGGATAGTCTTGCATAGTGGTTAAGAATACAGCCTCTGGGAGCACCTGGATGGCTCCGTGGTTGAGCATTTGCCTTTGGCTCAAGTCATGATCTTGAGGTCCTGGGAGCAAGTCCTGCGTCAAGTTCCTTGCAGAGAGCCTACTTCTCCCTGTGCCTATGTCTTTGCCTCTCTCTCTCTGCCTCTCATGAAAAATAAAATCTTTAAGAAAAAAAGAAAAGAATACAGACTCTGAAGACTGACTAGATTCTTTTTTTTTTTTTTTTTTTTGACTGACTAGATTCTAATCCTAGCTCCCACTCTTAGGCAGTCATGTGATCTTGGCCAAGATCATTTATTTCAATTTTCTGTGGATCTCTTTCCTTTTCTATGAAGTGGAGGTGATGGTCCTATTTCAGAGTCTTCTTTTTTTTTTTTTTCAGAGTCTTCTTATAAGGACCAAACATGAAGCACACAGGACAGGTTATATATATTTGTGTGTATATATATGTATATGTATACACACACATATATATATATATATATGCTTAACACTAAGTATGTGTGACTCATGCTGGATTAGTCTTTGATAACTACTACTGAAAGAATTTTTATAGCATGCTAAATTGAACAGAGACTTTATTCTTCCCTTTAGAAATGATTTTTTTGTGTGTGAACCCAAAGTCCATCTCATACATGCAAATTGCCCATAAAAAGTAATATTGAAAGTCATTATGTTTTGAAAAGCATTGCGTTTTGTAGATACAAGTGGGAAAGCAAGTTACAGAATATATATCTGAGTGAAGTAACTAATATCCAGGTCTACCTTTAAGATAATTATGTTAAAGGCAGAATCTAGCAATTCCAGGCAAGTGGAACAGAAGCCTTCGGTGTTCTTTTTTTTTTTTTTTTTTTTTAGATTTTATTTATTTGTTCATGAGAGATACAAGGAGAAGCAGGCTCCATGCAGGGAGCCCGACATGGAACTCAATCCCAGGATTCCAGGATCACTCCTTGGGCCGAAGGCAGACGCTCACCGCTGAGCTACCCAGGCACTCTGGTGTTCATTTCCTTAGTCACCACTGAATGATGATATAAATTTCTTTATCTAAAATAACAAATAATGAACTGTGCAGGATGAGCCATTTTGATTTTTTGCAAATGGTTATTACTTGAATCAATGCTCTTTTAAAGATAAGGCTTTTGAAAGCTTATTTGATGAATGTCTCTACTTGTTTTGGCTATAGTTTCTTTGAGAAAATTCTTGGATAATGAATTCATTTTCTTTTTTTCTTTTGTTCCCATTCCTTTTAAGACTTTACTGTTGAGAATCCATGGGATGATGAGTTGATTCTCAAACTTTTATCTGGGCTTTCTAAACCAGTGAGATCCTATCCAAATACTTATGAATGGCAGTGTAAACTTCCAGCCATCAAGCCTAAGACTGAGTTTCAACTGGGTAAGGACAATATGGGTAATAAAACTCTTGCTTCTATATGGGAAGTTGATGGTAACTCTTAAGTGTGTGATTCTCCTTCTGGTACTATCCCTGGTACCACCTAGTACCTATGACCCACTCTGACCTCTAGAAAAGAGGTATAAATTATCTGTAACACTAAGATGAGAACACTTTGTTAAGCAATGATGGTAAGATTTTAATTGCTATTGGTAATGTCTATCAAAATAAAAATGTATATACTTTTAGACATCTACTTTTAAGAATTTCCTGCAGATAGGTTTGCATACGTTCAAAATGACATATGTGTGTCAAAACATTGGAAACAGCATAGGTGTCTATGAAGACTCTTTAAATTATAGAACACCTCTACAGTAAAATATAGTTTGCTTTGTACTGATAGGGAATGATGTCCAAAACGTGCTGTTAAGGGCAGACTAGTATTATATGCTACCTTTTATTTCTTAAAAAGGGGGAAGATAACATATATTCGATGCTATTTCTGGAGAGCCCATGAAGCATACTCAAAACTAATAAAAATGCTTGTCAGGGTGGATGTGGAGCGAGACTTCACACAAGATACTTTATATACGTGTGTGTACACATAAACACATATACACACACAGAGAGAGCTTCCCTATTGACATCTTGTATTAGTGTGGTACATATGTTAAAGTTTATGAACCAATATTAATACATTATTAACTCAAGTCCATAATTCAGGTTCATTCTTTGTATTTTATGTTCTATGGGGTTTGACAAATGTATTCATCTCTCCCCTCCACTAAAACTGACAAGCATTAATCTTTTTACTACTGTCTCACTTTTGCCTTTTCCAGAATGTCATAGAGTTGGAATCATACAGTATGCAAGCATTTCAGATGGGCTTCTTTCACTCAGCAATATGCATTTAGGATTCCTCTGTCTTTTCATGACTTGAAAGCTCTATCTTTACGTTCTCTGAGTAATATTCCATTGTCCAAATGTACCACAGTGTATTTATCTGTTCATCTATTGAAGGACATTTTAGTTGCTTCCAACTGTTGACAGTTAAGAATAAAGCTGCTGTAAAACCCCTATGCACTTTTTGTATGGACATAAGTTTTCAGTTCATTTGGATAAATACCAAGGAGTTGTGATTTCTGGGACAAGTGAGAGTATGTTTATTTCTAAGAACCTGCCAAAACTGCCTTCAAATTGAATATGTACCATTTTGTATTCCCCCTAGCAATCAGTGAGAGCTCTGCTGCTCTATATCCTCACCATCACTTGGTGTTATCAGTAGTTTGGGTTTTGGCCACTCTAATAGATGTGCAATGGTATTTCATTATTGCTTTTCATTTGCAGTTCTCTAGTTACATATGATGTTGTACATTTTTTTTCATATGTTTATTTGCCATCTGTATGTCTTTTTTGGTGAGTCATGTATTCAGATCTTTTGCCCATATTTTAAAAATCAGGTTGTTCATTTTCTTAGTTTTGAGGGTTTTTTTTCCCCCATTTTCCTGAGTTTTAAGAGTTTGTTGTATCTTTAAGAGTTTGAATATCTTTTTATCACTTAAGTGTTTCACTAAGATATTCACTCAGTCTTTGACTTATCTTTTCATTCTATTAACGGTATCTTTTGCAGAGTGGAAATTTTAAAATTTTGTCCAATTTATCAATTTATTTCTTTCATGGATCATGCTTTTGATGTTGTGTCTAAGAGGTCATCAGCAAACCCAAGGTCACCTAGCTATTCTGTTACCTTCTAGGAATTTTATAGTTAAAACTATAAAATGTTTTACATTAATGTGTATGATCTATTTTGAGTAAACTTTTATGAAAGGTATAAGTTCTGGGTCTAGATTAATTTTTGCATGTTGATGTCCAGTTCTATCAGCATTTATTGAAAAGGCTATCCTTCCTTTTTTTTTTTTTTTTTTTAAGATTTTATTTACTTATTCATCAGAGAGAGAGAGAGAGAAAGCGAGAGAGGCGGAGACACAGGCAGAGGGAGAAGCAGGCTCCATGCAGGGAGCCTGATGTGGGACTCATTCCCAAGTCTCCAGGATCACGCCCTGGGCTGAAGGCGGCGCTAAACCGCTGAGCCACCAAGGCTACCCGAAAAGGCTATCCTTTCTTAATTGAACTGTCTTTGATCCTTTGCCAATGATCAGTTGGCTATCTGCTTAGCTCTATTTCTGGACTCTGTTCTGTTCCATTGTTCTTTTTATCTATATTACACTGTTGTGATTACAGTCACTTTTGTAGTAAATCTTGCTGTTGGATAATGTCAGTCCTCCAACTTGTTGTTCTTCAATATTGTGTTGGCTGTCTGGGCCTTTTGCTTTTTCACATAAACTTTAAAATCAATTGTTGGTAGCTACAAAATAACTTGCAGGGATTTTTATTGGAATTGCATTGAATCTATAGATCAAGTTGGGAAGAAATGACATCTTGACAATATCATGTCTTCCTATCCATGTATATGGAATATTTCTGTTTAGATCTTATTTGATTTTTTATTTATTTTTAAGATTTATTTATTTATTCATGAGAGACACACACAGAGAGAGAGAGAGAGGCAGAGACACAGAGGGAGAAGCCGATGTGCAGGGAGCCCGATGTGGGACTCGATACTGGGTCTCCAGGATCACGCCGTGGACTGAAGGCGGCGCTAAACTGCTGAGCCACCTGGGCTGCCTTTATTTGATTTTTTAAATCAAAGTTTTGTTGTTTTTCTTATATGGATCTTATATATATTTTGTTAGATTTATACCCAAATTATTTCATTTGGGAGGATACTAATGTAAGTGGTATTGTGCTTTTTTAATTTCAAATTCCACTTACTAATTTCTGGTACATAGGAAAGCAATTGACTTAATATATTGACCTTGCATCCTGCAATCTTACTGTAATCATAATCATGTATTAATTACAGGAGGATTTTTGGTTGTTGTTCTTTGGCATTTTCTGGCTAGATGATGCTTGTCATCTGTGTACAAGGACTTTTTTTATTTCTTCGCAATCTATATACCTTTTATTTCATTTTCTTGTTTTATTGTTTTAGCTAGGACTTCCAGAGTAGAAATGGTGGGAGGAGAAATTCTTTCCTTATTCCTCATCTTAGTGAGAAAACACTTACCTAGTTTCTCACTAGTAATGTTAGCTGTAGATGTTCTTTATCAAGTTGAGAACGCTTCCTTCTACTCCTAGTTTGCAGAAAGTTGTTATGAATGGGTATTGACTTTTATCAAACACTTTCTGTTTTTATAATAAGGTCATGTGATTTTTCTTTTTAGTTTGTTCACGTGATAGATTCATTAATTGATTTTTGAATGTTGAACCAGCCTTGCGTACCTGCACTATCCCACTTGGTCATAGTAAATAATTTTTTTTAATACATGTTTTGGATTTGATTTGCTAATATTTTGTTGAGTTTTTTTTAACGTGTATGTTAATAAGAGATGCTCTCTCTCACTTATCCTAACTGTACTTAACTGAATACATTATAGCAATTATTATTTTGATTAGCTGTTAGATCAATTAAGAATAAGAAAAATAAAATATTTTATCTTCACTTAATTCCTTTTTCCTGTACTCTTCTGATCTAAGTTTCTGGATCATCTCCTTGTCTTTCTCTCTGAAGAACTTTTAACATTTCTTGCAAGGCAGGCTTACTAATGACAGATTCCCTTAATCTTTGTATAAACAAGGGTTTGTTTCTTTACTTTTGAAGAAATCATTTCATTAGATACAGAATTTTTGATTGATAGTTTTTCGTTTTAACATTCTGCTCGCTTCCTGCTTGTATGGTTTCCAAAGAGAAGTCAATGTCAATGTAATTCTTCTCCTTGTTTCTTTATAGGTAAGGTGGTTTTATTCCTCTGGCTTCTTGCAATATTTTTTTCTTGTCTGATTTTCTGCAGTTTGAATACAGCTTGCCTGGGTATAGACTTTTGGCTATTTTTATTGTCTTGTGTTCTCTGAAATTTCTAGATCCTTGATTTGTTAGTCTGTCATTAATTTTGGAAATTTCTCAACTATTAATACTCTAAATATTTTCTCTATTCCTTTCTCATTTCCCTGCCTTCTAATATTCCATTACACATATGGTACACCTATTGTAATTAACCCATAACTCTTGAACATTCTTTTCTATCTTTGTAAAAATTTTTTGTCCTTGCAAATCAGTTTTGGAAGTTTCTATTGACGTACCTAAAAGCTGACTAATTCTTTACCCAGCCATGTATAGCCTATTGAAGAGCTCATCGAAGATAGTCTTTGTTTCTGTTATAGTGAGATTTTTTTTCCTAACACTTCCTTTTGATTCCTTCTCAGAGTTTCTGTTTGTCTGCTTACATTTCCCATCTGTTCTTGCATATTATCCTTTTCTCCATTATAATTCTTAGCATATTAATCATAATTTTAAAAACTCCTGGTTTTATAATTCCAAAACCTTTGTTATATCAGTGTCTTGCTCTGATATTTGCTCTATGTCTTCAAACTGTTTTTTTTTTGTCTTTTAGTATACCTTATAATTTTTGTTAGAAAAAATTGATCTATTGAGTAAAAGGAACTGAGATAAAATAGGCCTCTACTGTAGGATTTATCTGACTTAAGATTAAGCTGTGTTTGCTATTTGTTGCTAATGTAGAGGCTAAAGTTTCCATTCATGTCCTTATTTCTGACTCCCTTGTTGACTTTGGGTTTCCCTCAAGACTTGTTCTTAAATAAGATCTGAGGCATTTGTAGTGTTATAATCCTCCTGGTACTGGCTCCAGTGGTGATTTCTGTTCCTGGGCTTCTTTTCTGGCAAGCTGTTATTCTCTGTATCCACCAATCTGTCTCCCCAGTTTCGGGGACAGCAATTTGCCCTATGACTTCAGTTCTTTAATGGATCTATGAAGACTTGCTGATTTTCAGTTTGGTGGTGGTGGTTGTTTTATTGTGGAAGTAGAGTGATGACTTCCAAGCTCCTTAACATGCCAGATTAGAAACCAGAAGTCTACTTTTTTATACTTGATTTTGAACATGTGGATTTTTAAAAATTACTTTGAAAATCTATTAACAACTTTATCTCAGTGGTCTTTCTCCCCAAACCAATAACCCCATTGTTATTAAAAATAGCAAGACAAATCCAATTTGAAGGACATTCTACAATTCTATCTGACTAGTACTCCTTGGAACTGTCATGGTCTCATAAAACAAAAGGTTTGAAACTGTTCCAACCTAGTGGAGGAGGCTAAGGAGACTTGACAGATTTGTCCTGAAACATTAGGTAAAAACTAGTGAAATCCACATAAAGAGTGGATTTAGTAGCCTACCAATGTGGGTTCTGTATTTGAGACAAAAGTACCATGGTTATTAAATGCTAACAGTAGAGGAAACTGGTAACAGTAGAGGCAACTTTTCTGTAAATTGAAAACTATTTTTTTTTAACTTTTTTTTTTAATTTTTATTTATTTATGATAGTCACACAGAGAGAGAGAGAGAGAGAGGCAGAGACATAGGCAGAGGGAGAAGCAGGCTCCATGCACCGGGAGCCCAACGTGGGATTCGATCCCGGGTCTCCAGGATCGCACCCTGGGCCAAAGGCAGGCGCTAAACCGCTGCGCCACCCAGGGATCCCAATTGAAAACTATTCTAAAATAAAATTTTTACTTCAATACAAAATTGTAATTATTCTATTAGAAATATTAGTGCAAATATACTTTACCCTTTTTATCCAGGTGTAAAACACTTGTGTTCTTCAAAGGCATATGGTAGATCTTTGTTTAGGACTTTACAAAAGATCTTTGTATGTTCTTTCTAACATTACAATGGTCTTGCCAAGGCATTATCCCTTTAATATGAAAATATTGATGAAGAGAGCATGTCTGCCCCGTTCCTGCCATTAAGTGGCTGGCCTGGCACCCAGCAGTGCTGCTTCTATTTGCCTGGCACATCATTTAAAAAAGGGAGCTGTTTTGTGGCAGGTGTTTAACTTTCCTTTAAGACAGGAAAAACATTTCCTGAGGGAGTTATATCCATTTGTATTTATGAAAGCAATCAAGCACCCAAGAAAATTCTATAAATACAAAATTTACCAAAAATAATGTTCTGAGCCCTTTTTTTTTTTCATTTTGACGCATCTGTCTTCTAAGGTTCCTTGCTGGTCTATGTCGATCACCTTCTTGGAGAAGGGGCCTTTGCCCAAGTCTATGAAGTTACCCATGGAGAGGTGAATGATACCAAAAATAAACAGAAATTTGTTTTAAAGGTAAATAATCTGAGCAATTCTTTGTGTAGTATAGAACTGAATTTTAGAACTTGATTTTATTGGCCTCATTTTCTTTTTCTAGACAATGGTAATTTCATTTAGGTCTCTGGTTCACAATTTTTTTTTTTTCTGGTTCACAATTAAGAAACCAAAACTATGTGGCAAGTATTTAGAATGGCCTTGCCACAGAAGTGCTCTCAGAGCAAGTCCTATTCTTCAGCAACAGTCCATAACTTGTCATCACTTTCTACCCCACATCCTTTGTTGGAGTCGAAGTTGCTTTTCTGGCTATCATTTTCCAGAATGTGAGGCCAGATGTGAATGTCACACATCTGATTTGCAGGTCCAGAAGCCCGCCAACCCCTGGGAGTTCTACATTGGGACCCAGCTGATGGAGAGATTAAAGCCAAGCATGCGACACATGTTCATCAAATTCTATTCTGCCCACTTATTCCAGAATGGCAGTGTGTTAGTAGGAGATCTCTACAGCTATGGCACGTTGCTAGTAAGTATATTCATTATCATGAGGACAACATGAGTTTGAAGTACATTTTTGCCTTGTGCCTTGCATGTATCTTTTGTAGTTGGAGCTTCTATTGAAGTGGAAGATGGGAGCAAAGCTCTTGACTTGGAATTTCATCAATCATTTGCAACCAATTTAAGATTCCACTCTATGTTGTTTCTAGAATGCTATTAACCTCTATAAAAACACCCCAGAAAAAGTGATGCCTCAAGCTCTAGTCCTCTCCTTTGCGATCAGGATGCTCTGCATGATTGAACAAGTGCATGACTGTGAAATTATTCATGGAGACATTAAGCCAGACAATTTCATACTTGGGAGCAGGCAAGTGTTGCACTTTTAACACAGTTTTTGCCACATCCCCAGCAGCCTTTTATGCTTTGTGCTCATATTGCCCTTATTTGTGTTTGATACAGATTTTTGGAACAGGATGGTGAAGATGATGATATATCTGCTGGCTTGGCACTGATTGATCTGGGTCAGAGTATAGATATGAAACTTTTTCCCAAAGGAACTACATTTACAGGAAAGTGTGAAACATCTGGTTTTCAGTGTATTGAGATGCTCAGTAACAAACCATGGAACTACCAGGTACGGAACTAAAGGGAGAGGTTTACAAATCGTTTCTTTATACTTACTATATTTCAGAAATGATTTTGGGGATCTAATTAGTTTGAGCTGGTCTAGTCATCTTCTGTCCTTGGATTTAAGACCAGTTCAAGTGTCATTTTTAGTTATGGGCACACCCTGCAGCTAGAGGCTTCAGAGCACAGGTGAAGGCCAACCACCAGAGCCCCGGGGAGGCAGGTGGGAGGACTTCTAAGCTGCCCATGTGGAAGAGGAGCTGGGGCGCTGTGTTTGCCCCTGGGTAACAAAACAAGGGACTTGAGAAGGACACGGTAGCTCAGGGAGGACAGCTTTCCAAGGGACCAGCCAGAGGCGGTGGCTAGGAAGCCTCCAGCAAAGCCTAGACAGCATTCACCAGGGTATCAGTGGGACGTTGAACAAATGTCTTCCCAAATTGTTTAAAAGTAAAATCCTGTGACTATATAACTTGCTGCATAAGTTAGACATTTTAATCTACTGATGTGTAAATTACTATTTTAGTCATATATACCTAAATTTTCCTTATAGATTGATTACTTTGGAGTTGCTGCAACAGTGTACTGCATGCTTTTTGGCACTTACATGAAAGTGAAAAATGAAGGAGGAGTCTGGAAGCCTGAAGGGCTTTTTAGGAGGTAAGTATTTGCATTGGTACTGCAGTGAAAGAGCATAAACAGAATATTGGGTTCCGTCTGGTGGAAATGGATCTCTGCCACTGCCTGGGAAAGTCTTGCCTTGGGACGTGAGGCAAAGCCACATAGTCCTGGATGCTGGGCAAGTTACATAGCTCTACAACTGCTGTTTCTAGAGAGTGGGGCAGCCGATGCCTCATAGAACCAGTGAAAACTGGCTGAGGAGTGGGCATCCTCTACACACTCAAATGTCTCTCATCTGTAAAATAATAGTGAAAATTAACAACTAGACTAGAACTCTTCCTGTCAACATGGATGGCTCTCTTAATACAGTGTTACTTGAATAAGCTCTTGGTAATGTTTGAGTATTTGGTACATGTATGTTCATTATATCACTTATACTTTAACTTTTTTTGAGGTATGAAAACATATGTAGAAGAGTATATTCAAATTTAGTCTCCAAAAAGCCAAATGGAGTTTTACATGTTTGTATCTTGAAGAAATTTAAGCGGAGACTTCCCAGCCCTCACATACACATCCACCTACCCTGACAAAAGGAAAAGAAAAAGCAGTTGGCAGTAATTTTACAAAATGTAGTGTCAGTATCTAAATAAGATTCGATTCAGGCCCGGAAGGAAAACTTAGAACAGCTATGATTTATTCTATATAATGAGTCATCAAATTTAGCAAATGCTTTATTCCTTCTCTTGCTCATAATCAAAGGACCAGAGAGTTAGTCAGAAGGCTTCTGTCTCTGACCACCAGTATAGAGAATAGTCTCAACCCTCAGCAGGCCTGATAGTAATGGGCTGAATTTCCTGTCTGAAACACAAATTTAGTTGTGTTCTGCTTTTTTCCCCCACTGCCTTCTTTCCATGCCATAGGGATTTTACAGTTAATTTTAATGGTTATGGTAGTTGGAACTCCGAATCTGAGCTCTATCTAGACTGGGTAGTCCAGCTTATCTACCCGGTCCCGGCCCATCTGTATATATTTAAGCCCATCAGAACTACTCAGCCAGATTGTCAGATTCTGGCAGTGTGGTATATAAATGTAGCCAAAAGCAGATTGATTTTCTTAAGAATAAAAGAGAAAGTTTTTCCACTGAAGACCTGTTACTAATCTAAGACTACTTAAATCAGTTTTTTGGAGTAAGGTGTATATAAGACATTCAATTGGGTCTTTAATTTCTCTTATTTATAATAGATTCAACATTCCAATTCTAGGTGCATTAAATTGTGTTTAGGTGAAGTTCTTTTCAGCTATCCAAGCACGTAGAAGCCAGAGGCCAGAGTGAGTTTGCCCTACGTGTTAAATACTACATTTTACTTTGTATTTATGCATTGTCTCTCCAGGCTTCCTCATCTGGACATGTGGAGTGAATTTTTTCACATCATGTTGAACATACCAGATTGTCATAATCTTCCATCTTTAGATTTGTTAAAGCAAAATCTGAAGAAAACATTTCAACAACACTATTCAAGCAAGATTAAGACCCTACGTAATAGGCTGATTGTACTGCTCTTAGAATATAAGCGTTCTAGAAAATAAAATACGGATATTCCCTAAAAATCACTTTGTAAATGCTGGCCTGTGCACTCTGACCCTTGTTGTTTTCCACATTCATTGTTTATATGTTAAATGTTTCTTAATAAAGTCCATAAAATATATGTTTCAAATATAATAATTTAATTGTTTCAAATATTTCAACAAAGTCTACAACCCGGTAAGGTACCCAGTAGGCTGATGGGGCACCTCTTGAGATGCAGGCATTCATGAGAATAATCTGGATTTGAACATTCTCTAAAATCATTTTTAATACTGACCTGTTCACTTTAAGCCAAAAAAGGAGCTAGACAGCTTTTTTCTAAGTTGAGGGTTTGTATTTGTATACAATAAAAAATTCTTCAAAGATATTCAAAGGACTTCAAGTTCTTATGGATAAAATTTGCCTGTTCTTTTTTTCTTTTTTAAGATTTACTTATTTATTTGAGAGATAAAGCAGGGGGTGAGGTGCAAAGGGAGAGAGAAAGAATCCTTAAGCAGACTCTCAACTGAGCAGGGAGCCAGCCCCATATAGGGCTCAATCCCAGGACCCTGAGATCATGACCTGAGCTGAGATCAAGAGTCAGACACTTACCGACTGAGCCACCCAGGTGCCCCAAAATTTGTCTGTTCTTTATTGTAGCATTCTTCAGTGCTGTCCCTGGGAAATATTACAGGTGTAAATCTTAAGCTTTTTTATTTTTAAAAAGTACCATTCAAAGGAATATCTTCCACTTCGAAAACAGTTTTATAAGCTGTATAAATCATTAAGTACCTCTAAGATAATAGCAGCCAACTTAGCATCAATTGACTTTTAAAGCTGGAAGGATCCTATTCCCTGAACTGAACTTCATTTCTCCATCCCTCCCTCCTCTCCTTAGCATTATGAAAAGAAATTGGAGGTAACACCCAAATCAAGAGCACAGAGTGAACTGCTTCCTCCTCCTTCCCTCACTCCCAGCTACCTGGTGCCCATGACTATTTTTTTTTGATCTTTCCAAAAATGATTCTTGCATATTTCTGTATATTTTTCATACAACTAGCATAATTAACAGTTTTTAAAATGTAACGTGTATTTACATATAGGATGGTCTCATTTCCGTTAATGACTGTAATATTTCATTATATGATGTATCTGTAAGTTCCTAGAAACTGCTGGCTTAAACTGCTGAGCCCATTTAAAATGTTAGGTGAGCATCTGCAAAAAACCTCCCATAGGGGCTGTGCCAGCATATATCAGTCTGTTCCCCACACATCCACTAATAGGATGGATCAGGCTCTTGGCACTTGCTGCTCTGACTTGAGAAAATGGCATCTCCTTACTGTCTTCATTTCCATTCTCTTCTGAAATTAGGCCAAATTCAAGAGCTATGTGTGTTCTCCTTTTTCTGTGAACTCTTTATTCTTTACCTCCTTTTCATTTGCATTGTTCTTTTCCAGGTTAATTTGAAGGAGCCCTTTGTTTGTGAGGTACAAATATTTGTCCAGTTTGTCATCTGTCTCCTAACTCAAGATCTCTGTGTCCATAAATGTTTTAAATTTTTGTTTTATACACAGATTTTGTAAAGTTTTAAATGGCCTTTTTTGGCTTTTGTGTCTCAAAATGCTATTCTCAATTGAGAAATAAAGTTCCTCTTATTTTTTCTATTTTTTGATACTAGTACTGATTTAAATACTTAGAACTAAACTTTTGGTTGCTTAAGTCAGTCAAATCTAATTTTCTTCTGTTTTCTCTAGCTGGTAGTTTGAATATATGAAGCCTGTTGATTTCTATTAAAAAAAAAAAAAAAGCTTTTCAGATGATTTTTTTGAAGTTTCCCAGTAGGTAATCTTCACTGTGAAAATCCTGTGTACGTCTTTCCCAATTTTTCACTGGTGACTTTTCAATTACTGAAAATAGCATTTTTTACTCGCTGGCTGTTGCCTAGGACCATGAGAAGAGGGCTATGCAGTAGTGGCACTGGGCCTCCCTGCCTCCTGCTTTAGTGGAGGCTCTTCTCACGTGTATCTGGTATGCTCATGAGGCCGGCCTGAAGGAGACATTTTTTTTTTTTTAATTTTTTTATTTATTTATGATAGTCACAGAGAGAGAGAGAGAGAGGCAGAGACACAGGCAGAGGGAGAAGCAGGCTCCATGCACCGGAAGCCCGATGTGGGATTCGATCCCGGGTCTCCAGGATCGCGCCCTGGGCCAAAGGCAGGCGCCAAACCACTGCGCCACCCAGGGATCCCTGAAGGAGACATTTTTAATCGTGTTGAAGAAGTACTCATCCATTTCTTCTTACAAATGTGAATTATGACACTTTCACAGTTTTCTTGCCCATGTTTCCATCTGCATTGGCCCATCTGTAAGCCATTCCCGTATGTGAATGTACCATAGTTTATTTAACCAATCATCTATTTAGAGACAACTGGTTTCACAGTTTTATTGCTACAAAAAAGTGAGTGCATGTGCAAATGTGCCTGCAGGATAAATTAATAGGATGGGATTCTAAAATATGTTTTATTTTGAACATAAAGAATATAATCTGCATAACTGATTACACACATACTCAATTTGGAAGGAAGCTGAAAATGACCCAGGGATAGACCTCATCAGAAAAACTAACATTAAATTGACTCTTAGAGTGTCAAAATAATCAAGCACTGATAAAGCCAAGATTGTGGGGGTTTTGGGTTTTTTTTCCCCTTTTGACAATGACTGTTTTGAGAGGAAAGCAAGACAAAGGAAGATAAGGGTGCTGTTTATTTAACTAAGAGTGAAATGTGCCCATCCATGAAAGGCAGCTGTGGGTGCCAAGCTTAGGCGGGGAGGACACTTGGTGTCTGGCCCCTGTTGACATGTCCTTTGTTCCCATCAGCCTGTTTGCTATTGCTGGATCTTCAAGTTCCATCACACTCCAAATATCCTCCATGTTATTCACACCAACAACCTCAGTCTGACCACGGTGTCGTCCCAGCACTGCTGTGGCCCATCTGGTGTCTGCTCTATGCCAAGGGCTTTACTTAAATAAACCTCACACACTCATTTCCTAGCAACAGCCTTGTCTCCAGGGAGAAAGGCTCCATCCGAACAAAGTGAGTTACTTTAAGCACTTCAGCCAAATAGTCTTTTGTGTGTGTGTCCATTACCTGCTACAAACTATAGCAATCATCTGTATTTAATTATCCATGAGCTGTCTGCATTGCACACACACACAAATATGTTTATCTGCACAAGGAAAAAGCTCTATCTAAAGGACCACTGGAACGGACGCGTGAGAAGTCAGCACTTGGAGGGAGGAAATGCGGCTCACTCCAGTAAGGAGACTGAAGTTTCCCTGAGGATAGAGGTGGATCTTACCCATCCGTGTTTCCTGCAAAGCTGAGCAGGGGTGCAGGTCCTGCTAAGTGCTCAGACATTGTCGAGACTCAGTGTAGGTTCAGATTTAATATCTATCTTCGGTTAAGGCATTGCCTCTCTTCATTCTTGGCCCCCGCTCCACATTCTAAGTTCTAGCTAAGAACCAATCTGGTCACTTAGGAGATTTAGAGACTCCTCCTTTCAGTGCCTTTTCCCTCTGGATCACATCTGTGGTTGAAGGCAGTGATTCTAAAATTATTTTTCCTCAGGCTAAGGAACTACAAGCATAACTCCTGCCTATCAGAAGAGGTGGCCCCTAATTAGCTGGGCACTTGGCACAGTCTATAAGCACACCTGCAAGCTACTATCCTCCACACCTTTCTCTGCCATTGATCCTAGGAGTCCTCCATTTCCCTCCTCCCTGAGTCAATCCATCTCTCTTGGTTCCATTCTGAAATGTTTCAGACAAACCCATTTCTGGACTGATTAGGTCATAAGCAGACTAGGGTGCTGTAAGAGAGAACCACCCCCTCCCACAGTAGCTTGGAGAAGACAAGTGATTTCAGTCTCCTGTTACAGTCAGGGGACAGGGGATGCCGTGCCGGCACTGACTCTGCCACCCTCCACAGGCGGCTTCCAGGATGTTCTGGTTGTTGCCATTCTCAGTCAGGAAGTGGAGAAGAGGGAGAGACTGCTCCCAAGGGCAGGACCAGTGAGGTGCAGACTCCTGCTGGGCTCCCAGCTTCGGAAGGGGCTGACACAATCATGTGGCCCCATCCCCCTGGGGGGAGACAGGAATCACATGCCTGATTCCTGCTGGGAGACCATGTGCTAAAATGCAGGGGTAAAGAAAGACCTGCAGAAAGGGGCGGGCTGCCCCAACTCCTGTGGTTCCCCTTTATCTTAGACTGTTGGTGGTGAAGGGGGTGGTTGGGGCCCCCTGGTGGCCACGGGGGCTGCTGCCAGGCAGTGGTCATGGGATCCAGTCTCTTCCAGCCAGCGGTTCACACATGAAGTAAATTACATGACCAGGTTTACTCTGTAATGTTTAATGTCCGACAGGTGGAATGACATACAGGCCCATGAATAAGTAAAGTTTTCGATAAACCACGGAGCACTGATGATATGGAATCCTTGGCAGCACTTTGTGTGTGTGTGTGTGTGTGTGTGTATACACCAATGTACACATATGTATCTCAATATGAAAAGTATTGCTAAGTGAAAAAAGTTCTTGAACAACGTGTAGAAAAATGTCATGACATCCCATTTAGGATGAAAAATGCAATTACAGTTGACCCTTAAACATAAATTTGAACTCATAAGCAGGTCCACTTATATTTTTTTATAACAGTATTATAATAAATGTATTTTCTTTTCCTTATGGTTTTCTTAACATTTTCTTTAGCTTACTTGATTGTAAGAATATAATATATAAACACGTTATATGTAAACTATGTGTTAACCAGCTGTTTATGTTACTAGTTTTTTGGTCAATAGTAGGCTGTTAGTAAAGTTTTTGGGGGAGGGTATCAAAAAGTTCTATGCAGATCTATGACTCCTCTGGGGTCAGCAACCCTACTGCCTCCACCCCGTGTCGGTCGAGGGTACATCATATATTCATATGCATGACAGACATGACTGTAAATGGATTGGTGTGTTTCCAGGACAAACAACAAACTCAGCATCACCATTGGGAAGGGGGCCTCAGTGGGGAGATGGCCCTCCCAAGCTAGCTTCAGTTGTCACCCTGACAGAACACATGACTCAGGTCTCACGGAGCTCAGAGACTTCGGGTCATGGACCTGTGCCTTAGAGTGGGGCCCGTGACAAGGTACAGAAGAATGAGGAGTGATACCCTGACATCTTGCTTAAAATGTAATTGTGAGGTACAGTAGTCAGATTCACAGAGATGGAAGGTAGAGTGGTGGCTGCCAGGCCTGGGGGAGCCAGGGGGGAGAAGGACTAGGGAGTCACCACTGACTGCTCACAGTTGCATCTGGGATGACAAAAGTTCTGGAGAGCTGTCGCACAATATGAATATACATTAAACTACTGAACTATATGCTTAGAATTGGTTATGGTGGGGACTTTTTGAGTATTTACCACAATTAAAAATTGTGTTAATAAAATGATTTTAATTTCTGAGAAGGAGCATGTGGCTGCATTGGGAGATTTCCAGCTAGGGAAAGTGACCTTGGAGAGTGACCTACTCAAAATCTTGCTATAATTGTAATTTAATTAAAGAAGCTTTGAGAGCCTTCCTCTGAAAAAGAAGCAATTGTGACAGAATTTTATTTTCACATTCATGTTTTTCTTCATTTTTGAATAAACACTGCATCTCAGAGCTGCTATACTAGATATATTCCTTTACTATATTTAAATATTCAAAAGTCATTCACATAACATGTAGCACAGGATTTAACAGAATAGCAAAATATCATATAAAAATAAATGAAAAGCTTTCATATATGCACTGAAAAGACCTCACACACATACGTACAGGCGTACGATAAGTGCTCCTCATGATCTCTTCATAGATCTCCTCCTTACTGCTCTGAACAGACCTCAGAACCACCCCCGGCAGGTCACACAGAGGCAGCCTCTGCACACCTTTCAGCTGACCTCGCAGGGCAGACGGGGCTGAAGCCCAGGCTGGTCAGGCCACAGAGACAACCCAGTGGGGAAAGCCATCTCTAGACAGCATATGCAAGAGGTGATGCTAGCTTGGCTTGGTTTCCAGGTGTGGACCCTTCCAGTCCAGAATCATGCACTGTTTCCAAGACTGGGATTCTTGGGATATATGTCACTGGGTGACAAGTTCAGAATCTCATCCAAGGAAGGGCCTTCATCCTCTGGAGTGATTTCGGACTCGAACATCTGCTGCAGCAGGGCGTCCACAGTCCTATACTCTAGGAGGAAGGAGAAAGGCATGTGGAACTCAAATGTGTTGGGGTCAGAGGGGAGCATCCAGCCCAGGCAGGGGGAGGCTTTCTGGAAGGATGGCCCCTAAGTCAAAGACAATGCTCTCAGCACAGCTACCCAGATTGTCTTTGAAAGAAAGGATGAAAAAATCAGGAAATAATCACTCATCTCTGCTGGTGCAGATACCACTGAGCTCTGGGGCCAAGCAAGGCTCAAGAAAACCAAGAAAAAAAAAAAGGTCCTCCCTGGAGGATTGAGGAGGGTGACACCTGGGAAGGGTGTCCTGCTCATGCCACTGTCCCTGCAATCTATGCCATGCTCCTCATCCTGAGTTTACTGTAGGCACCCTGGCCAAAGCCCAAAGTGACAGTCAGGTTGCTCTGGGTTATTCAGCCAACCACTGGTTCATTGAGAATAAAGTAGTTAAACACATAGTTGTTAGGGGCTCCTGTGCCCTAGGCACATAGTGAAGCCCTGGGGACACCACAGAAGGCAAGAAGACATGGCCCAGCACACATGGAGTCTACAAGGAAGACAAATGGTGACCAAACTGTCACTTAATGACAAATGGCATCCACCCAGCATGGCAGGTCATGGTGGGAAGGAAGGGAGATTGAGAAAGAGAGAAATCAGGCATAAGGGCTGCAGAAACCATGAAAGGAGGGCTTGTCTTTATCCTGAAGCTACTGAAGGTCAGATTTGCATTCTGGAAACATCTCGCTGGCTGCAGTGAGGAGAGCATGGATTGGAAGAAGTTTTGCACTGGGTTAAAACTTACTTTTAGATGCAATTCTGAAGTACAATCCTTTCAAGGCCTTCCTTTTGTTGTCTCCATCATCCCCACTGAAGCCACTGTCTTTGGCATCCATGTTATCAATGAGCTTCCCATCCTGCATTTCTTCTCTTCAAGGAAGAAGAGACATGAACAGGGTCAAGTCCCTCACTGAGTCCCTCACATGTCCTCCCAGCCATAGCCCCGGGTCACTGTCCAGCCACATCCGGGGCTCTCCCCTGCCCAGTGAGGGTCCCTGAGAACTGGCACATAGGACCATGCTGGATGCCATGGGGCCCTGAGTGAGTGGACGTGGCCAGTCCGCTTCCCAAAGTCTGTAAGTGATATCGAGGGGAACACACTACTCACTCTTGAACTCCCACTCCAAGCTCTTGAATCTTCTTCTCGATAGCAGTTTCGACTTCACTTTTTTCTAAGGAGTATGCCACAAAAAATGCCTCCAAGATGAACGCTATGAAAATACTGAGAAAGAGTGAGAGGTAGAGGGTGCAGGCTGTGGTCTAGGCAACAAGGAATCCCAGTTCTAAAGAGTGTCTGAGCCTGAACAGGAAGGCAGCCTATTGCTGCAAAGACAATGCAACGCATAAGAGAGAAACGACGGTGTCTCTCAAGGACTGGATACAACTTTCATTCATTTGGAGAAAAAACATTTTTCTTTTACAACCTATTTAACCAGTGAATATTAAAAAGAAAACATAGCTTATAGCGGCGCCTGGGTGGCTCAGCGGTTGAGTGTCTGCCTTTGGTTCAGGTCGTGATCCTGGGATCTGGGATCGAGTCCCGCATCGGGCTCCCCGCAGGGAGCCTGCTTCTCCCTCTGCCTGTGTCTCTGCCCCTCTCTCTCTCTGCCTCTCTTTCATGAATAAACAAAATAAAATCTTAAAAAAAAAGAAAATCTAGCTTATTTCTGGGATGGACAGGGGCTTAAGCCCAACAATTGTCGGTAGACAGTTCTCCCTGAATATCTCAAGGTGCAGCCTGGGTTGTCTGAGCAAAGGCACTGAGAGCTGATTTAGGAAGGTTCATCCACGAGACATTCCAGTAAGCTGGAAAGCTCCAAGATGCTTCCCCTCAGAGACAGTCCTGGATAGTAAAGATACAAAGTTCACCTTGCCCTCCCTGGGGATCTGCTTATATTCCAGGTGAAACTAAAATCCCTCTTTTTCTCTCTCTCTGCAGAAGGGAGGAGAGGCAGGTCCCCAGCAACCCTATAATAAGTTCACCTTCCTCCTTGTGGGGTTCCCTCCTCCTCCTTCTCCAGTGGGGACGAAGGTTCAGGGAGCTGACACGGTGTGTTGCTCTGTGGCCGCTTCCGCCACAACTAATAAACTTTGTCTCTGACCCAGGGGGCCGTGGCTTCTGTCGGTGTATATACGGTGTGTATATGGGGCATGTGCTTGCAGACGAAGCTGCTGGCTTGCAAGCAGGCAAGAACCTCAGACCCTCCGCCGTTTTTGACCTACGGGGATGATGGAGCCCAGGGCTCCCACCATGGCACACGATTTGAGAGGAGAGAAGCCCTGCCTCTGCTGGTCCCAGCACTCCGGCAACCTCTGTGAGAGCCACCCAGAGAGGCGTTTCTCTCGTGTTCCCACTACATATTCTATTCAGGCTGTGTAAGGACAAGCAAGCCTGATCAGAGCTACCAGTGGGGTTTCTTCCCCTCTCCTCCCTTGGCCAGTTTTTTTTTTTTTTTTTTTAAGATTTGATTGATTGGGATCCCTGGGTGGCTCAGCAGTTTGGCACCGTCTTCAGCCTGGGGCATGATTCTGGGGACCCAGGATCGAGTCCTGCATTGGGCTCCCTGCATGGAGCCTGCTTCTTCCTCTGCCTGTGTCTCTGCCTCTCTCTCTCTCTCTCTCTGTACCTCTCATGAATAAATAAAATATTTTTTAAAAAAGATTTGATTGATTGATTTATGAGAGAGAGAGAGAGGGAGCGAGAGGGAGCATAAGCAAGGGGAGTGGCATACAGAAGGAGAGGCAGAAACAGGATCCCCACCAAACAGGGAGCCTGATGTAGGGCTTGATGCCAGGACCCCAGGATCATGACCTGAGTGAAAGGCAGATACTTCACCATCAGAGCCACCCAGGTGCCCCTCGGCCAGTATTCTTGAGTCATTCTTGAGCCAAAGTCAGTAGGTGGTGGCTGGCCAAAGCAGGCCTGATGTAATAAGGAAGGCACCGGGTGCTGGGCTGTCACCCCAAGAACTGCAGACCCCAGGCTGTGAGAGGGGTATGACAACCAGAAAACCTCTCTAGAAGACAATTCTAGTGATCATGAGGACTCAGGTTCAGGTCCCATGGAGGAACCAAGGAGCTAGAATCAGAGACTCTTAAGCTGGAACAGAAGCCCTCTAGAGTAATGGGATGTCACAGCAGCTTTCAGTGACTGAGTTCTCTCCTGAAAGAGGGACCAGGACAGACCTAGAACCAATGAAAGGACTGTACCAGTGCCTTCTACCTGTGCAAGGACAGAGAGGTACCAGAGATGGACAACTAGGGAACAACCTCTGAGGCTCTAAGAAGCTAGTAGATGCATGGATTTAAGCAGAGGGTGAACCGTATTCACAGGGATGCTCTAAAGGGATTTGGTCTGGGTGAGGAAGGGGAGGGAGACTGGCCAGGACCCTGGGGTCCTTCTGACCCAAACAACTTATAAAACTATGAGATATGCATGAGCTATAGATGTGCACGGCACCGGCAGACAGCGATGAACACAAATAGGAACGCAAGTGACACTCCTCCCTTGCGGTGCCTTCGCATGGTGCACACTAGGTGGCCAGAACAAGGGATGAAGATCTGGAATCGCCAACGGGGCAGGAGTAAACTCACTTAACAATGAGAATGACGACCACAATGTGGAAGCTGATGAAGTACAGCTTTGCCGCCTGGTGAGTCACCAGAGCGAAGCCACCTGCGAGGAGTGCAAAGCTAAGGAATCAAAGCTTCAAGGAACTGGGCAGGTGACCAGGATGCTCCTGGAAGTTCCTTTCGGTGCCCTCCCCCCCAAACCCAGGGAGCAGGCAGGCCCTGGGAGTCCGTCCCCTCACAGAAAGGATATCGTGCCACTGGTTCACCACCGTGAGCTCCATCAGCACGATGAACGAGGAGGCGAGGTCGTTGAAGTTGTTCTTGCAATAGTGGTCTCGGGCGAATGCGGAGCCGGTCAAGGCTGGGTTCCCACACACCTGAGCTTCGGGAGTGGTGAAATTCGGGTCGAAGAACCGGACTTTGCCTTGGAATGCTTCCATCCCAATGATAGCAAAGACGTAGTAGACCACCTGGGAGGGGCAGCACAGGTCAGCAAGGGCGCATCGAGCTGCAGCCGTGCAAGGGCGCATCCTTGCTGCAGCTGGCGGCGAGAAGCCAGCAGGAGGGGCGGGAGAATCGCGGACATGGACGCAGGTGGACCTGGCAGGAAGTGCCACACTCTGATTCCGGAGTGGCTGCCCGCCCCAGCCGAGTTTCAAGCATGTCAGGGTGGGGAAGGGTGGACCAATTGGCTCTTCTCTGCTGGAGAAGCCCGAACTGTCCACGGAGGAGACACAGGACCCAGCCAGCTGGACCACAGCACCGCCTCTCCAGTGGGCTTCTACAGCCCAAAACAAAGCTGCTGGGCAAGTTAGTGGGCTAAATCCTCAAGAAACAACAGCTGGGGGATGCCTGGGTGGCTCAGTGATTGAGCGTCTGCCTTCAGCTTGGGTTGTGATCCCAGGTTCCTGGGATGGAGTCCCACATTGGGCTCCCCACAGAGAGCTTGCTTCTCCCTCTGCCTGTGTCTCTGCTTCTCTCTGTGCCTCTCATGAATAAATAAATAAATAATCTAAAAAACCAAAACAATAGATGGCCCGCTAGGAAAAAAATAATAAGGCTGTATCTTAATCCCATTTTTTATAAGATGAATTTCAAAGGTACCATAGGGTCCAATGTAAAAAAAATAAATTGAGTAGAAGAAGTCCCCACTGAGCATGACTAAAAAAGATAAAAGATTATACAATAATCTATGAAATAAAAGATTAGCAAAGACGACTATATAATTAATTTAAAAGATTATACAGCTCCCAAAATAGACAACAAAAATCCTTTAGGTGAAGGAAAAAAATAAAAACTCAAAAAACAAGTGACAGAGAAGGAAAAGTAATTATGCTAGAAACAACTTACCGACAGCCTATTTCCTGAATTGGCAAAACACTCCTGCAAATCATATTTTTAAGTTAACAGAATGGACCAAGGATATGAACACACTGTCTACCGAAAAAATAAGCGCTAAGTGGCCAAAAGAACATGGAGAAGACACTCAGGCCTGTGAAACAGGACAGAAGTGCATGTCAGAGCCACACAGCACCATTCTGTCCCATCGGACTGGAAGACGTGCAATGACTCATAAGCCCCGGCTGTGAGGGGTGCAGAGGCACAGGCTGTGACATGCTGTCGTCTGGACTACACAGGAAGCATGACTCTGGACGGAGCCACTGGCCGACCAAAGTTTGAACACATTTACCTTTTGACCCAGCCTTGCTGCCTGGGAATGCATCCAGTTGGAACAGAGGCACTAAGATGCAGGTGCAAGGACCTCACTACATCAGCTGTGGTGGCAAGAAAGTGACACCCCCTAGTGGTCTGTCAGTAGAGGGGCTAGTTGGATGTGTTCCAGAGTCTTCCCTCAGTGGGACACTTTTAATCATAGCAGAGCCTACACGATGCATGTGTCCTCAAAATCGTGCAGCATTTCGTGTGGATTATTCTATCTGACCGAACAATAAACTAGATACATACACACAATTATGGGATATACTTGTGTACACGGAGATATTGAGGAAGAGGAACAGGAAAACTTTAATAATGGCTGTCTCCAGGAAAGACACATATGGGGAATGGAAATGGGTGACCTAGAGTCTGCCCTTTGTTCTTCTGTACTAATAGAATTTCTTACCATGAGAACAGGAAAGCAAAGTGAGTACCCTGTGGCAGAGTGACCACCTTCATTCACAGTGTGGAACTTCTCCTAAGCAGGAGGCGACAGCCCCCATGCATCCCTGGGTGGCTGTTCTCACCACTGGGGATGTGAGGAGCAGGTGGGCTTTAGCCACAAGCAGAACAAAGAAGGATCTGAGGTTGGGGGGTGGGGGAGGGACAGGCAGCCATGAGCCGGAAGGAGCCTGCACCCCTGAGAAGCATCTGCTAGTCATGCTGACCTACCCAGGCTGTGGGTGACACAGAAATCATGGCCGAGTTAACCCACTGCAGTTCTGGTGTCTCTCACAGTAGCCGGTGTACCTTAGCTGGTATATGCCCAGTGTTTCCAGACACTGGATATTTCTAAAAAGGATTACACAAAATCAGTGAGTCTCATTTACTTAATCTCCCTTTCTTTTCCTTGCTTAAAATAAGGCTTACGGAGAGTTGCCAAGAACGAACATCATACTGCTTATTTCACATAGAACAGCCACAAGAACAAGCCACTTACCAAGACAAGTCCACCAAACGTCAGTATCGTGGGGCCAATGTTAATTAAGGTGGTCACGATAAGCCGGAATCTAGGATAAAACAAAGTTTCTAGCACAAGGCGGCAAAAGGGGAAGCCAGAAAGTAAAGCTGACACCACGCTAGCAGGTTTCATTTAATATCTCTTCCCCCCAGTACTGGATCTGTTTAGAAACTGTCAGGAATTTGCCTTTTTAGCTGTGCACCACTGGGGGAATTATTTAACCTCCCTGAGCTTTGTTGTAATCACCTGTAAATAAAGGCTAAGAAAAGCCCCCCTCTCAAAGGTTGTTGGAAGAATTTCAAAAGACAATGGTTGGCATATTCAGGTTAGCATTAGCTGCCTCCACAGCCACTGTTATGCAGCCACTGTAGAGCCTGCATGGTTGAGGGAAGGGGCCACAGGGATGAAAATGATCGATAGAACCCCTGCCCTCAGGAAGCTGACGTTTGAGTGCTCTTTGCCATCTTCGAAGGCTCCCCTGCCTGCCCTGACATGCTGAGAGGGGGCTGGGTCCTCCATACAAGTTCCATTCCAGGCTCGTAATGGGGGGTGTTTATCATTCTGAGGCAGGAGCGATTTCCAGCAGGGCCCACTGTGGGAACCACTCGGGTGCACATGACTCCCTCTTTACCTCTGAATACTGACAATGATCCTTAGGAGCCGGAGTATCCTCAATATCAAGACAATATCCAGTATCTGCTGACTGTTATAATTTCCTGCTAGGACAGAAACCACAGTCGTTTAACATTCCATTTTGTGAGTGCCTCTGGCTTGTCCCATGTAATCAATGAGGTCTGAGACTCTGTGGGTTCAGGGGAGAGACGCGGCTTCACTTCCAGAGCAGGACAGTGGCTCTGAGCTGTGAGGAAGCAAGTGCCACCTTGAATCACTCACTCGCCTAGCAAAGCCAAGCCACTCCAGGCATTCCCTCCTCCCCTGAGAGCTAGAGAATCATGAGAGCAGGTGTAGGCTTCAGGCCATATCTAAGAAATGACTGTGCATCAGGTTCTACAGAACACATTTCTTCAAGCCCTTCCTTTCCCAATACTCCTTTCAGAGAGTTGTGTTATGAAGCTGCACCATCTCTAAATAACACCTTCTGCTGTCTACAAAAGGATTGTGCATGGTGGGGTGGGATGTGCGGGTGCAGCCAGAGGAGGAGTAGACACAATAGGGCAGAGGGCAAGGAACTATGCAGAATTCCAGCTCCAGCTGGACCCTGGATAGGGGGCCGAGATGGGCTGAGGGTCAGAGGCATGGAGGTTAAGCCATGAGACTGCGGGCAGGTCTGGAGAGGAGGTGACCAGGGCAGGATCTGGTGTGATGGATGCATACAAATATAATCTCTAACATACAGCTAAACACTAAGCTACCATCTCTCTCCAGAACATGAAACACTTCTATTAATTCCCTTGGGTACCCCCTGCCCCATCTCCAATGTCTTCCTTACTGCCACCCAGTGGAAGTTCCACAAAGACTATGGATGGAATGCAAGATCCCAGGAGGTGGTGAGGCCCAGGGTCCATGGTACTGACCTGACTGAATGGTGGCGTTGGCCACAGTGGCCACCAGGGCCGCGATGATGATCAGCGTATCAAACCTAATGGTGCAGAAGCAAAGTTGGTGAAAGATCAAGGGAAAAGCCTAGAAGTTCAGGATGCCACTGATCCCAAGAAAACTTTGAATCCAGTATCTTAGGCAAAGCAATGATCCAGCCAAGAAACTGATTTCCATAATTTTTGAAGAACAGAGACGAAGCAAGAAATGCTACATTTGAATGATCCAGTGATCACTCACTAGTGGCTCTAATGAACCACCCAAGGGTATGTGTAGTAATCAGCCAATTCTTATCACTTTGTCTTCCAAAATAGCTATATGCTTGCAAGAATATTTTGGCACATTTTCAGAATACACAGTATAATCTTTCTAGGTATTAATTTTAATAAGTGCATGGTAACTTTGTAACTAAAGGGGAAATCCAACATATTGTTACTCTTCTGCCTAACAATAGTACCAAACGACAATGGTGCCAAAGCACTGGACAAGACTAGCTAGTTCCCCTTTGGCCACATGTGCATGCTAGTGAGTTTCCTGGCACCAAATGCAGTGATCGCAGAGATCCAACCCTGCCAAGCTGTGCGCTACTTAAGACAGGCATGTGTGTGTGTGCCTTGTATCTTTGTGTCCTGCCATTTCTAACATGCAGTGACATTTGAGATGGTCTGCAGCACATGGGTGATGGTTCAAGACCAGGAGGTACACAGTCTGTAGAAGAAAGAGGCCACAGGTGACACATCTCATGTAGGAAAGAGCTTGTTAACAATCTCGTTGTCCAGGCCTACGTGCCAAGTTCTCTGATAAAAAGACTAGGGAGTGGGCCAAGGGAGCTATGGAAGGAACTTCTTGGATATGATGTTCAATATCCTTTCCAAAACCAGGATGCTGTGATCTGTGATTCTAATTTTAGCTAGAGTCAGTTGAAACTGACATCATAAATAACAGCTTTGTCTGAACCAGATGTTCCTACACCCTCAAGATTTCATTATCAGATGCCCCAAAACTAGGCAGCTAGAGCTTGAAGAAACTATAACAATATTCCCCAAATGGACAGAGACCCCCCCCTTTGCCCATGGACTCTAAGCCCCCCTCCACTCCCCAGAACACACATGCTCACCAGTTCCAGAACTGCTTCCTGCCAAAATAGGCTCTGGGCTCATATGTGTACAGTTTCAGGAGAATTTCAATAATATATAGAGAAAGAAAAAGCCATTCTGCGTTAGAGATGAAGGGTTTTTTCTCATCCAGAGCAATGAATATGGCATTTACTAGAATGATGACATCATAAACCCAGACAAAAATCCTGCCATGAAAAAAGAAGAGATTCTGTCATCACACATTTCAGTGAAAGGAGCATGGTCAGAACCTTCTAGCAGCTACTGTGTTCCCGACAATGTCATGGTTCTGAGATGCCTCTCAACCCCATCCCAACATGGGCACACACACATGAGCACACTCTGACTCAAGTACATAAAGGTTCCAGCACAGCCAGGGTCCTGAAATCCACCTGCCTCCCCCTGACACTGGGGCAGTCCTTCTGGCCAAGGAGAAAATGAAGACCTGGTGATCAAGGACAGGGGAAATAGAGGTGTGGTTTTTCCAGGTGCCCCTCTGGGGGCACAGTCCCTGACTCAGATGAAAGCTTAGGCAGAACTGGGGCAAGTAGAAGGTTTAGGGCCTAGTATGGGATCATGACACCCGTTTGTCCCTGGAAAATTAACATCCTTAACTAAGAAAGCTGCTGAAAACCTGTTTACCCCTAATGCACACAAGCCTTTCAGGGAACTGACATGTCCATCATCCTCACCAAGTCTGAAGTGGGCTCAGCCCCAACTTTCCAATGAAAAAGCAGGCTGCTCTGCTCAGGTAGCTATCTCCCATGCTGCAGAGAACCCCGGGTGAACCCTGGGCACGACACTGGGAAGACAGGAGAGGCTCCAACCCTACTGTTCTCTGTGAAGCTGTAGACCTAGGATCCTGGATGCCACATGTGGACACACAAACCTCCAGCACATGAAACACATCAGTAATTCAAGGCTGGGATTAATGGGAAGAAGCTTCTACATAAAGAGCTTTGATAAATATCAAATATCACAGGCTGAGGGATCCCTGGGTGGCGCAGCGGTTTGGCGCCTGCCTTTGGCCCAGGGCGCGATTCTGGAGACCCCGGATCGAATCCCACGTCGGGCTCCCGGTGCATGGAGCCTGCTTCTCCCTCTGCCTATGTCTCTGCCTCTTTCTCTCTCTCTGTGTGACTATCATAAAATAAATAAAAATTAAAAAAAAATATCACAGGCTGAGCCACTTTCCAGGACTTCTCAACCATTCTCTTCCATGAAACATTAAATTCAAGGACAGCAAGAGGATGAGCCACTAATGATAGGGACACTTCAGGCCACGCATATGAAACCTAAGATCTGCAACTAGAATGAAAGATTCTTTCTGGAGTTCACTTATTTGAGAATAAGAGAATTAATTGGCCTTCTTAACAATCATTCCAATAATTCAAATGCATGAGTTCTTACTATGCACTTTACAAAGTCAGAGCACCATATCTGAAATTAACTTCCTAATGATTTGGGTGGGGCTGGAACCTTCTGATTTCAGAGAGCAGTCAGCTTCTCTGGCTCAGAGAGCACACATCCAGTTTGTGGCCCTTGAGCATCTTAGGAAATAGGGCAGAAGGAAGCATAATCAAGAAGCCTGTCCTTTTGGTTGAGGTCAAACATAGCATGGCCAGAACAAAAAGCAGCAAGCAAGGGGCTGATTTATAGCTTCAGTAATGAAATATATTAAGTCCAAACAGCATTTGCAAACTCGTCTCTTTTTAAAGCAACTTGAGAAAAAACAGACCCTATCTCACTTGCCTGTGCCGAACCATTCTCTGGACCAGGAGGCTTGCAGACGACTGGTATACCCGAGGCATCCAGTCTTCCAGTGGGTGTCTCTTGATGTTGATGGCGACTACCTGAATATTGAGGAGGTCAGCCAAGCGTAGAAAGTTCATTTTGTCTGCAATGGAAAAAAAAAATGATCCCAAATGCACGGCCACTGCGACACTAAGGTTCAAAGGGTGACACTAAGTTGGCAGACTCTTGTTTCTGCGTTTCCTAGGTGAAGATCTGAAGCTTCAAAAGGTGAAGGCCCAAGGCCAAGGAGCCATCAAGTGGCACAGCCACCTGTCCTCACTCAGATCTGCAGCCAACCCAAGGCAGCCAACACTAGCATGTGATTTTGGTAGTTCACAGATGCTGCTACCTCACCCCCTGCCTTCTACCCACCTACCTCTTCACATGGGCCATCCCTACTTTCAGTGTCTGCCTGACTTACCTTTCCAGCCTCCACTCCACCTCTCTTGCCTCCCCACCAAGCCTCCAAAGTAGCTGTAATCCACCTCCTTCCCCTTCCCTCAATCTCCTATCCTCTTCTCTGCCCACCCTCCCTCCCTGCCCCTCCTCAGAGATTCACTCAAATCCACAGCTTCCACAACAAGTTGGCCCAAGAGCCAAGCCAAAGTTCACCAGACTCTTTCTGACCAGCCTGGACCCATGTGGCTACAGAGCCAGTATTCTCCAGATCTGCCAAATGTCCAGGGTCACTACCCTGCACACCTCTCTCCAACCAGACAGGCTGGATGCTGACTATGACTCAACTGGGTTGGTTTTCAACCCCATTTGTGTATGAACTTTCTGCTCCATACAATGTAAAGAATTTCATCCCATAGATGAAATCAGGATATGTAAAGGATGTTACTGCTTCCTACAAAGTTCTTCTTACAATTTCTTTCCAAGTTTTTTTTGAAAACTAAGTTGACGCTTAGAAACAAAGTTGATGTTTGGAAAACTTTAAAAAAGCTGTTGAAAGAAATCACCAGTGCAGATTGGGTCTAGCTGAGACAACAGGCAAAGTTTGGGGTGGGCATTTTTTTATCCTAGAAGTCTTCTCATTCAGAGGGCCTGGCAGATATACATAGCTCCATTCCAGTTTTCAGGAGCAAACAATGAATGATGGCTCTACAGTTAGTACAGCGTGGATTGTGCAAGAAAGATGACACAGAACTGCCATCAACAGATGTCCAGGCAAAGAATAAGCTTCAGCCCTGGCAGAAGCGTGGCTTCATCCGAGTGATGAGCCTGAATCAAATACAGCCTTGAGTGATGTCACACATTCATGTTGCTATTTTCCTCAACAGTTGTATGGTGCTAAGAACACAAAAGAACATGAATCCATAAAATTAGATGAAAAAACACACATGGGGCAGCCCGGGTGGCTCAGTGGTTTAGCGCTGCCTTCAGCCCAGGGTGTGATCCTGGAGACCTGGGATCGAGTCCCACATCGGGCCCCCTGCATGGAGCCTGCTTCTCACTCTGCCTGTCTCTGCCTCTCTCTCTCTGTGTGTGTGTCTCTCATGAGTAAATAAATTAAAAAAAAAACACACACACACATAGATGTCTTAGGATATCCAAGTTCCTGAGTCTTCAGAGTTAGAAAGAAAATATACATACATGTCTTAATAGCCAAAGGCATGGAACACCTACTCAGGCAGAAGTGCAAACTTGGAGAATTAGGTGACAGGATAATTGGATCCAAGGGCCTGGGCTGCATGAACCCCACCATCACTGGCTAGGGAGACAATGACATGACAAGCATGAGTAGGATTTGGGTGACCTACTGACAGGAACCCAGCTAAAACATCATACGTTAAGCAACCTAAACCAAAAGGGAATCTGTTAGTCTCACTGGGTTCACATCTTTTCATCCAGAAGATTCAGTAGAACAACAACAACAACAACAAAAAAAAAAGAGAATCAAAACAATAGTAATTTTGTGTTAAGAAGGAACTTATACTCATCGGACATTCTTATGTTGAAGATCAGAAGTCAGCTAACTTTTTCTGTAAAGGGCCAGATAGTAAATATATTAGGCTTTGCAGGTCAAATGATCTCAATTTTAACTACTCAGTTCTGCTGTTATAGCGTGAAAGCAGCCATAAATAATACACAAATGAATGAGCATGGATGTGTTTCAATAAAACTTTATTTACAAAACAGGTGTAGGGCCATATTTAGCCTATGGACCATAATCGGCCAACTATTGCTGTAGATACATTACTTCTGCCATATTCTCTTTAATTCTATTCAGCCCTTTTCTTCCCATATTGGTAAGTTTGTGTTTTTCAGTTTAATACTGGATTAAGTTTTAACATTTTGGGTACTAATAGAATTCCAGTGTTTAGCCCTGAAAACGACAAATGCTCATAACTGCTGATCAAATGGAAAAGAGAAAATATTCACAGAAGTATTGCTATCCTCTGCTCTTACAGAGTGGAGACCACCATGTAGCATGTAATTCTGTTCAACTTTCTGTTATTAACACTGTCTTTGAAAGTGTTAGTTGAACAAAGGCGTCTTTTGGACATCTAGACTTAGATCCTATCAAATATACCCTATGGTTCCTAAAAGCTGACAAATCTTACTGGCCGGCCATCTCATGTAAAGATGTGGTTGCATTGGTAACAATATTTCAATCAACCATGCTATTTGGCAAAAAGTAAAATACTGGGGAGTCTACTGAGCCATAAGCTCACTGGTGCCTTCTTCTTGTCCTATCTCTGAAAGTTCTCAGAATGAAGGGCCGATGACCCAGACTCCCTGCTGACTCCCAATCATGAGCCACCAAATAGAGATCGAGGTCCCAGGGGTGTGTCCTGGGAGTGCCTTCCTACCTCCTTCACCTGCTCAGAAGGTCATGAGCTACTTCTGCTGAATGTCTGTAGAGCCACTAGAGAGTAAGAGAATTACATTCAGGTGTAGCTTAGTTTTGTCAGTGTGGTGTCATCTGAAGCCTGGACAAGAAGGTCACATTTAAATGGATGGGTAAGTCTGCAGCAGATGAATTACAACTACTGCGGTTCTGTCCTCCTGAAGCAAATGCTCAAGTCTGAGATTTATAAATTTATTTATTTAAAGATTTTATTTACTTATTCATGAGAGACACAGAGAGAGAGGCATAGACATAGGCAGAGGGAGAAGCGGGCTCCCTACTGGGAGCCCGATGTGGGACTCCATCCCAGGACCCCTGGGAACATGACCTGAACCAAAGGCAGAAGCTCAACCACTGAGCATCCAGGCACCCTCAAGTCTGAGATTTAGATAATGTAAATATCAAAGATTAGTTATGTGGAAGGGTGGGGGGAGGTAAACCTTAGATAGAACAAAGTTCTAGAGGAGGACAACAATCTTGGCCAGAACCAGCAAAACAGGTGTTATGTGCTGACAGGTGTCCCCTCAAAATTAATATGTTGAAGTATTAACTGCAAGGACCTCCGAGTGTGACTGTGTTTGGAAAGGGGCCTCTTCTAAAGAGGTAGTTAAAATGAGGTCACTGGATGGGCCCTTATCCAATATGACTGGTGTCCTCACAAGAGGAGGCAATTAGGACACAGACACACACAGAGGAAAGACCATGTGAAGATGCAGGGGGGGCAATCATTTACAAGCCAAAGGAGAGAGGCCTACTCTGCTGACACCTTGATCTTGGACTTCTAGCATCCAGAACCATGAGAAAATAAATTTCTGTTGTTTAAGCCGCCCAGTGTGTGGTACTTTGTCATGGCTGCCCTGGAAAACCAACACAACCAGGAAATTTCTCAACTCATTGTTAATTTGATTATGTTAAAGCAAACACTTCTTTCCTAAAGTTCTGAAAGGAGACTTAAAGACTCTCACAAAATTAAGAAATCAATAAAAAATTCTTTATACTTTAAATGTCCTATCCACCCCTTATAAAAAATCATAAACCAAACTGACAAACAAAACACCCACTAGAGTGAAGAAAAGGGGAATTTCAAGTTCAATGATCACGTTTTTTGCTTCTTTTAACAAAATCCTTGACAAACTCTTAGCTTGCACAAACATATTAAAAATTCTAAAGAAATAAAGTATAATATGAACAGGTTTTTAAATGATTTTCTCCTTGACACACATGTCTTCCAGATAATACCCTGAATTAACAAATTGGTTTATAAAGTCTGACCTCAAGTATAAAATATATACAACAAACTATTAAACAGTATTCCTATAATTTCTTTTTTTTAAAGATTTTATTTATTTATTCATGATAATCACACACACAGAGAGAGAGAGGCAGAGACACGGGCAGAGGGAGAAACAGGCTCCATGCAGGGAGCTGGACGTGGGACTCGATCCCAGGTCTCCAGGACCACGCCCCGGGCCAAAGGCAGGCGCTAAACCACTGCGCCACCCAGGGATCCCCTATTCCTATAATTTCTTAAGAAAATCAGGTAGAAACCAGGAAATTCTAGCTTTATTTAATGTTCTTAATGTCTCTAGTTAAAAAAAATTATTTATAAAGATGTATAAATTAACAATAGGCCAACAATTAATTGCTGCAGAAAGGCCACTGGGAGAGAAAAATAATGTTCATTAATTTTATTGGTAAAAAGACACATTTTAAAGATCTGGTTTAAAAAGTTGAAATCTAAAGACTTGTGATGAAGATTAAAATGTTACAAAATTAATTCATTAAAAAAATTAAAATAATTTAAAATTTTAAACCAAATTGATATAATGCTCCCTGTAAAGAAAAACTAGTACATTGTTCTATGATTTAGGGTTTAAAATGTGGCTTCATGTCTTTTTCCTGATTTTTCCAATGTAAATACAAACTATAAATATGTATTTTAGTTCATGTATAATTTTTTTTCTCCAAAGAGGTTAAAATGGCTGGAACTACTCACATCCTTCACCTTTATAGGTCAATTGGTGTCATGATCTCAACTAACATTTAAGCATCCATAAACCTAACCATCGGCTAGAACCACGTGGCATGATTTAAACTGTTGTGGTTTAAAAAGTTAGATCTTCATCAATCATCTTGTGTAAATCTTACACAATATTATAAATCACAAGGCCCTGTAGAGTTGCCCACTTCAACCGTGTGGTAACAGCAAGCAGTTTTCTTCTCTGACAAATCCTTAGTGTCAGCAATATGGTTTTTAAAGCGTATTTCCTAAAATTACTAATTGAGTTGGGGGCATTGCATGAATGAATGTTGAGATAAATAGTCAACAACCTGGATTTACCTAAGACTTTCAAAGAAGTTAAAATGTCATGTCCCTATGTATAAATAGATTTGTTCTTCAGGGCACTCAAATTAAAATATTATGCAACAATTGTCTCACATTATGCTATAAAAACTAAAGTTTTCAGGCTTTAGTCACACCGGCATTTAAGCATATTCATTGGTATGACTATCTGTGTATGTGTCTACAATAACGTATATTAAAGTTAATAGATGAAATTCAGAACAGGTTCATCATGCTCTTCATATGAGGCACAGAAGGCTGGTCCTTGCCATCTTTGTCTTCTGCTCAGGGATCTGGATTTACAGCCCTTGCCCATGGAGATTCTCTTATTTCTCACAAGTCTGCAACACTTATACTGACTTTTATTATGTCTTGGATGACTGTGGAGCACTGTAAAGACACGAAGCTTCTCACTTTTGGAGGAGATATAATGTCAGCTGGTTCACACATTTCCCTTGCTATGATTGTTCTTGGCCAGCATGAAAACATTCTATAGCACAGCGGCTTTGAGCCATGCCTCATTGTCAGGTTCCTCTGCTCCCTTTTGTCACTGAGTTGTCCTTCGGTAACACTTACGGATCTCACCCTGTACAAGATCACAACCCACATTCAGAAAAGAACCTCTACAGACGGGCAGGTGGTGGTGGTGGTGTCTGGTATCCAGATCGTCATTGGCACTCTCCAGGAAGTTGTGGGGTAGCATCAAAAAGCTCCTCCTTCCTCTTGCTCATGTAATTCATGGAGTGATACATCCAAACAAGCAGGGGGGCCAGGAGAACTTGGATGTGTTTGGTATGCTCCATATTTATCCTATACAACCGAGCAGTTTGTTTAAGAGCTACCCTACTTACAGCCCAGAACATGGAAGAAGCTGACAAGACATAAAAAAGCTGTTCATCCTCCCACTTGAGAGATGACTATCAAAAGTTAGATGGACCCCATCAACCAAAAAACATTTGTATGAGTATGTCCTGGAGACCATGTGTATCTTTTCTAGATGAGCCGGAGATACCCAAGTATATGGGCCTTCTCATGCATGACAAAGACTCCTAAAAGTTCCCATCTCTAGGTTTAGAACATCTGACCTTTTGCTACTAATCTAGGAATAAACTTTACAGAAGGAACTGCGAAGAAAGCTCATAAAGCTCTAAAGATTCACTGACACCTTCAGAGTCCCAATTGTCTAGAAGCAACAGAGGTACTAAAAAATCACCAAAGGGGAATTCTCAAAAACAGAGGGGCTGAAGTTTGGGAACACCTCGACTAGAGTGACCAGCCACAGTACCCTGGTTCTTGAAGTGGGACATCCAAGGAGACTCAAGTATCAACCCTCTCCTCTAAGTACTAGAGCAGTGGTCTTCAAATAGTGGTCCCTGGTTCTGTTCTTGTGTTCCCCACCCTTTGTGGGATAAGTGCTGAATATAAAAACTTGTCAAACAATTGCCAGGATCATGTTCACTGATTCTAATAATGAAAAGATGGGACTTGGATTTTACACTTTTTAATTTAATTTTTCTGGGTATTTAATTTTTGCTGTATTTTACCAAAGGGACAGACTATATGACAGGTGAGAAATTAAGAAGCTTCACTACACACAACTCAGGAAGCACCACGTTCAGGGGTTGCCCAGGGCACCAGCTGCCCTTCCCCACCACCGGCAGAACCCTAACCTTGACATGCTCAGTGGCATAGGCAACCATCACCAGTCCTTAACAGGGGTCATCAGGCTGGCTCCCGACCAGACACTCAGAGCCATTATGTTGAGCGGGGTGGCTGAGGAGACACGTTCAGGGCTCAATGGAAGGTGCTTGTCAAATCCTGCTAATTCAAGAGGGCAAAGGTGGTTTTCTATCCCAGATCCCAAATTCACACTGGAAGATGTGAGCACTACCCACTGACCAGTGCCTTACTGTACATTTCTCTTTGTTCTTTTTTTTTTACATAAGTTCCAGAGACCCGCTGTCATCTCTTTCTCCCACGTGCATGGAGTCCTCATTAGGCCTATGGCTCTGCAGGACTAGTTTGAGAGTCCTTGTCTCAGGTAAATTTACATCCTGTAGAACCTACCACTCCCCTGGGGTCTGTTCCCATCTAGATTCTTCTGGAAACGGATGAAGCAAGGTTATGCTACAATTTGGGATGTATTTTAGTCACTTCACATCTTTCCACATTGACATATCATCTTTACAGTCATTCTTAATGTCACCAAGATTTCCCATTACATGGCTATCAGAATCTGGGGTCGGTTTAACACAAAGCACAGGTCTGGGAATCAGAAAGCCTCGACCACTTTGCAGCTGCGTGGCCTTGGGCAAATCACTTAACCTCTTCCAGTCTCAGTTTCCATACTGATAAATGAGGATGACAAAAATCCCACCTCAGTGATCACATATACACCATGTACTGAAAACACTCATGGCAATGGCTCACACATGCTAAACATGCCACAGATATGAAGTGCCATTCATAATAGCTACCCACCACTAATACCTGAATTTCAGGTTACTTTCAACTTTTTGCTTTCAAATATTGAATGCGATGTAGATGTTCATTTCCACAGCTCTCTTCTATTTTAGATGATTTCCTTAAGGCAGGATCAGCAGTGGAATGACTGTGACAAGGTAAAAGCTTTGGGATGGTTCCTTACACATTGACAACTCGTATGGGGACAGCCCTGTTGGAACACAGCGTGAAGACCCAAGTTCCACTGAATTGCTGCCAGCAGGGAGCACCAGCATACATTTTTATTTGCAAACTTAAATAATATACTGTTGTTTTATGAATCACCCTCAGGAGTCACCCATTTTTGAACATACAGCAAAGAGGAATGTAAGAGGCCAAGGCTTCTTACCCACGTGCCCCTTCTGTCCCTCGTCGGAGATCCTCAAAAGGAGCTCCAGGTGGGGACTGCTGATGTGTGGCATCACGATCTTGGCCAGCCGCTTCCACTGGGCCTCTGTCACCACAAACTCTGTGCCCACCTTGACTTTCAGAATGTTGAAAGCCTCTATCATTTTGCGACGTTTCAGGTATGCCAGTTTGAGAATCTCATTCTTTAAAAAACAGAATTGTGGGTTTTTTAAAAAACAGGATTGTGGGTTTTTGAAAGAGAAAGATCCAAGAAAGCCTTGTTTCTTTCCCCTAAATGTTTCAGGGTATTTGACAAGCCAAAGAGAAGGCACCAATGGGTCTATGAAGCAAGGTATACAATCCCTCCCCGGCTGCAGGTATGCATAGCTATCCCGTCTGCATAAACAAAACTCATCTTACCAAGTTGAAATGAGGGAGTCTGTGAAGGATAATCTGTGTGATGAGAAACAGAGCAGCAGGAGGCAGACTGGTCCCAACTCCACTCTGCCCAGGAGGAAGGGAGATTCCAGAAAGGAAGGAAATCGGGTGTGCTGCCGAGACACAGGGAGAACCCAGAAAGGGAGAAGATAGAGCTGCCATTAAGTCAGTCAAGAAAGACAAGAGGGGGAGGAGAAAAGTGGGGGAAGTGAAACCAGGCTAGAAGTGGTCCGGAAGGAAGAGGTCCAGGGCAGGAAGAACAGCTGGCCTGCCTAGAGCTGCCATCTGGCTGGAGCTTCAGGAATCTTCCTGAAGAGAGAATAGGCTGGGTGGCCCTCCTCAGGTTATGCCAGCCACCTGATGCCCACTCCTACTGCTCACTGTAAGCCTGTTACCCAATAACATCTTCATTTAATTGATTATGTGGCTAGACTGTGACTGTTTAAGGGGTGTAGGCTGTGTCTTAATCGTCTTTGACTTCTCCGAGCTTTGAATGGTGCTGGGCACCTAAAGCACATTTAAGACATTTGCTGATGGATCCCTGTTGCAGAGGATTACCCAAAGAAATGTTTCCTTGGGGTTGGGGTTGGGGTTGGGGGTGGGGGCTAGAGCAACACTTCTGTCCAGCAGCGGCAAAGAGGAGAGGCACACAGCCTCTGGGACAGCCTCTTTCCACCCAGAGGGAGGAAGTCGGGATAGGAGGGTCCCTGGAGGCCTGGTGTCTGAGGCAGGGGTAGCCCAAGGCCCCACAGTGCATAGACTCATCAGGGCCCAGACAGGTCAGACATCTTCAAAGGCCAATTGGGCCAAATCTCAGGCTTAGCCCTACCATCTGTTTCTCCTTAGCTGCAAACTATTGAAGTTCTCCCTGACTTTCTTCTTGTTCCCTGGTGGCAGCAGCCCTATGCAATGAAAAACTCAGGACAGAACGAAAAGGATCACGAGCCAAAAGGCAAAGTCTTCCCTTAAGGAAAATCATTTTTTGATGAAAAGCCTATCTGTGCAGCTAGTCTTGCAATATGAAAAAACAACCAAGGAGAGAGGTGTGCAGGGGTGACATGGCTGAGGTATCCTGGTGGATTCTGGGCTGGAAATAAAACATCCTCCACTCCGAGTACTCAGAAGCTTCTGCCCACCCAACACCTCCAGGAATTCTCCAGACATAAATCAAACAGGCAGGTACCAGGGCAGGAACTGTTGGCTTTAAGAAGTTTCTGCTTCTGCTGGAGAGGGGAAAAGGAGTTGGGAGCTTGCAGAATATCCCAACCCCCATTTTTTTTTTTAAGATTTTCTTTTTTTTTGTTTTTTTAATTTTTATTATTTATTTATGATAGAGAGAGAGAGAGAGAGGCAGAGACACAGGCAGAGGGAGAAGCAGGCTCCATGCACCGGGAGCCTGATGTGGGATTCGATCCCGGGTCTCCAGGATCGCGCCCTGGGCCAAAGGCAGGCGCTAAACCGCTGCGCCACCCAGGGATTCCCCCCAACCCCCATTCTTAGGAAAAACATTTCAAGGAGCCATGAGCAACTTCATGCCTTAAGAGCAAGGAGTAAAGCAAGAGCCCTGTCACTGCCCACAATGTCGAGACTCACTGTTAGACCCATGACTAGACTGGTAAAGAGCCGACCCACCTAGCAGAATAGAGCAAGACACCGAATAAGTCTTCAGACTGGCCAAAGCAAAAAGAAAAAGGACACTTTCAAATATTGACCACATGCATTTGTCAGCCTCCCCGCCTGTGGACCCAGCCCAGATGCCCAGTCCCCCGACCCCCACCCGCCTTTCACTCATGTATGGTACCTTTAAGTGCTTCCTGTAATTGTTGTAGACCACAGCCAGAAAGACGGACATGAAGATGTAGGTATTGATGATGATGTAGGTGATGAAGTACAGAGAGTACCACCGACTGAAGTTATAGGCAGGCATCCTAGAATGAAAGAATGATATTGCATGGTTTTTCATAGCTTAGGTCCCCAGCACATAAAAGGCTGGCCTTAGGTGCCATCCTGGATGGACAATCCACATGCACAAGGCATAGCAAAAACTTCTCTCACTCTCACTGCCCTGCATATGCTGCATCGTTATCCGCTATCCAATGGGGCCACAGAGCCATCACCAGCCCTAACGCTAACTAGCTGACTCAGAACTTGCCTTCTGAATTTCTTAGTGCCTTATAGAGTTGGCAGCTAGGACCCTGGAGATTCCCTGATCCCATTCCCTCCCTTCACAATGAGAAAACTGAAGCCTAGAAAGGACACAGACTTGCCCAGAACTCTCAAAGCAGTGTGGCTTGGGCTTATATTCAAGGCCCTTCAGGGACACCAGGGTGGTCTGCTGGGGGGCCCAATAATTTTCTAGCCACTCTAGGACAGTGAGAAGGAAAGGGGCACCATAATAATAGCACCAGGATGAGAGGCATAAATCAGGATGTGTGCTTACTCCACCTTTAATGGAAATCATATTTTAAATGGGGGGGGGGCACTGGTGGCAGGGTTTGAGGGAAAGATCCAAGAGAACACCCTTGGCCAGAACTGTACCTTGCCTGTGTTTTGTCTGAACCAGGCTCAAGAGTGAGCAACAACCCAGAACAACGTGATGATCCCACATAGAACTAGATGACAAGGATACCTGGGTGGCTCAGTGGTTGAGTGTCTGCCTTTGGCTCAGGACGTGATCCCAGGAACCTGGGATCAAGTCCTGCATCGGGCTCCCCGCAGGAACCTACTTTTCCCTCTGCCTATGTCTCTGCCTCTCTCTCTGTGTCTTTCATGAATAAATAAATAAAATCTTAAAAAAAAAAAAAGGAACTAGATGACAGAAAACCTGCACCTGTCCCAAAGAGCAGTACAGCATGAGTTGGGACTGACATTTGCAGTTAGAGTTCCATAGTGCTGTTTAATAATTTCACTTCCACAAACAGGGCTAATCCATAATACAATGGACATTAGGGGAAAAAAAAACCCACATAATGTCTTCCTCCTAAGTAAAATCCACCTGTGTGGAGAAATTGGCATTTTGGGGAGGAAGGCAACAACTGTGAATCTTTACATTTCTTTCTCGCTTCCTTTAACCAGAAAAGCACACCAATGCTTAGAAGGTCAAGTCATGACTCCTTCATACAGATGTCTTACTACTTAAATTTAAGACTCAAAAAAGTCCCGGAATAGAAAGTGGGCTCAAATATTTAAGAGTTGTGTCTCAAGAAATGTTTCCTGTTGCTTTCAGGTTTTTTTTTTTAATCCCCTAAATTCAGTTTTAAATAAAGAGGGTAGGCTATCATTAGTGTAAACATTTCACATTCCTTGAAAATTTTTATAATGAATATGAATACATAGAAAAATCACTATTTCGCCTTTCTCAGGCCTGCTGGTGTTAGCAGACAGCCGTCTTTAACTAAGTGAAGTCTGTCCTGGTAGCAAATGTCCATGAACGTGAGCTGGGATGGACGTACATGACATCGGGGCTGTTCGCAGTAGTGACCAGCACGTAGAGTTCAAACGCTATCTCCAGGATATCTGTGAAGTAGGGCAAGCCTTCCACTGTTTTAAGACTCCTAAGGAGGAACCAAAAACACAGAGTGAGGAACTCACACACATAAAAAAAGTTGTGGTTTCTGACGCATTTTTCCCCTTTCAAGAGCACTCCTGGAGGGTCTGAATGAGGAAGACTCCTGTGACAAACTCTGCCACCATCAGGCTGAACCCACACAGGAGAGAATTCACAGGCAGAAACTTCCAAAGCAGTGTGCTCACCTAACCCCAAAAAGCTTCAAGGCCATAAGGGAGAAGATTAGCACGCTGAACATAAACAAGAGGAAGACGTAGAGGATATCGGGCAGAGTGTTCCGGATGCTTCTGAAAGTTCTTCGGATCTGTGGAGATCAAATATAATTTCAGGTACAAGAAATCAGCTAATTTTCTGCAAAAACAAAAACAAACCTTTGCATATCCTTAAGGTATATCCTTACCTGACGGCTTTCAGGGAAGTTAATTAGGAAGACTGGCCTTAGGGCCCTGGACCACCGAATGCTGTGGATATTAACAGCTTCCAGGGAACCATAGATAATCAAATCGATTAAGGTCAGCTGTAAGAGACACAGGACAAAACCATCAGTGTCACACTGCTAGAGGACACACACAGGAAGTGACAGTGTGGATGCGCGTTCGCTGACCCAGAAGGAAGGTGACTAATGCAAGTTTCATAAAGAGTATAATTCTAATTTTGTAATAGAAGATTAATAATTGCTGTCATTTGTGTATTTATTATGTGCCATGGAATATAAAAAGCACCTCCCATAATTATTCTCGGTTATCCTTACCACACCTCTGAGGTGGGCACTATCCCTGGATAGAGACCCCTGAGGCACAGAGAGGGTGAGCATGTGGCCCTGGCCACATAGCTAGAAAGGGGCAGAACTGACAGTGGAACCCATGGAGTCTGACATCAGAGCCCATGCAGTTATCTGCACTGTTACATACTTCCACACTACATCCTAATTAACTTTAACTTTTCTTCAATTTGACATATGAAAGAGAGGTTGTGTTGCCTAGCAATAGAGGTAGGAAAATCCAGAACACAGAAAATCCTTACTGATCCTTATTGCCTGGGTTTGTGATCACCTGAGAACAGGGCAAAAGAAGAACCTAATGTGTTCTAGGAAAATGTAAGTAAAAAATAATAATCTACCACCATCAAAGTGTTTGTTGAGCAAGGCACAGAGGCCCCAGTAAGATCCAACACAAGGTGAGAGACAGGACGCAGACATAGGAGGAGGCTAGCTGTGCTGGGTACCGATCAGAGGGAACCCAGTGTGGCTGTCCCAGGGGAGCAGGGACAGGCTCCTGCTCCCTTGGGACAGGCAATAACCAAACATTATGGCATTAGAGAAGGCTACATGGGTAGGCACTCCTTGATGTAATCTTAAAGCAAAGATAGTTTGAAAAGTATAAAACTCAAAAAAGTCAAGAGCCACAGCAATAAGACATAGTAAAGGGACTCTCAGGGAGGAACAGTCCTGGTGTGTCTGGGAAGCAGAGGGCCCTGTGGGGTGCAGTCAGATGAAGCAGGAAGTGATGAGGATTAGTGGCAGGTGGCTTTGAGGGCCAGGCTAAAAGGGTAAGTCTTATTCCCAGGACCTGGAGAATCCTGGAAGTCTTTCAAATGAGGGCATCAAAGGCAAAGGAGTGAGATGCCAGGGAACAGATGATGGACAAACCCAGACAGGGCAAGAGTGCATTCTCATTCGATTCACTCCATCCGTGCATTTACAGAGTGTGTCTTAGTGTAGGGTGTCCTTCTAGTTCTGGAGAGAGAGCAAAGAGCTTAGTGAGCAATGCCTGCCCTCACGAGCGCTCATTCCAGTAAGAAAGAACAGTCCCAATGATAAATATGCTCTGCAGCAGGTGGTAGTCTGTGCTCTGGAGAACACCCAGGTGTGGCAAAGGGCTGAGGGTGCACACAGCAGCCTGAAGCAGCCCCACTGTGCACGGAGGGTGTGGGATGGGGTGGGTGGAAGACACGAGAGGACGAGAGAGCCTGGGCTGTGACAAGGACTTTGGCTTTTCTACAACGTGAGATGGAAGGCATTGGAAGATTCAAAGCAGGGAAGCACTGTGATCTGACTTAAATTTTTAGAGTGCCTATGTGCCCACAGTATCTTAAGCATTGGGCTAGGAGTTTTAGGAGATACAGAGGTACATCAGACCCTGGCCTAGGATGGGGCCAAGCAGCAGATGAGGTTGTGAAAGAACACCCTCTTTTGGGAGGAGATTAGCAGGAGCATCTGCCTCTATCTTATATATTCAGGATTTTTTGGATTGCTCTTTCTTCCAAAAATAACCTCCTTCTCCCACTTCCCCTCTCCATCTTCTGCCATTCTGCATTGGGCAGCATGGATGGCATTGTAGACCAAACCCAAGCCTGTGGTCACAGGTACCCCTCCCAGACTGAGTGTGCCACAAATATTTTAATAAATATTTCTAAAAATAAGAAAAGCACAGATAGGTAGTCTGTATATTCTGAGGGCTCAGCAGATGCGTGAAGGGAGATCAAAACAAATGTTCAGAGCAAGGTGAGAAGAGACCGTGGGTATTTCAGGCACAAGAGCCACCGCAGCCTGAGGAGGGGTCAATGGTACGTGCGTAGGGTGGCAGGTGACTCGGGCTGGCTAGAGTGAAGAGGCCTCTGTGAAAAAATTTGCAGGATTGGGGGCACTGAATTGTCTGGTGGAGCTCACAGACATTTTTCAGTGTGAGAGGGAAATGATCGACGATGTGCTTCTGGAGAATTAATCCAGCTGCGGTATCTCAAACGGATGTATCAGCCGGGGAACTGAGGTTGAGGTGACCGTGGCAGTTCCCAAAAGGGGTGGCCAGGGCCTGGACCACATTGTGGGAACAGAATGGCATGCAACAAAGAGACAATGTGTGGCTACATCAGAGACTACTGCAATAGTCCAAGCAGGGAGGATGGACACGGGGCAAGAGGTGTTGTGAGGGTCTCTGAGGAGGCCAAATGCAAGAAAGAAAAGGGAATCTTGACTAAGAGGATTAGGAACTGGGTGTTGGGACCTAAGGCACAAACAGCTAGGGGAGCGCTGGAGTCAAAGACAGTGGGTCTCATCCCACTAGGTTTGTGTTGACACGCAGATGTAGAAACTGCTAGCAAGCAGTTGGCCACAGACAAAAGAAACTCGGAGGCGAAATGGGTAACAGCTATAGCATGGTGACCCCTACCTATCAGTGTTTGTGGAAGCTCTGAGAACAGATGGCTTAGAGGCCTGCAGCCTGAGCCAGGGGTTAATTGGAAAGAACCATGGTTCAGGCAGGCTGGCTGCTTTGCCATATGCTAACTCTCAAGTACCTTTATCTAATCACCGAAGGGGCCTCCCTGGGGATTACGTACAGCCCCTCTGGGCATAGCTGCCTAGCGTATATCCTCCCAGATTGCCCTGTGAATGTTGTACACCTTCTCTCCTTTTTCTTCTTAACCAAGATGAGATTCAGCTCTATTGTAACTTGTTCTTTTGACCTAATGAATGATAAGCACCTCCCCTTGGGAACAGACACAGGATGTTACTTCAGCACTATTTTAAAGGGCTGAATGGATGTGTCACCTTTTCTTTAGCATGTATCTGTCAGGAAATGGAGTTGTTTCCAATTTTTCGGTATTATGAACAGTTCAGCCATGACCACTCTTGTGGCTATATCTTTGAACACATCCTCCTTTCCTAAATTCCCAGGAATGGAATACACATTGAAGGCTTCTGAAAGGAACTGCAGAACAGCCTTCCAGAAAGACAGCTTATTCGTCCCTTCAGTAGAGGGTAAGAGGTTCTTTTTTCTCGCAGTTTTGCTCACACCACTTCATAGACAAACACATGGTGTTTTAATTGCTGTCTTAATATATTTTTCTTAAGTAATGAAATTATACATCTTTTTCATATTTACCATTATTTACTTTTTCTTCTACAAGATGCCTTCCTCTATTTTCAGCATTATTGGAGTTTCTTTTTTCCCCCCCTCAATTTGGAAGTGCTCTTGTTACCTTCAAATACAGCATTCACACTGTCATATTTTGCCTTATTTGCTTCACAGTTGGGGTTCACTTGTACTTGTGCTAGTGGTGTTTGCTGTGCCAAAGTCTGTCACTGTTGCTTTAACCAAGTCAAATCTACTCCACCTTTTCTCTTCATAGTTTCTGCCTTTGATCACAAACTCTTCAGGGCACTATAATGATCACTCACCACTATGGTTACCATGATGCAGATGTTTTTCGTATCCTTCCAGAAAACCATCTGGGGAGTGACTTTTGCAAAATGTACAAGTCTCCCAAAGAACGCAGTCAGACAGAGCACTTCTGCTATTGAGGTAGCCTGCATGCAGAAAACGGAGAAGAAACACAGCCCCCAGCCATGGGGAGTTTCAGCTTTAGCTCTCTTGTAACTGCCCCACACCCCAGCCACCTTGATGCCACCCTCTGAGAATCAGCCGTGTCCCTTAATCCCACTGACGGTTGCAGTCAAATTCTTTGCTGGTTGGGATGGTTTCTTACTCTTAAAAGGAAACCTGCCCTTGAGCCATGAATCCCATGACCCAACAGGCAGGGCTTCCTGGGAGGGGCTTAATCAGTAGGCAAGGGACTCAGAAGGCATTTCCCCAGAAAAAGGAGGCCAGGGACGATAGAAACAGCCATGTTCTGTGCTCTCCAATCCCCATGCTCATATTTAGAGTAGGCATCTAGACATTCAGCTTTTCTAATACTAGAGTACTCCCCAAAGATGGGATTTGAAATATGGGTCGTTCTTAGCCATCTCTGCCACTGCTGCCCTCTGCCTGTGTGTGGTTGGTTAGAGCAAACAACAGAGGCCATTGAGCCCCAGTGTCAAGTCCTCACTGTCTCCTCCATAGGTTACGGGACACCAGCTCCAAAATCCCTACAGCCAGCCAGATGGGCAGCCTGTAACCGCAGCCCATGTTGTCTTGTGATTGCCTTGAGGCAGTAAGTCCTCCCTAGCCAGGGCAATTATCTCCATCACGGGGAGAGGAGGGTGGCACAGCAGGAAGAGATAGGGAAAGGGCAATCTGGCAGAGACTGGGAAGACAGAAAGGTCTGGGGTGAGGGCTGGAGGAATGGATTCCCTAAGGGACAAGAAGAAAGGGGCAGACTCTGGGCCAGTACAGCTCCACTTTGTCCAACTCTGTGTTTGATAGTCACTGGGCTACAAGTTTTCTATTCAGAGATTCCATCAATTGTGGCATCTTAATCATATGGAAGTGGGTTACACCATCACTTTGGTGGCCCTGCATGAACCATGCTTCCAGTTTTCAGCCCTCTGAGTGAGGGTCCTCCCGTGGTGACTCAGGACTCCAGTATCTGAGAGGCTTTAGCCAACAAGAACATCAGTAAGTGTGATGCAGACCCAGTCAGTCCTTCCCTAGCAAGGCCCGCTCTGGACTCAATGAGCCTTCCCTGGGGTTGTCTTCTCAGCCCCTTGCCTCTCTTGCCGAGGCCTCACCCTTCTGTTTGTTAGTGGTTACGCACAGCTTTGGGCTGCCTGAGCTCAGAGTGCTTGTAGACCACGATGCTCCTTCTTGGATTCCCCCCTACCCACCCCCCACCCCCACCGCCAAGAGAAGCCTAAGCCACATGCAGCAGCTGTGCAAAAGAGAGCAGGTCACTCTGGGCCACCACTCTACCCAGGCAAGCTCCCAGCTGATGGCCAGCAGCACCTGTCAGCTGCCTGCAATCAACAGAGCTTCCAGTTATCCACCACCCCAGCTAATAATACACGAACAGAAAACCTGCCCACTTAGGCCCAGTTACCCACAGAATCATGGGAGGCAATAAAAGTCTGCTCTTTAGGGCTAGATGTCAATGAACTTTATCTGTTAAAGGACCAGACAGTAAATATTCTGGGCTTTACAAGTCCTTCTGTCTCTGTTATAACTACTCTCAGAGGCAGGACAGCACCAAGTCGGGAATTAACATGAGTAGATCATCAATTTATCGCTTAGACTGATTTAGAATAGTTGGTTAATTTGATGTATTACTCAAAATCATATGTGATCAGCTACTAACCACCAATAAATACTCTAGTGATTTAGGACTATGGAAAAAGCTGGAAATGTGACAAGCACAAGAAGTTGCATATTCCACCATATCATGACATTATCTACTTGCCACTTAATAGATATGTTTTGAAAATATAATTTGTCTGGGGCCCCTGGGTAGTTCAGTCGGTTAAGTGTTTGCCTTCAGCTCAGGTCATGATCCCAGAGTCCTGGGATCGAGCCCCATGCTGGGCTCCCCGCTCAGCAGGGAGTCTGCTTCTCCTTCTCCCTCTGCCTGCTGCTCCACCTCCCCCTTTTTTAAAAATTTAAATAAAAATTTTAAAAAATAGAAAATATCATATGTCTATCCAATTTAACTTCTACTCCTTTGAAAATGCCCTATGACTGAAGCATCAGCTCAATGGGTAGGGAGAATTATTCCAGTCCCCAGCAATAAAAATAAAACCATGTTCATATTTATTGGAATCGGGGCGGGAAGGGGGGATGAAGAGGAATGGGACCCAGCTCAGCAATGGCAAAGTCTGGGTAGCCATTTTGCTCTTAATGCTTACCAAGAAAGGCAGTGGAAACAGCGCAGGTTCTTCAAACAGAGCGAGAGAAAGGTCTACACAAATAAAGAAGTAGATGGCTACTTGCATTGTCCAGTGGTTATAAAAATAGTAAAGTCTGAAGACGAAAAGAATAAAGATGTTTATAATCAAGGAGCAGGAATTGAACAGCATTCAAACTTCCCACGAAGACTTGGTAGATAAAATACAAACTATGGCTCTGGCCACATTTCCTTTAAATTCTAGGGAGCAAGGGACAGTGCTGCATTGAGCACACATTACAAAACACTAACAGAAAAAAAATCAACATATTATCATCTCTCATAGCACAGTCTCTTAACAGTCTCGAGCTAGGATTAGTACCTTCCTTATGGTGACTGTGACAATAATAAGAGAATACTTTTAGAGGACTTTGAACAGTGACCAGTACAGAGCAAACCCTCAGTTAAAGTGACCTATCATTATGCGGCATGGTAGCCTAACCAATTTTAAAATGTGCATCATCCCATCTCAACATGATAGACTCAGAGAGATCTCGAAGTCACACAGTTCTCTTCCTGGGGGTGGGGGACAGTCCCCCCAAACTGCTCGAAGCTTCCAGGAATGAAGTGTTCATTGCTTTTGGAGGCACTGGAGCTGAGCCCTGATGATAAGAAATGTTTTATTTTGAGCCAAATCTTTGCTCTTAGTTCAACCTTTAGGGGTGAGAGAGAAAAGGTGCAATTCTTATGAAAAGAACAAATGTATGGATTACGTCCCAAGGGAACAGAAAAAAAAAAAAGAATAAATCTTTTCATTTAGATGGCTCTAAGAGGACAAACCATGTCTAAGAGGAAAAGATGGTAGGTGTTTTACTTTGGATGTCCTATCTCCTGTTCTGGATGTTCTCATTTACTCATTTATCTGTCTTTAATGTATTTATTGAATGCTTTTCTGTGTGTGAGGCATCATGCTCTTATAACTTAAAAAAACAAACTTGAAATTTTAGGATTCTATCCAAATCTATGTGCCTTACCCTAGAGACCTCTCAAAATGTTTGTGTATACAACGTCTTCTGTCTTCTGTTTGGGTTTCACTTCAAGTAGTAAAGGACAGTTTGCTCTATGTGACAGTTTAACACTTTAATTACCTGATGGCCCGAGGAGATGTTTCAAATGGAACATTTCTGTTGTACTGGGCATCAGAAACATAAGCAGCTGCTAAGAGAAGGTCCTCGTCCTCCGTGGGAGAAAGTAAGGAGAGAATATTAGTCAGAATAGGAAAGGACACTTCTCTTTTTCATACGTAAGTACAAAAAGAAACTCGACCCCCATCTCCCTCCCATCCCACTCTTGCCAGAGGTAATCAAGCACTGGAACCCTGCAGTGAGGCTGGACACAGGCATGCTTAACATTCTTGAATTCAAAAATAGGCTCTCAGAGGAGGAAGAAATGAAAACAAGAAAGCACCAAATAGTATACATGTGCTTAAGTGGTATATTCATACAAACATATATAGAGCTACACACACCCATATATAGAAACACTAAGTTATATTTAGGGTACTTGATGGGTGATTAGAGTTGTTTTTGTTTGTTTGTTTGTTTGTTTTTTATTCATAGAGACACAGAGAGAGAGAGGCAAAGACACAGGCAGAGGGAGAAGCAGGCTTCATGCAGGGAGCCTGACATGGGACTCCATCCCGGGTCTCCAGGATCACACCCCGGGCTGCAGGCGGCACTAAACCACTGAGCCACCAGGGCTGCCTGATTAGACTGTTTTTCAAGGGTAATTTTGACACATGCATTATTGCCTTGCTTGATGAGTTTTGAAGCTAACTTCTTCTTAAGGTACGACCCCACTCTATACATACACATAATTTAAAAATAATAAAATTTTCTTCGTATGATACAATATATTCTGGACATTTTTTTTTCATGACAGCACATATAGACCTACCCCATTCTTTTTTAACAAATGCTTGTTCCTTTGTAGCAGTGGCTCCCTTTTTTTTCTATTTTGAACACAATTACATTGAATATTTAAAAATACATATTACACACATGCATATCTTTATGCCATATGAATGTTTTTGTGGGATTGAGTTGAACTTGTGAATGAAAGGTATTTGCATTTTTTATTTTGATAGATACTACCAAATTGTTCCCCCCAAAGTTACAGCTTTGATATAACTCTAAATGGTACATGAGCATCATGTTTTCTTGCTTCTCACCAACATTCATAGAGTTGAAAATGATTTATAATCAATCAGCCAAAGGAGCATCTTGAGATCTGACTTTACATCTCCTCATGACCAGTACAGTTGAGCCCCATTTGTGATGACTCACACTTCTGATTCTGTATAAATAAGATTTAAAAAACCACACACACACGCAGACTAGCTATTTAGACCATCCTATGTACTTCAGGAGAGAAACAATCTGATTATCTATTCAATTACCGGAGTTACCTCCTCAAAACATAGACCATATTCCTGTCTGAGTTGGAATCGAAATCCATCGCTGCTCAAGCAAGTCAATTTTGCAAACACATCTAGTATTCAGACAGGTCAAAGGATTTGAAACTTTATACAAATATATAAAAATACATATTTGTAGGGGCACCTGGGTGGCTCAGTGGTTGAGCATCGACCTTTGGCTCAGGTCATGATCCCAGGGTCTGGGGATCAAGTTCCGCATTGGGTTCCCCACAGAGAGCCTGCTTCTCCCTCTGTCTATGTCTAAGCCTCTTTCTCTCTGTGTCTCCCATAAATAAATAAATAAAATCATTTTTAAAATTTAAAATAAAAAATACATACTTGTAGACACAGTAGAACTGCATTTCCTAAATTTATTTCATATTGCAACACTTTAAAAAAAAGTAAATTATATTGCATTAAAAATCACAAACATCAGTTAATTACTAAGATATGTCTTTTAACAGATCTTTCACTAAAGATATATGTTTACATGGCAAATAAGCACATGAAAAGATGCTCAATATCATTAGTCATTAGGGAAATACATATTTAAACCACAATGAGATACCACTTCATATTGAGTACAATGACTAAAACTAAAGACTGACCACACCAAGTGTTGCCAAGGTTGTGAAGCAACTAGAACTCGCACACATTGTTGGTAGGATTGGACAATGGTGCATTTACTTTGGAAAACAGTTTGGTGGCTTCTTGGCCTTTCCAGTTCCCAAGTATTTACCAAAGAGAGAGAAAGAAAGCATAGATCTATACGAAGACTTTACATTCAATCCAAAAATGTGGCTTATGTTAGAACATCATTCCAAAGACGTAAACAAATGTTCATAGCAGCTTAGTAGTCAAAAACCAGAAGCAAATGTCCACAAAGAGGTGTATGGATAAACAAATGTGGTGTATGTGTACTATGAAAGTTTACTCAGCAATAAAAGGGAATGAATTACTGATAAACACAACCAAATGGATGAATCTCAAAATAATTTTGCTGAGTGAAAGAAGCTAACTCCTGTCCCCCACCAAAAGTACCTACTATATATGAGTATATAAAACCCTAGTATATGAAAAAAAAAAAAAACAAAAAAACCCTAGTATATGCAAACTAATCTATAGTGGCAGAAACCAGATAAGTTGCCTGGGGACAGGGAGAAAGGGATGGGAAAAGGGATGGGCTGGAAACAGCCATGAGGAAATTTGTAGGTGTGACAGATATGTCCATTACCTTGAGTGTGGTATTAATATCACAAGTTTACTCATATACCAAGACTCATCAAACTGCACACTTTAAATAAGTGTAGTTTATATCAATTATAGTTCAATAAAACTGTTAAAAATTGGCCAAAAAAGAAAGATAAACATTTTGATTAAAAATAGATGTGGAGCAACAATCTCAAAGATGAATTAACTGTTATAAGAATGAACCCATCACCTCTTGAGTTATATGCCATCTCAGAGCTGGTATAACAATCCTTAAAGGCAGATTATTAAAAACTAAGAAGCACTAGGGCACCTGGGTGACTCATTTGTTTAAGCATCTGACTCTTGAGTTTGGCTCAGGTCACGGTCTCAGGATCATGGGATGGAGCCCCTCATTGGGCTCCGCACTCAGTGCAGAGTCTGCTTGAGATTCCCCCTCTCCCTCTGCCCCTCCTCCTCGATTGTGCTCCAAATAAATAAATAAATAAATAAAATCTTTAAAAACTAAGAGGCACCATATAAATGTGCTAAACACTTGTCACACATTTTTCTTTTACATATCTAAAAAATATTTCAGTAGGCAATCTATTAATACCAAGTATTTTTCCATTGAACATCCCAAACACTGAGGAACACTAGAGCTCGCCAGGATATACTTAGAAATCTGTTTTAGGTAGAAAATGGCTAGTATCAACAAGAGCTTTTTTTTTTTTTTTAATGAACGCACACTAATTTTTAAAAAATGCTCACCAGCAATTCCTTGGCGAGCCATACCCTGGGGGTTAGGACATCACCTCAGACATCACCAGGCTCCCCATACTGAATGATATAAGCACCATGGCACCTCTTCCAACTCCCTACTTGCCATCTGAACTCATGCCTGTTATGTTCAAATATGCTGATATTTTCAACCACAGCAATACCTTTGCAATGTTTCCAAGCTTTCCCATTCTTAGCTATTCCATTTTTGACACCTGTCTCTTTTAAAATCTCATCTACTCTGTCTTCTGCTTCTACTTTCTTCCCTCTCTCCATCCTATTTGTTTGCAACTTCTAAGGTGCCTGCCCCTCTTTGCATGGGAAGAAGTTCTCTCAACAAGCAAACTTACTGTAATGAGCTTTCTCACTAGTACTAAGGCCATTTGGATCTCCCCATAAAACAAATCATTTTCATCCAACTCAAGAATGTGGCTTGTGTTAGACATGCTGTTTCAAAATTGCATACTTCAAGTTTCCAAGCGAACCACTGCCTGTGTCTTACCATGAAAACAAGCAAAGACTGAAAAGCAGTATTCCTCCAGATGTAGCTTATAGATGGCTCTGCACCTCAAAATAGTTGCCCTGGCCCTGAGGATGCACCAATGTCTGCCTGGGTAGCAGTTCTGAACTCCCACAGCACATACCACCACCTCCAAAGCTTTGTTCCAAAAGATCCCGTTGCCCAGACCAACTGCATCAGAACCTCAAGGAAGTGAGACCCAGGATGAATCTGTGAAGTTCCCAACATGCAGGTAAGATGGAAAATCACTGGTCTCAATATGTCCTTTTTGCTACTGCTTCTTGTATGATTTGTTTTTTGTTTTTTATTTTTTTAAAGATTTTATTTATTTATTCATGAGACACACACACACACACACACACACACACACACAGGCAGAGACATAGGCAGAGGAGGAAGCAGGCCCCATGCAGGGAGCCTGACGTGGGACTTGATCCCAGGTCTCCAGGGTCATGTCCTGGGCTGAAGGCAGCGCTAAACCCCTGAGCCACCTGGGCTCCCTTGTTTTTTGTTTTTTAAATATTTTATTTATTTATTCATCAGAGAGAGAGAGAGAGAGAGAGAGAGAAAGAGAGGCAGAGACACAGGCAGAGGGAGAAGCAGGCTCCATGCAGGGAGCCCAACATGGGACTTGATCCTGGGTCTCCAGGATCACGCTAAACTGCTGAGCCACCCAGGCTGCCCAGCTTCTTGTATGCTTTGTATTCTCATGGCACTAGGGCAATAACTGACTTCTCTGGATTTTCCTTCTCTCCTCTTCTAGCTGGGACATTTTCTTTCCTCTCCCCAAGATTGGAAAATGTATTTAAGATTTTTGGGTTTTTCTCCTCCAACCTGCTCAATCCTGGGAAACTTCATTCTGAGGAAAGGTGAATAACTTAGAATTCCGTAAGCACAGCAGGGGAGGGAATGATCATTTCGAGAAGCCTTAGTAGTGAGCTAGGAACTTCCCCAAAGTCCCCAGTGTAGGAACAAACAATGGGAAGCTCCAGACACCTTTAAGTCAGACAAGAACCTTGACAAAGTTGTGGATAGAAGGGCTTTGAAAAAAAGCCAGTGTGTTTTGTTTCGATATATAAGAAAATTAACCTAACTAACCATAAGCTAAGGTAAAAAGAAGTTACCATAAATGTTAAGGAATATTCTCTCCCATCTCAGTTTTTCCCTCTACCAGTATATCTTCAGTCTGTGTCATCCTGCCTCCCTTCCTTCCCCCCACTGGTTATGGGCACACTGATGCCTGGAATGGAGCTGATCCCTGCTTTCCCACGCAACCTCCATTCAAAAGCTTCTAGTGAATTCTCTTTGCCAGGAGTGCCTGAAGAATCAAATGTAAAACTCCTGGCTTGGCATTGAGGGATTCCACGATCTCCCCTCTCTCCAACTTTGTCTCCCTTATTTCCCTCTGTAGCCTCTTCTCCAGCCAAAACTAGGGCATGCATTGTCCACTGTCCCATCGCTAACCCCACTTCCATGCCTGATCTCTTGCTCACCTAAAACCTGGAGTACCCTTTCTAGAACTTTCCTTCATTGGGGGCCCACATCAAATCTCACTTCCTCCGTGAAGACTGGCAATACCAGCAGCTTCCAAATCCAAAAGGAAAGACTGCCAAAAGAAGCTGGAGTTATAAAGTATACTGTGGGCATTTCACATAAAAAAAAAAAAAAAAGCTAGCTGCTAAGGGTAAGCTGGGGCATAGCAGCCATGGTGAGACAGTGAGAGAACAGGTGGCAGTTAACTGTTAGTATGAACACCTCATGTCCCTCTGTGCAGAGAGACCAACAACCTGCAGGCCAAGGGCAGCCTAAAGATATGTTTTGTTTGGCCCTGAGAGTGCTTTATGGATGCTGGCTACTAATACAAATTTTTTAAAAAACTGGAGCTTACACAAAAATGTGAAACTTCTGGTTTCTCTTTGAAAGGTCATAACATCTGGTAATGCTGAGTCCTGTTTCAATATGCTTTTGCTACCCACCCTGATATTCAGGTCACCTGAATAAACAATCATTATTTTTTTCAAATTCTGTGGGTCAGCCAAGCAGTCCTTCTGGTCTAGGCCAACGTAACTGATCTGTGTGGTCATCTGGAGGAGATGGCCTGGGACAGCAGCACTCACATGTCTTGGCCATGTGTACCATGCGGGCTAGCCAGGGGTCTTCCAGATGCTGGTGGTCAAAAGGTTCCAAGAAGCATCAGGAGAGTAAGGACCAATGCTCGAGTATTTTTCATGTCTCTGCTTGTGTCACATTGGCTAACGTCCCACTGGCCAAAGCAAGTCTCATGGTCGGGGGTCTCAAGGGCTAGAGAAATTGACTCCATCTCCTGATGTAAAGAATTGCAAATGAGGTTGTAGCCAGGATGGGAAGAGTCTGTGGCCATTTTTGCAATCTGTGATAGCCCCTGTAGCTATAACCAACTGGAGGTGGATAACCAAGGTCTTCTTCAGGCAAAAGACATGCCCTCTATGTCACCACAAGCCCCACTTTCCTCTCCAGCTGAATCATTCTCACCTAGGCCACTGGTTTTATGCCCCTCCCTGGCCCCTGTGGGCACTTCAGCTTATGACCACCTGATTTTTAAAATTTATTTATTAATTAGAGACAGAGAGAGGCAAAGACATAGGCAGAAGGAGAAGCAGGCTGCCCGCCAGGAGCCCAAATCAGGACTCCATCCCAGAACCTTGGAATCACGACCTGAGCCAAAGGCAGATAGATGCTCAGCCACTGAGGTGTCCCTGACTACCGGATTTAACCAATACTCTCCCAAGCCTTCCTGGTTACTCCATTTTCCTCTTGCAAAAAACTTCTCTGCAAATCACTATAAGGGAACACTAGGAGACCAAAAGCCCTGAAGACAGGTAATCTAAGACTTGAATGAAAAGTTTTAAGAATAAGAACATTCAAAGAGAAGCACAGAAATATCAAGAGGTAATCACATATAGATCACAAAGTAACAGCATACAGGACATGGGCTCTCAGCCTCTGCTGCACTTTCAATACTTGGTAGCTTTAAAGTTACTGTTACCCAGGCCACACTCAGACCAATTAAATCAGAATCTCTGGGGTAGGGCCCAAACCCAGATACATTTCTCAAAACTCTCCAGGGAATTCTAAAGAACAGTAAGGCTGAGAATCACTAGCATTGGGTTATTTCAATTTCAAAGCCGAAAGTGTTGGTCAAAGGAGTGGATTGCCATCTTAGAATCTTCCCAAAGAAACACCAGGCAGAAAAAGGTTCTAAAAAACTGCTTGAAAGGAGAGGGTGGATATGCATTTCAGATGACTAGGTAGTTTTTTATTAAGCGACCCAAACAAACCATGTCATGGTAGCTACCAAGTGTCTCAGGTCAGAGCCTTGCTTGGCTCAATGACTCAGTCATCACAGTTATCTCAGAAAATGGGGGATTCTGCTAGAATTACCAGTTGGTACCAGGCTCCTCACTTTTTATGCCTGTCCCCCAGGGAGCAGTCTTTGAAAGATGTTGAGACATAAGTATGTGATTCCTGCATGTGCGCATTAAGCCAAAAGCCTCACCCAGGACTTAATCAAGAACTCTGGGCTATTTTCAACCCTTCTTGCATTTTTTGAGGTCTCAAGTTATTATTAGTTTCTTACATTCTTCTCTTATTTAGACAAAGAAACATTACACAGAAGGAGGACAGTGACAATCTCAATCTAAAAAGATGTTCTTGTCACAGAACACTCTGGTGATCACAGGTCCGTGGCTGTGCAGTACGAAGAGAGCACAGCCTGGGTTGGGTCAGAGCTAGAGACCAAGAATCCTTCCCCTCCTCTCTCTCCATGACCTGCTTTCCTCTCCCCTAAGGAGACATAGTAGAATTCGCCTGTTGGAAGTGGCCAGGCCTCTTTGAGAGACCAGCAGACCAAAGAGGGAGGCCAATGCACCGGGCAGGGCTTTTCAACCCTACACAAGGAGCCAGCAGGCTACAGGGAGCCCTCCGAGAAGAGGCAGGAGCGATACCTGAAAGGCCAGAGCTGAAGAAGCCAGCTCAAGAAGGAGAGGAAGAGGGGAGTAAGGCACCCTTCACCTCCCACACGCTTGCACAACCCGAAGGAAATGAGGCACACATGAACGTTCCCAGCCGCCTGAAGCCTGGCTGTCATTACACTGTGTGCCAGGCACTGTGCCCTGGGCCTGACAGGTCCTCAGACTCCTCTAAGGGGATGTGACTTATCATCTCCACCTTACAGCTGGGCACACCAGAGGCTCCACCAGGTAATGGGCCCCCTCATCCTGTAATTCACAGTTAGGATTTTTCTGGATCAGAGCTGGGGCTCCAACGACTGGAGTTCTGGCTCCCTCTGCACTCTTGAGTTTTCTTATTCAGCGAGAGGAAACAGCCCAGGAACGGTTTGCTGGGAAGCTCCACGTCTTCCAAAGTGCAGAGCTGAGCCCAGCGGCTTCGTCCCGCGGGGATCAGAAGAGCCGGGGCTGCATCAGCAACTCCCAGCCCCACATCCTGCAGCCTTCTTCCCGGGCGTTTCCTGCAAGGGGGCCCTCGGATGTTTTTCTGCCGCCATGGAGCGCAGTGCGGCGAGCACGGGCCACCCGCACCCGGGGAGCGCAGGGGCGCGCGCTGTCTTGGCACCGGAGCCCCGGCGCGGGCTTGGGGCGCGGGTTCAGCTCGGCCGCCGCCCGGGGGAGGCGGCGCGGACCCGAAGCCGCCCCACGGACTCCGGCGCGCAGGGCTGCGGCCCGGGCATCCGGGGCATCCCGGGGCATCCCGGGGCGCGGATGCCGAGAGCTCCCAACGCCTGCGCGCTTCCCAGCGGAGCGGCCCGGCGCCAGGGCTCCCGCGGCCCCGAGGACGAACTCGGCCGGGGCGGGCGGTCTCGTGCCTGCGCCCTGCGCCCCCGCAGCCCGCGCGGACCTAGCGCGGGGTCCGGGGCTGGAGACCCGCGGTCGGCGCGCGCCGCCAGCGCTCGGGGCTCCCCGCGAGCCCGGCGGCTTCGCCCGCTTACCTCCCGGGCGGGCGGCTCCTCGGGGCGCCGCGGGCGCAGGCGGCGCACCCCCGCGGCTCGGCCGGCCCCGGGCATCTGGGCGGCGGCGCGGGGGCCCGGGATGCGCGAGCGTCGGGGCCGCGGCGGACTCTGTCCTCGGCCGGGAGGCCCGCGCTGGGCGCTGCGCTCGGCCCTTCACGTGACCACGGCGGGGCCGGCCGCGGGGCCCGAGGGGGGAGGACCGGCGGCGGCGGGCGCGGCGGGCGCGGCGGGCTCGGAGCTCCGGGGCCGGGGGCGGGGGGGCGGAGCGGCGGCGGGGGCGGGGCGGGGGCGGGGGCGGGCCGCCGACGGGTTGGGAGGCCACCCCGGCTTAAAGCCCCGGCCGTGGAAGCACCAATGAAATAGTCGTTTTAGAATTAAATGGGTTAATACATATAGATTCAGTGGCTGGCCGTGGCGAGGCCCCGGTGAATTCCCCTCCCCGTCCTAGCGGAGCCTCCTAAGGCAGATACCTTTGGAGAAGGGGCGCGGACCCTCCTCCCTTCCCCCATTGTCCCCATTTCCAGCTTGGCCTGGAACTCAGGGTTGCCAGAACTGATGAATTTTCCAGAGAAAGCAAAAATGTAGATTTTTCCTGAGACCGATTCTGATTTTTTAAAATGCTGATCATGCATTTATTATAACAGTGAGTATAAAATACTGGAGGCCAATTCTGAAATGAGCCTTGGCCAACAGGGTAGATGGCCAACAGGTCCCTGGCTCAATACCAACCAACTTCACTGACACTTTCCAGAGAGGGAGGAGGCCTGGCAGGGCTGGGACTGGCCCTGGTCACCCAGCAGGAAGCATGGTGGTTCATCAGGACTCTGTGCTAGGTATTGACGACTTCCAAGGTCCAACTCCAGAACTGTAGCAAGCAGAATCACTTCTACCCTCCACCAAAAGATTCCACTTCCTGATTCCTAGGACTGTGAATCTGTTTCTTTTACTCCTCAAGAGAGATTTTGAACATGTAATTTAGGTCACTCATCAGTTGATCTTAAAATACAGAGATTATGGGCAGGTTGGGTGGCTCAGCGGTTTAGCGTGCCTTCAGCCTAAGGCCTGATCCTGGAGACCCGGGATCGAGTCCCACATGGGGCTCCCTGCATGGAGCCTGCTTCTCCCTCTGCCTGTGTCTCTGCCTCTCTCTCTCCCTGTGTCTCTCATGAATAAATAAATAAAATCTTAAAAAAAAAAAACCACAGAGATTATCCTGGATTATCTAGGTTGGCCCAATGGAATCACATGAGCCCTTAAAAGCATCAGACAGAGAAAAGCAGAGGGGGAGGTGAGAGATTAAAAGTCCAGGAAGGGTTCAATGTGCCTGGCCAGGATGCTACTGCCTTTAAGATAGATGAGAACTGCAAGAAACTGAATTCAGCCAACAATCTGAATGAACCTGGAAGCAAATTCTCCCCCCATCAGCCTCCAGAAACACAGCCCTGCCCACACCTTTACATCAGGCACCTGAGACTCAGGGCATAGAGTCCAGCCATGCCTTGCTGGACATCTGACCTATAGACTATGAAATAATAAAAGGATGTTGTTTTAAACCTCTAAATTTGTGGCAATTTGCTACACAGCAATAGGAAATGAATACAGGACACCAGCCTGCCTTTCAACACCAGAGTTGAGTTCTAGCCAGGAGGCTGGCCTGCTATGAGAATACCATGTGGCCCCAGCTACTTCATGGGCATGTTAGGCACTGCATTTGCCGCCACCCACCTCCTCTGATTATTCCCACATAACTCTAATATAACCCCTACAAATCCTTCTCCACTTCTCCCAGTCAGTGGATTGCTTCCTCTCTGTCGTCCCATGCTCTTCATGAAAACCACCACATGGTGCCTTAGTTCTTCTATTTGCTATATGCTGTCCCACCTTACTAGGACATAAGTTGCCAGTGGAGGAAAAAGCAGGAAACTTTCATCTTTGAATCCCCATCTCCTGAGTAGACATATGGTAAGTAGGTGAAATGGCAAAGCAGAATTCATACCAGCTTGTAGCCAATGACCCATGTCTGCAGTATGTCTGAAATAATTCTTATAATGTTTATTGTGAAAATCACCTAAAACTCTGCATGCCCTTGAGAAAAGACAGTTATCCAATTTCTAGCCCATGTGGTGACTTATGGAATGGTTGTCTTATGGCAGGTCTTTTAAAATTGATTTTTTTTTTGTAAAGTGTAAATGTATTCATTCATTGTAAAGAGTTGAAACAATGAATCAAAGATAACCACTATTAGTCAGTTGTGGTGACATTCTTCTCTACATCTTTCTTTACCTGCACACACTTGAATGCAGTTCTATGCAAATGAGATTACTCCTACCCTGCAAACACTGCTGACCCCCTGACCTACTGTTCACACCTTGCCCACCCAAGAACCCAGACTCGGTCAGGCCTCCACTTCATCTCCCGCTAGGGAATGATCCTGCTTGGCTTAGGCCAATCTATACAGTTATGCCTCTGTAGTGGCTAGCCCTGGCTAAAAAGAAGTTAGGGCCCATAGGAAGAGGCTTCTTTCTCTTCCCTCCCCTTGTCCTATGAATGCAAAGGTAAAAAACATGTATTCCCAACAGCCACTGGCAAGCATCTTGCCACCAGTCTCAGCTGAAGATGATGCTGCAGACGGCACAGCAGAGAGATGCAAGCAGCCAGGTCTCTGATGGCCTCATGGAAAGACTACTTTTTGGAACCTTCCTCCCCTGAACCATCTGACCTTTAAACTTAGAATTATGTGAGCTATATTATACAGCCCAGGAGACAGAATGAAGTTGGTCTATATGGCTGATAGGAAAAAAAAAATCTACAAGATATTAAATGGGGGAGGAGGGATCTTTTGTATAAATTTTGTAAAGGTCGTGTTTACTTATATTTTCTGATAAACAAATAAAATATGTTCCTGGGAGGATACATAAGTAAATTGTCATCAGTGCTTTCCTTTGAGCACACAGCAGGGAGTAGGAGCTTGAAGGGAGAGATAAATTTTTCCCTCTTACACTTTCCTACAAGGTTTCATTTTTAACTATTTTACTTTCATATGTTTGTATATAGTAAAATCAACAGAGATGGAGGGATGGAGCTTAAATGGCAATTTTGTCTATTTAATGAAAGATTTTGTCTATTTTGTAATGGAAAAAAATTAAAAGTCTGGTAACCGTGCCTGAGAATGTCTGTTCCTGGCAGCATCTCTGCTGGTGGGGAGAATGTACATTTGCAGGGAAAGAATGAAACATATTTAGAAAGCACAGCTTTTAGACACCAGTTACCAAAAAGCGCACCCCATAACAGTACCTCTGGGATACTGTGTAAGTTTGCTAGGGTTGCCATAACAAAATACCACAGACTGGGGGGCTTACACCACAGAAATTTGCGTTCTCACAGTTCTTCAGACTAGAAGTCAAGATCAGGGTGTTGGAGGGTTGGTTTCATCTGAGGCCTCTCTCCTTGGCTTGTAGATGGCCACTTTCTCCCTGTGTCCCCACATGGTCTTTCTTCTGTGTGCTTCTGTATCTAGATTTCTGCTTCATCTAAAGACAGCAGTCTTATTGGATTAGGACCTTCACGCATGACCTCACATTAACTTCATTATCTTTGTAAAGATCCTACCTCCAATAGGGTCACATTCTGAAATGCTGGGGGGCTAGGACTTCAACATACGAATCTGGTCATGGGGAAGGGGCACAATGAAGCCTGTAACAGGTACTAATTCCCATATCCTCACTTTGGAACCAAGGAAACAAGCCCAGAAAGGATAATTGACCTGTCCCAGGTCACACAGCTTGGATGAGGTGGCACTGGGATCATAAACCCAGATGTACCAGCCCAAAGGCTCTGCTTTCCTCTGTATAGAAGTAGCTGCAGGGACACCTGGGTGGCTCGGTGGTTGAGCATCTGCATTCGGCTCAGGGCGTGATCTCGGATCTGGGGATCGAGTCCCATGTCGGGCTCCCTGCAAGGAGCTTGCTTCTCCCTCTGTCTGTGTCTCTGCCTCCGTCTATGTGTCTCTCATGAATAAATAAATAAGAAAGAATCTTAAAAAAAAAAAGTAGCTATAAGGTAGTTTCAGCTGAGAAAAAGTAAGTCCATATTTAACCAAAGGATTCTACCTAATTGCATTTGCCAATTATTTCCTAGAATCCTATAAGATTTGGTACAATGTTTTACTTTTTTTAAAAGATTTTATTTATTTATTTGAGGCAGAGAGAGAGAGAGAGAGAGAGAGAGAGAGAGAGAAATGTGAGCACAGGGGGAAGGGCAGAGGGAGAGGGAGAAGCAGACGCCTCACAGAGCAGGGAGCCCGATACAGGACTCCATCCCAGGACCCTGGGATCATGACCTGAGCCAAAGGCAGAGGCTCAACCGACTGAGCCACCCAGGTGCCCCGGTGTAGTGTCTTAAACACCAAGATGCCGGAGTCAGGATATGTGGGTAAAGACAACATAGTTGACAGTAGAGGGCAAATCTTCTCAACTCATCTACGTGACTGTGCATCCATAAGGCCTGCTTAGCCTGTGACTCCATCTCCCTCTCCTTCCTCTTATTCACTCTGCCCCAGACTCATTGGCCCCCTTTCTGATTCTCAAACATTCTGCAGGGCCTTAGCTCCAACCAATCCCTCAGCACCCACCTGCCCAACTCCCCATCCCTTCTAGTGTTTGTTCAGATCCCATTTCCTCAGGGAGATGGGCCCTGACCCACTTACTCAATGCTTTAAGCCACTCCTGCTCTCCCGCTGCTCTCCTTTCCTGATCTTCTACTTTCCGGCATTGCCCTTATCACCTCTACTGCACCATATAATTTTTAATCTTTCAGGTTTATTGTTGAGTGCCTGTTTATGCCTGATAGAATTGCATCTCCATATAGGTGGAAATCTCTATTTTGTCCATAAATATTTCTCAAGCATCTGCAACAGTGCCTGAAAAATAGAAGGTTTGCAACAAGTATTTTTTAAAAAAGATTTTATATATTTATTCATGAGAGACACAGAGAGAGAGAGGCAGAGACATGGACAGAGGGAGAAGCAGGTTCCTACAAGGAGCCCTATGTGGGACTCCATCCCCTGATCCGGGATTATGCCCT